AGCCACTTGAGCTTCACTTCACTTCCAGCCGAGGGTTGCTGGCGTTGGCGTTGCGATACTGCAGCAGCCTGCCTTCTGCCTGTTGGCCACAGGAACATTAAACAAGCGGAATGACGACGCTGACGTGGGAGCGTGGGTCAAACCCCGGGATTCGGCAGCGTCTGCACCTACCTCGTACGCGATCTTTGATTCGGAAGGCTGTACGAGCTACAGAATCTACGACGGACACGCCGAAGAGCAGACGAGGCGTGAGCGTTTCGTCAACTCATAGAATTAATTTTGTGGAATGCGATACAATAGGCTACTTGACTTCGAGGTGGGGGCGAGGAGACAGTGACCGTTCACTTTCTCCTGTTGGAACTGGGTACCCAGTCCCAGATACCCAGTATGCCAGTCTTCGTACTCGGAGTGCGTCCCTGATCGGCAAATTGGCTTTATTCGCCAAAGATCGACGCATCCGAGGAACTTAGGATGGGTTATGCGTCCATGGCTGATGCGCTTGTGCGCTTTTTGGCAAGCGGATACGACTTGGCACGTTCCCAAAGGTAGCAGGCAACGTGGCAGTTCTGTGAAGCAGAAAGATTCGGTGCTCTGACTTATATTTCAATATCAGGACAGGTTCTCTGAACCGAAGTCGTGTTCCGTGCGAAATCATGCGACAAGTCAGCACTCGTGGTGTTGAATGTGCGCACAGATATATTATCCGTAAAGTTGCATGAATCATCGCGTCAACCTTCATTTGCAGCGTGAAGGGGACCTCGGACAGGGCTCGCTCATTCTCGGCTTTGACGAAAATTCCTTTTCCACTTTTCAGGAAACCGGAAGCCATGGATATGGGGACAATCTAGTGAGGCCCCTGACTGGCTCTAACCTAACGTCTGCATGCAGGGTTCGTAGAGCGGCCATTGGATGAAAATACCGACTTGCGCACGAAGGGACAGAACAAGAAAAACGGTGGGGCTCCGTGGGCTGATTTCATCATGTCCGAGGCGTGGCCAAGCCTAATATAGGCTGATGGGTTATTCCTTTTATCGATAAAGGCCCCTCAGCCTGGGGTGAGAGCTGGGCACCGGGACCTTGGCTTCCGCGTTGTCTCGCTTCCTGAACTCATTTTGTACTCCATTCTACCCAGTAATTACTGTGTCCCCTGCGCAAACGCCGTTGGCAACTATCGACACTCTTACTCGGTCATTGCTGCTCAAACGCCACGGACATTCGGAAAGACCCTGCGTCCCCCCTCGCGTGAAACCCACAATCTCCTGATTGTCGGTGCTGTCCCCGACACCTGTCGCAGTAGAATTGGGTGCTTGGGCAAGCTCATTTCCGACCCCGATTCCTGACACACCACAACCCCTCCTCATCGGGAATGGCACAACAGAAACCCAACGCCCAGAGGGTGGACGAGCAGTCCCAATCAGACCGCAGCCAGGATGACGCCAATCCACAAATGCTAACCTCTGAGATGGCAAAGGTATGCCAATCCTACCAGGAGCTCGAGTGCTAGTCCGCGTTTTCCGCTGACTCTTCCACGATGCCTCATGGGAAAAGGCATTCCAAGAACTTGCACAGTCTGTGACTCCACCTTCACGTCCTTTTCCCTCCCCGGTCCACATGCTGACCGTCTTGCCAGAGGAGAACGGACAGCCTCTGCCCTAGAGTCCAAGCTGGATGGAATACATCGGAACCTTGACCGTCTCTTGGCGAGTTTCGAAGAGATGGCTCAACCCGGTGCAGAGAAGACTACGAGTAAACCTTCAGGTCCTCCCAGCTCGAATTAGCTTCACGCCTATGCGGCGCAAGACGCATGGGTGGAACCACCTTCTCACACGTGCCCGGGCGCCGGCCGATCCTGCAAGCCACCGGTGTTATGTCTGTCGCTTGGGACTACCTCCATCGTGTTCGTCGTCGCCAAACCGGAGACTGAGATGCCATTGTGTTCTCAGACTGTGTCAACGGGGAATTCTAGGACAGATTACGCTCCGACAAATGCTGTCCAGCAGCTTCAGGACTGCTGGAAGATGGGTTCAAAGTTAAACCTCCCGTTGACCTTTTCAACGACCCCAACTTCGGTGATCACCCCGTCAATGAGCTCGGCGGGGGTGACATCGAACGCAGGATTCCATACCTCAATCCCAATCGCAGCGGTGCTCACCACCTCTGAGCCTTCGTCCAGGAGTAGCTTTCCCTCCACGGTGACCTTTGGTCCTTTGATCCTTGTCACTTCCTCCGGCGCCCGTTCCTCGATGACAATGTCTTCACCCGAAGCTGTGTCCCGGTCGATGGTGGTTCTGGGAGCAGCAACCAGAAATTTAACACCATGATGGCGTGCAAGCACAGCTAGAGAATGAGTTCCAATCTTATTTGCTGTGTCGCCATTCGCCGCAACGCGGTCCGCTCCCACTACGACCGCGGCTAGACGGTCTCCCTCCTTGTCCATCAACGCACAAGCCATAGAATCTGTGATCAACGTGGCCGGGATCTCGTCATGGACGAGCTCGTATGCGGTCAATCGCGAGCCTTGGTTGTACGGCCGAGTTTCTGAGCAATACGCACGGGTGAGCATGTCGGCGCTTCTTAGAGACCTGATCACCCCGAGAGCGGTACCGTAACCTGCGGTGGCTAATGAACTATGCGTGTGGTCAGCCAATGCCGATCGGCCGGGCAGTTCCTCCCTTACCCTGTATTGCAGTGTGTCAAGACTTGAAGCTGTTGAGATGTGTCTGCTTTCCTCTTCTTGCCTGCCACAGTGTTCGCTTCGATCCACCGGGCTCCATGTTCCCCAATGGCTTTATTGTCAGACACATCGTCAACCAGCATTTGCTCTGCAGCCAGGATGTACGCTTCAGCGATGGACTGCGAAGATGCTTCAGGTTGTAAGGTGGCTTTCTTCGTCACAATTTTCAGTTTTCCGACAGCATCGCCCAAGTTGACTGCTGTGGGCCTGCTTGTCTTCAGATAATCTAACCGTTGAGCAATGGTGTCCCTCACATCGCCTGGGACAGCAGGTAATCTCCCCGCGACAATCTCGTTTCCAATCTCAACAGCAAGCGCCAGAGCAGCGACGATGGCGATTGCTGGTGCACCGCGGACCTTCATCTGCTTGATAGCGGCATGAGCTTCTTCGCAAGTCGAGACTGCTACATACGCCGTTCGGTGAGGCAACTGGAGCTGATCAAGGATGCGCAATGCGGGCCCGGAATTGCCCGAAGCGGGCTCATACTGAATTGCTTGCAGCACCATGGCTGACGGGACGCAGATGATTTCCAGTTACCGGGAGACTTATGTTCTCACAAACAAAGATAAAGGCTCTCTACATATTTGCCATCAATATGGGTTTCGCATACTGTTTTGCCGCCCAGAACTTTTTCTCACGCCATTGCGGGGTAAAGTGCAGACAATTTTTGTTACCCCTCACCCGCGTATTGTTGGCGTGTCCGGCTTCATGCTGCTGGCCACGTGCGTCTGAGTTTCACCTCACTTTCACCTTCACGACCAGCACCACGTCTTTTACACCCGATTCATGGCAAAGTCAGAAATCGCCGAGGTAGCCCAGTCCGGCTTTGCTCCAGCTGCTGCTTATGATGCTTACCGGCCGACATATCCAGACGAAGCAGTCGAGCAGCTCCTGCAAGTACTGGAAGTGACGGGTGTCAAAGGAGCAAGAGTCGCCGATCTCGCCGCGGGCACTGGAAAATTCACCGAGATACTAGCAAGAAGACCGGAAGGATATGACATTGTCGCCATAGAGCCTCACGATGGAATGCGAAGTCAATTGGAGCAGAAAAGCTTACCTCATGTGCGGGTCGTGAAAGGAACGGCGGACAACATGTCGGGTGTGCAGGACGAGAGTCTGGCGGCCGTCATCGCAGCACAGGTGAGTTTGGATAAGGAATTGACAGGCTGGCAGATTGTTGATCAGCTTTCGTAGTCATTTCATTGGTACGTCCGAACATCGCCTCTCCGTCACGTCTCATGTTCCGCGGATGACCAGAATCTGACAACCCCTTCAGGTTTGCCAACATGGACGCATTGAAGGAAATCGCTCGAGTGCTTAAGCCTGCAGGGGTTTTGGGATTGATCTGGAACATTGATGATTGTACGCTCACTACCTAGTCCCGTCCATGATGATAGCGAGGATGCTCATGATCGTGATCAACAGACAACGCACCAAAGTCATGGTCCGTCCACGACGGCTGGGAAAAGACCGTCAAGGAGATTGTCTGGACGTTCGCCGACGACTCACCACGCTTCCGACACGAGAAGTGGCGGCAAGTCTTCGACGACCAAAACGCAAGTAATCCGCTGAGTTTGCATTTCGCCGACCCGCTATTTGGCTTGCCATTGGGCGAAGGTTCAGTCGAGTTTACAACCTGGCTGCCGAAGGAGGATATCTGGGGTCGATTGAGGACATTGAGTCAGCTGGCAGTGCTGGAAGGTGAAGAGCTGGAGAAGGTAAGGAGGAGGTTTGAGGAGGGACTGGAGTCGGATGGCACGCAGGTAGATGACGCTGGGAGGATTGCTGTTCATGGTCGCACAGTCTTCTTCTGGACCAGCAAGATACCTGCTGAACCGCTCAAAAGTGGTGGCTAGAATGCGTGCCGGGCCCGGACGAGGCGTGTGCGGAAGTACTCTCGGTCATTCGGTGGTTAGCTGGCCTCCTGCACTGATTTCGCTTCTCGAAAGCGCTGGCCGGACAAAGCTGCATCGTGGGCATCTGCATCATTAGCGGCGAACAGTCTTTCCATACAGCCGTGTTTCGTGATCTGTCCAGCACGTCATACAACGCCGTCGATTCGAGGAATGCCTTTCATGCTGTTCTCTGCGCTTTCCATTCATTTCACGATCGAGTCGATAGACGAGTAGTTTCCAGCGACGTTCCGCGATCCCGCGCCCTCGGCATTGAGGCGTTGAGAATCTCGCTCTCTAGTAGTCTCTCCCCCTTCTCTCCTGCTCCATCCAAAAAACTCATCCAGACGTTTGCCTCTGACGCTTTCGCCCGCTCATTCGCTCGAGATATAAAGCACTATCACCGCAGATGTAATCGTCAGCACCAGCGCAAATACAGTTCAGTGGTCGGGTCAGCACTCAGGCAGGCACTTGAATAGACCGCCGCGGGCGTGCGCGTGCGTGCGCGCGCACGCGCAAAGCATGTAACGTACCGTTATTCCCTCTGACGAATGCATCGCCATACCTCCGCCGCAGCTTGCCCTCGACGTACTCGGCACACTTCTCCAGCGCGATGTTCATGTATCCGTCCACGCTCTGCAACTCGCCCTTGTATACGACGCCGGAGTTGAGCTTGACCGTCACGGGCACGCCGATGATGGATGACAGGAAGGAAGCCGGATCCTTGGGGTCTGCGGACGCGGACGCGGACGTCGCGCTTGTGGTGGTGTGGTTTTCCGCCATTCTCTGTCTTTTGTCTTTTTGTCTTTTTGGCTTCTGTCTTCTGTCTTCTGTCTTCTACCTTCTTTTAGTTTGAGCCCCGGCGAGGGTAGGAATCGGCAAGGTCGTGCCACGGGAGGCTGAGCTAGCTAGGTACGTAGGTGCGTCTTCTAACTCAGGTACTGTAGATACTGTAGGTACTGTAGCTTGAGGACGGACGTGCAGGCGAGCCAGGAGGCACTGAGGCGGGTTGTGTTTGTGAAGTTTGTGATGTCTACGCTGTACGGATGTGCGAGTGCAGCAGGAGGGAGCAGCAAAGTACCTGAAGCAGGGGGTGGTGACGATGGTGCGCAATACCGAGTCTGTATTCGTTCGGGGTCAGTATTGTACGAGTGCTCCGCTACCTGAAGTACATTGGGTACGGTGTACCTGGTACTCCGTACATAATCACTACGCACAGCCAGCCTCGCAAATGCAAAGGGACGCGGGGCGGACGAGGCTTGGCGCAACTGGAGGGGAGCATTAGGTACCAACCAAATCTTGCATAATTACCTAGGTATCTTTTTGTTGCGTTCAGCTGTCCTGATTTCGAAGCTTCTGGGCGGGTTTGGCCCTCTACTCGCCATGAGAACTCTCATTCGATTCGGAAATGGCGTTGCTGGATCTACTGTGTACTGTATACGCCGTGGGCTGTCCAGGCTTGACTCGACCTTCTGTGTCTTTTGCAGGTGCGGACAGCACTCAGCCATTTGGGCTTGCCCTGTCCTCCGCGGCCTCCTACAATATTCACTGCTACTTACTATGTACCGAGAAAATTCAGTCCTGTTCTGTGTAGAGAACATTCACCCCTACTGTGTCTGGAGAAAATTCTCTCTCTGTTGATTATGTAGAAAGACCGGTAAGAGCAATCTGGTGTATTCTGTATTTAATTCGCTCGTATATCATCCCATCATTCATCCTATGCTGTCTCTGAATCTCTTGAGTCAGCCCCGTACGCGACGGGTTTGCGTTTAGCGACTGAGACTCGTGCGTGACGATTCTAATCGTGTTGGCTCCGTTTCAGTGTTTGGCTCTTCATCCAGCAGCGCCGGAGAAGCATGAGCAACAGGTTCATCATTGTTTCGTGTTGAGATCTCGACTTTCGTCTGCGGCTGGATCTTCTCAAACCCAACATTGCCAACTCTGTCGCTCACGAGAACCCTTCCCTCATCGCTGAGTTCACTGTCGTTGTAGTACTCGGCAAACGCCCCTTCTATTCCACTATTGCTTTTCTTGCTCGCGGAGGCGGCCTCGTGGACTTCTGGCTCCAGGAATGCGGCGATGATTCCACCTATACTCAGCCGAGCTTGGATAGATCGTGATCTTCTCGGCTGACTCGCCAGCGCCGTGATGGCCAGGATAATACCCAGCAGCGCGTATATGAGGTTGAGAACAATTAAAACGAAGAATGGGGCCTTTGGAAGTCGCGTCACAAGTAGACGCTCCCGGGTCTGCTCGGCGATATTGGGGCTCGCAACCGTCAGCCCTGACACCATGCTCAGCGTCGTCTCACTGAAACGCTGTGCAAGGAAGTTTGCAAATTGTTCGGAATTGTTGGATTGCACACCTCCGCTGATGAAAGCCCCTTCCATGACGTTCTGGGTATATGATAGATAGTAGATGAATGTGAAGACAGCGTTGGAAGCGAGTGTCCCGTCCACCGGAGTTGTCGTTCCGCCCGCAAAGCTGCCGTTGATCATCTTGTAATCCAGTTCGAAAAATTCTGAATTGCAAGAGAAGATAAAGCCATAGTCAGCATCGGCATTATTCTGAACCGCCTCGGAGTCCGCAGCCAACGCGGCTGAGGCGGCGACACGAGCACCCGTAGCAAAGTAGAACGGGTTGGGAGAGTCGGGTGCAGTGCCGAAAGGTTCCGAGAAGTTTGGCTTTCTGAACAGCTGCAGGAAGAATCCGTTAGTGCTTGCGATCCCTGAAGAGATGCCGGCCTGGGAATCATCAAGCAGAGAACTGTTGAAAGGAGTACCGGTGTTATTCGCCAGACCACCGAAGAGGGTGGGCCCGCAGTCGTAAGGCATGCCTCGCGCCAACTGGACCTGCGAGTTGCAGCCTTGCGGAAAAGGACACCAGGAAACCGCTTGCAGATTACACTGCTTGCTGACAGGCGTACATTGTGTACTTATGGCGAAGGTCTTCGCCTGGAAATCAAGATCAGGATGCCGGTCCGCGGCGGTGAGGTAGGCGAGGTCCCGACCATCCAAATGACACGGCAATACAATGTTGGTGCTTGAGAGATTCATTAAAGTCTCCGTGGCGTTTGTGAGGCTCTCAAAATAGAGGAGACCAGCAAAGTTGTTCCCTATACATACTCCGCTGGCCCTGGTTTCGCCATGGCAGGATGGATCCATTTTCCGCCCATAATTGAATGATGGCTGGGAGACGGGAGAGATGGCGTCGTAACTTATTGTAGAGGTTGTTACATGCAGCCACGTATCGACGGCAAGTATAGCAAAGCTGGTCCAGCGTTCAGTCTCATAGCTTTACCCCAGAACTTAGACGTACCTGAGGGCACCGGCCCCAAGAAGACTCAAGGCACTCACCCATAGCAATGTGGGCTGTTTACTCCGATGACGCCAAAAACAGTACTGCAACCAAGACCACAGCGATCCGAAGCCGCCACCGACACAACCAATGATGAGACGCAGCTGATAAGGCGTTGGGAGTTGCTCCATTGATAGTGCCTGGGATCTGCTCAAGTAGCTTTTGGCAATCGGGTATGAGACAAGAGCCATAACAAACGACGATGCAAATGAGGTTACAGTGCTTGTCCATGATGAGACGGTTATCAGTCTCGTTGCACTGTAGTTGACATAGTAGGCGTTGGAATCGTCGACGAATGGGGAGCTCAATGAGCTGTCGGTAGCACCCGGGCCATGCGAGACTCTGTAGACATACACAAGGCCCATGAACGTTGCTGTTAAGACAAGCATGGGCAAGCTGATGCAACTGAGGGCCCAATAAATATCGCGCAGGGCACCCTCGATCGGATGCGAGGGTGCAGTGGTTGGCCCGAATTTCTCACACTCAGGCAGAGTTTGCGATTGTGTCTGTTGAGCTCTGACAGGGCAGGAAGATCCGTCCACATGTTGTGGTCTAGCCATGGCCTCAGCGGAGGTGCGTGCTGTGGCTTCCAGTGATGGTGCCTGTGAGGCTGCCACGGCCATCATGGAATGCTCCGTAGACGTCAATCAATTGCTGCGAGGAAGATTTGCGAGCTCAACCTGGGTTCAGTGCCTCATAGGGAACGGACCAAAAAGAATGTTTGAAAGACATTTTGCTTCAAGGGAACGAACTGGCCGGTGTTTTGTGCTTTGCCGCCCTTGTCTCATGCGATCAGGCTGAAGCGATGGCAGATGGCGATATACCTATTCGCAACCGAGATTTGGGCCTTTTGGCCCCCTCGACGCTATCGCGTCGACCTTGTTGGGTCCATTTCGAGTCCACCGTTCATTAGGCCTTCCATCAGGTGCTGCAGGCACGGCAGAACCAGACGTTGTGAGTGGCTCGACTCGCACAGCCACCCTTGCCATTTCTACGCAGTACACAGTAGTTTCAGAATGGGCAAGGTGGGAAAGGAGGGCGAAGTGAGTGGTGAAGGCGGAGTGAGGCGGAAGTGAATGATCGTTGAGCAGCCACGAGCAGCACGCGCTAAGCACATGTCGCGTATGGGCTTCAAACATTTGCCACTTCAGCTGCCGAGTGCATTGATCTTTTGCACAAAGCAGACGATTCCCAACTCCTCTAGCATGTCGACGCCGGTCATGCAAAGTCCCTGATGACCGTCAAACAACACTTATGATGCATGCAGGACCATGCCGCCCGCTCTTCCCGACCTCTCTCAGGTGGATTTGCCATTGTTGGGATTCAGAGGCTTCTCATTCAGAAGATGAGCAAGCGACAAGTCTTGAGCAGATCCCGGTCTGACTTGTGAGGACGCGGTTGCTAAGAGACTGTTCTTGTTGCAGCCATGATTGATAAGCGCAAAGATGACTGTCATTCTACGGCTTCGCAACGTCCAACGCCATGAGCCGGATTCTCGCAGCCACAATTATGGAATGCTTTGGCCAGGTACGAGTACACGGTAGATCCGTTCCGCCGGAAGGGCCGGTTAAGGCTTCGTGAGGCTGCGGCCGTGAATTGTCAACGCGGCCAAAGCCTACTGTGTTTTCGATACCAGGATCTGTCTATACCTCCGGCTCTGGTTCACCAGTCACAACCATATCGTTCCGTTTCACCTGTTATCTCAGACTATCCCCAATGATACCTTACTGTGGGGGAGCTTGTTGATTGGTTCGGTTACTGGTGCGCCCAGCAGCTTGAACACTCACTGACCGCGGATCATGGACGAGCACGACGAGTTACGTCCCACGATCTTCGCATACCCGTCTAGTCCCAAAAGCCGAATTGAGCCCTGAGGAAAATGTGACATGACCAACGAATCAGCGAGACAGCGTCATTCGGGGACTTCCACTATCTGCAGGCATTGAGTTGGCTTGCTTGCCCATGCCACTCGAAGCAAGGTCACTGCCACTTAGCTGTTCCTACTATTGGGATGGGAGATAGTACTCATTCGCAACACGATCCCCGCTATCAGGATGCGATACTACCAGCCGACACATGCCCATTTCCAACCCTTCATTATCCTGTTGGAAGCCTTCGGACGCACAGCATGCTGTACCGGCTCCCTCTGATTAACCCTTCTCACTCTATCTACTGCACGTTCTCGATCGAAGCCCTCCAGCTGTCGAGATTGTAAGTGGTAGCTGTATCGAGCGGAGACATGGCAAGCTTTGTGACGCCAACTCTGTTTCCTTGGCTCATAGCAGCGTTTCTTGTTGGCTACGCCGTGAGGACATATTACAGCTATCAGAGACTGAGCCACTTTAAAGGGCCTCCTGTGGCTGCCGTGTCCAGTTTCTGGCTTGCATGGCAGGCCGTCAACGCTCGAATGCCTGTTGCCCAAAAGGAGGCCCTAAGAAGATATGGTGAGGTACTCAGTCACCCCCGAGGACTCCGCAGTAACGCGCTAGAACAGGATCGCCAGCAAGGATAGGTCCCAGCTTGCTGGTGACTGATGACCCTGAGTTATTGAGGCACATGAGTGCGCCCAGATCAAAATGGACTCGCGCAGCCTGGTACGACGGGATGAAGCTGGACCCCAGAGTCAACAACATTTTCTCCGAGCGGGACGAGCGACGGCATGCCGAGATGAGGTCAAAGATGACAGGCGCAGTACGTCCAGTCATCGCTGATCATACATGGCTCATTGGTTGACTACAACAGTACTCAGGCAAGGAGGTCGAGACACTTGAGTCTGATATCGACGAGAACCTGCAAAGACTGCTGACGTTGATCAAGCAAGAGTACAACGGCAGGCCACTTGACATGGCTCTTTTGGCATCCTATTTCACTTTAGACGTGCTGAGCCAGATTGCGTTTGGCGATGCTTTCGGCTTTGTCCAGGCTAACGAGGATCTCTACGACTTCAATAAGCTGGCCAACGAGAAGTTCAGCATCATTGAGTTGATTGTCAACCACGACTTTCCCCGAAGGTTAATCCAGAGCCAACTGATGCAGAAGCTTATGGCACCCAAGGGCACAGATAAATTCGGCCAGGGCCGTATAATCGGGATCGCGCAAAAGGCCGTTGCCGAACGATATCGCCCCGACGCCAAGATCAAACGAGACATGCTTGGCCATTTCATTGCCAAAGGACTCAGTCGGACGCAAAGCGAGGCGGAGTCTCAACTTCAGATCATTGCTGGATCTGACTCAACTGCCGGAGCGCTGCGGATAACAATGATGATGTTGGTCGGCAATCCTGTGGCGTACGGTAGGCTCGTTGCAGATGTGGACCAGGCAATCGCGGACGGCAAGATCTCGTACCCGATTGTCCGGTACAGCGAGGCTCTGGAAATCGAATTTCTGACCGCCTGCATTTGGGAAGGTATCAGGCTGTATCCACCCCTGTTTGGGCTACAAACCAAACTCGCACCCCCGGAAGGAGAGACTGTGAACGGAGTTTACTACCCTCCCGGAACCCAAGTCGCATTCTGCTGCGAAGGCGTCGGACGGCGCATGGATATCTTCGGAGAAGATGCGGACCTATACCGGCCTGACCGATGGCTACATCCTGATGCTAAGGTTCGAGCGGAGTATCTGAGGACGACGGACTTGATGTTCGGTAGTGGAAGGTTTGGGTGCTTAGGGAAGAACATTGCGATGATGGAGCTACACAAAGCATTTGTTGAGGTGAGTGAAGTGGTGTCAGCAATAGGTCGATGCGCTGACATGGATGTAGCTGCTGCGAAACTTCGACTGGGCTCTTGCCGACCCGATCAAGGGTGCCATCTCCATCGCCCATGGCATCTGGGTCCAGGAAAAGATGATGCTTGTAGCGTGGCCAAGACGGATCTGACGACGGTGCACAGGTCGAGCATGACGCATTTGATGATGAGAGTGTGTTTTGGAGCTTGCCATTGGGTTTGGCCAGGTAAGGAAGTCACCCGGATGAGGCAGGCTGGGGTGAAGAAGGCGATGAAGCTGCCAGAGGAGTCAGTACTGCATGATGTTTTGTTAGCTTTCGGCAAGTACAGGAGGTGGTGACGGGGAAAGACTGAGCACGCATAAATTCCATGATCACAGCCTTGTCACTACTCTTCTCCATGGCTATCCTTGACATGACACAGCAGCTTTGGCGCCCTGTCCGCTCGACTACACTTCAGGTTTTGATTGCAGGCGGGAATCTACCGACACTGCGAAATACTGCGTCAGTCAATGCTTTCTCATACTTTCTAATTACCCAAGGAGGACTTCCTGCTAAACCCCTTACACCAGCGTCCCAGCATTGGCCTTCCTGCCTCTCTTCGATGCGTTGGCTACCTACCTCACTGCTACTACCCCTGTCGATTGACGTCGGTTGCAAAGGCTGTCCAGGGCAAAGATGATCTTTGCCGTGTAGGTGGGATGCTGACAGCTGCTTCGGTCGATGTCGGTGAGTTACTTGCGAGTGACCATCATACTATTGAACCGGCCTGGCAATGAAGGAGAGGATGAGGATGGGTACGGGTGAATGGGGGTTCTTGACAGTACTCGGAGACAATCATATCAACCTACTCATTGCTTTGTGGAAGCCACGAATGCCTGCAACGTCTTCCGCCTACTGCACGGGGATGAGGCACTAAGGGTCTTGGCGAGCGCGGCATTTCCGCGCCAAGACGGATTCTGTTTCCTCGCTAAACCTTCCTTCGCTTGGTCTTTTTCTTCTTCAATGTGCGGCCGCAAGGTGACCGCACAACCGCACAACCGCAGGCATGTCCGCAAGAGCAATGGGGCGCCAAGAAGGTGGATTTTCGCTCGTCTGGTGTCATAGGGGCATCGGTGCTTTTGGGCCACACGTCCGCATGACTGCGATGGTTCTCGAACTGGTGCAGAGTGTGATTGGATCCCCCAAGACTCCCACACTGTGCAGACTTGCCCCGAACCGGCCTGCCCGAGAAAGTGTTTGCAATAACGCTTACACAGTAAGGATCCTCTCGAAATCCTGACATCGGAGAACCGCAGACTCCCAATGGGACGCTCTTCATTCCGTTGGAAGTGGACGCGTTGTTGAGCCTGACAGGCTGAGATGGATACCACAAGACGAAGCAACCATCTCCACCGACCCTCGCCGACTTCGGCCCTGCCTTCCGCTGACTTCCTGCATGGTGTTTTCCCGCGCGGATGCTTCGTTCAGTCATCACAGCTGTCAAGCTCAACGCATACCCTCGCCCTGTGAAGCTTGGCCGGGAAAAGGTTCATTACAGCACCATTCAGAGTTTCACAGGCTGGCTTTGCTACAACAACGCATTGAACACTCTCACTCCTCTGCCCCAACTCACCCTCTTCTCACCCTCTTCTGGTCAATGCTGCCTTCCGCGGTGTACTGTGACAAATCGTGCGAGCACGCGGTACTGAACATGAGAAGCATAAGAGTATTTCGCTTGGCATGATCATCCGGGCCCTCGCCGCGGCTAATGCCAGTGTGGTGTCTACGGCGACCGCTCGAGACCATCTCCATTCCACCAACAATCGCTCCTGATGTCGCCATACAATATGTCCCACTAAACCCCGATAGGAAGTCATCACATAATATGCATCTGATAAGACAAGGAGGCGATCACTAAACTCGGTGATCCTACATCAGGCATCGGGCCTCTATACTTTATGTACAGCTAACCTTTGATAGGAAATTCCACCGCCGACAGGTTCAATCAGATAAGACAAGGATAAGATCAAATTTTCACGCCCAGCTCCACCACTGGGTGACGGCGTGGAGGGCTTTCCTCGAGATCTGCCAGCTGTGTGGCAGTAGAGGGGAGCTTGGGATTTGCAGATGTATTCAGATGTGCAGAAACACACGCAGGCGGATACCTTCGGGGGAACATGCATACGAGGGTCAGAGTATATCAGGTATGGAGGTCCATTATCGCCTCCTTTTGATGCATTGGACACTCCCACGATTCCTTTCCTTCCTCTCACACCGCGTCCGTGATGGCAGGCCTCTGGTACCTCGGACCAATTATTCTTGTTCTTTCAGCAATTTCTCTCGCGGCCAAACCTTTGGGCCACGAAATCTGCGTCGCTGCATGCTATAATGCTCTGAGCGGCATCGAGTTCACTGACCAGCCCGGGGGCAATGGAACCTCCTGTCTCAACGACCTGAGGGTCTCCTCGATATACTTGTGTGCCCGAGACAGGTGTGAAGATCAAGACCTCGAACCTGGGATATCATGGTGGCAGAAACAGTGCAAGCATTCTAGCAAGGTTATCAATGTGGTCAACTACCATTCCACTGTGGACAACGTCTCTTTGGGGTCTATCAGATCTCTAACAACCGTGGAATACAAGGATGATGGCGTCTTTGATCAGGCAACCGTGCCCTCCGATGGGGCGTGGGACTTGATTTACGGCACTCTGGTAATCCTACCGTTTCCAATCTTGACTCTGCAAATCGCTGATGTCTCGCCAGCATGCCTACAGTTTTCAACGGCACTTGCACAATACCTACACGTGGATTCCATACGCCTTCTGGGCATTGGTATTTGTCATTGTCACTGGCCACCGGACTCTTCAGGCGATGAAAGCTGGGCTCCATCTGAGTGACTCGATGTTGAAGAAGGATACAGAAACAAAGGCCATCAGCCATCGACCTCTTGCAGCTTGGAGCTCTGCCTACCGCAGTCATATTCTTCTGGCGCCAGCCTTTGGGCGCCGCCTCTATCGGGGCTTTGGCTGGCTCACCGGAGGTACCCGTCTTCAGGCTCTGACTATTCTCTGCTACCTCATCATGCACATTGCCATCGTGTCGGTCAGACACCCAACTATGGAACGAAACATCTACTACAAGAGCAGAGAAATTCAGCGCCTCCGCTATGTATCTGACCGCATCGGCGTCTTGATGTCGGGCAGTATGCCCTTTATCTGGCTCTTTGGTACTCGCAACAACTTCTTCCTTTGGGCGACTGGGTTGAGCTTCAGCACTTTGCAGATATTTCATCGATGGGTTTCACTAATCTTCGCTGTTGAAGCAATTATCCACGGGAGCTGCTTTACCGCTTATTACCTTCAACGTAAGCTATGTTCCCTGTGTGGAGGTGATGGAATAACATGACTGACAGTGCTTCAGAGACTGGCAAAGAGGGTTACAGGCACGAGCTCGCTGATCCCCTGTTCGTATGCGGTATTTTGGCGGTGACCACCGTTTGCGTTATGATCCTCCTTACATGGCGCCCCATCCTGCGAACACTCTACGAGTTCTTTAAAGTCACTCACGTCCTTCTTGCAGTCGTTCTTCTTGTCGCCTACCACAGGTAAGCTCCTCCCTTTCTGAATATGTGAACCTCGACTAATAGACCAGGCATGTCGTGGGTCAGTTTCGAGGAATGTATCTTGTTTTCCTGTGGATCTGTGTTGGTCTGTGGAGTTTCGACTACGCAAGTCGAATCTTGCGCGTAATCGTTGTCAACAGGCCCGGGAGAACCGAGAAAGGCATAAGCACCTTAGCCAACATCACATACAACCCAGCGGCAGACATCGTTCGCCTCACAATACGGGGAGCTCATATCCCTTCCATTCGGCCGGGGACATACTATTTCCTGTCCCTACCAGGCTCGAGCTGGAGAATCTGGGAGCAGCACCCATTCAGCGCCATTCCCCTGCTTGACACGCCGAGCTCGGGCCCCTTAGATACTGCATCCGTTGGTCCATCTCCTCCGCTCTCGCCGGAGCAAGCCAAAGAGGCAACCGCATTCGCAAGCGTTAAACCCTTGAAATCCTCCGAATCTGTTGCGGCGTCCAATCCCACCAGCGTCGCTGGTGTCACGTTCCTGATCCGTCCTAAACAAGGCATGACAGCACGTCTGCGCAACCGACTTGTGGCATCAATCCCGCACTCGACCACCATGCATGTGATGCTCGAGGGACCCTACGGAAGTCATTCACTCTCACGGTTCAATCCCTCCCACTTCTCATCCATTCTCCTCATGGCCGGCGGCTCTGGCATCACGGCCACCCTGCCATATTTGCGGTCGATTATGGGAGTTTCTCAGTGCGACAGTGGTAATGGTAATGGCACAAGCGTATCGAAGCGTGTCAACCTCGTCTGGATCGCTCGGGAAGAGGAATTCATCAGAGACGTCCTAAGGCACGAGCTCCAGTGGCTACTCGCAGTGATGAACAACCAACAGGCCACGAACCCGGTGAGAATTGAGCTACACCTCTTCGCCACACAACAGCCAAGCGCGAAGCCCCAGGGGACACTGTCAACATCCCAGTCCCCGTCCACGTCGGAGCAATCTTCAAAGATATCGCTCTCATCTCCCGCTATCCACTCAGCTGCGGAAAAGCGAGACCTTAGCGCCATCGATAAAGAGTTCCGGGTAGAGAAAGAGACCGAGAAAGACGCCATGTTCGACACGAGCTGGCCCCACCGCAACAGCACCGACGGAGCAAGCGTGGAGATCACCTTCGCACGACCGGACGTAGCGCGACTTATCTCCACGTTTTGTACTGCTGCATCTTCCTCCCCTGCGACGTCTCAGTCGCCTTCACCCAGAGGCACAAACGACAGAATAGCCGTCTTCGCGTGTGGTCCGATGCAATTGGCCGAGGAAGCGAGACACGCAACTCGACACCAAGCAGCAGCAGGAGCACGGATGGAGTATTTCGAGGAAGTCTACGGGTGGTAGCGAAACGTAGCGAAGCAATGTGATCCGTCCGTCCGTCCGTTCGTTTGCTCTCATATGGACACGGACTCGGTAGATATAGATAGACATAGAGACGGCAGACGTAGATAGACATGGAGACAGCAGATATAGATTCAGATATACATAGAGACAGCAGATATAGATTCAGATAGACACAGAGACAGACATGCATACATAAGAAAGGACATCTATCACTCACTACTACTCTTACTACTACTACTTAGTATACCACATACCTTTATATTTGTACCTACGTAGGATTGCCAAGCCGTGGCTCTCATACACAGCCCAAAGAGACAGGTAGACAGGTAGACAGGTGGACACGAGGCGAGCGATGTCATTCAAAGCGCGCGATTTCAGTTTGCAACTCCATGGGATGGGACGGCCTGTCCTTTGAAATCGACAATGCCTTGCCTCTAGCCCCTGAAGGAGGCGACACGGATCAGGGGATTCAGAACCGCTTCGCTGTGCTCTTCTTTCCACGCGGCCCCGTAGATATGCTTGATTATGTATAGCCATTGATGTCTCAGCCGTGGAAGAGTGGAGCAGTGAGCGGTGGCCGGCCCTGCAAATCTACAGTACCCGACGAGCCCATACCAGACTGACCGGCTTGAAGAGTAGGGTTCACTTGAACTGAGAGGGAAAAATAAAGAACCTCGCTAGAAGCTCTAATCAGCGCCAGTCTGGGTGCCACAAACGACTCCTTCGACCGCTAAGGTGGTGCTCGTTTCAGTATTAGCCTTCGTCCTACTATCACCCGTGGTGATTGCAAATACGGTCTTAACCCCTGAGTTATAGTACCTTGGCTTTTGGATTGAGCAGCAGTGAAATTGACTATCTTCTCAACTTTTCTCTCTTCCTGCGTCTGCTCACCCGCACAAATCATGCCTTCACGCCGTTCTGGTATAGACGGTCCCCCACTCACTCAATACTTTCCCAAAAGCGCGCGTTCTGGTGTTTTTTCTTCTTCTTCGACCTAGGGGGTTCAGCAAACTCAGGCTCAAGCTCGAGTGCGGGTTCGGTTTCGGGTTCGGGTTCAGGATCACGATCACGATCAGGTCCAGCTTCATATGCTTCTCCTGACGTGGCTAACATCAGAGACTCTGCCGGGCTACCAGGGCCATCTGTGCTTTCGGGTCCATCGGCTGGACTGTCGTTGTCGTCGTCGCCTTCGTCGTCGAGATGAGGGCTTCCCTTCGCGCCGGTCACATTGTGGCGGTCCAGGCGATGAAGCTGAAGTAAAGAATCCTGCAGCTTGACCCGCTTGTGCAGAAGCCGTGCGCGGTCAAGCTTCGAACTCTCATCCTCGGCGGCGATGTTTTCGACCACGCCATCGGCTAATGTATCCACAACTTTGGGACAGAAGATGACGGCCAGCGGTTCCAGAAGGCACTTCTCGACCGCTAGGTTGCTGAAATCATCGACGAATTTCGTCCTCGCGACCTGGTTCGTGAAAGTCACGGCGTTAGCATCCTCCCTACCAGAGTGACAACAAATGCAGAAGTCCTCAGTACCTCGTAGTAAGCTTGCATACAGTCAATCGCTTCGGAGCACGCGAATCGCTCCATGTCATCTCCTGTTTGCGTGCCCAGGGCGTTGATCAGATTGTCCATGCTAAAGACGAACGAGGTCTCCGACGATGGAAACCTGGGGTACCTGTTACCGAAAAATTCTCGGAGCTTTTCGCGAATCGACCTCTGATAATGCTCTTTCCGGGCTCTTTGGACACTTCCGGTGAAGGAGTTATTATAGGTTATTGGATGGCCCGATTGCTGAGGCTTGAGAAGTTCCTTCGTCTTGACCCGTAATGAGTCCTCGATTTTGTCAAGACCTGGATTGAGGATATATTCCAGCAGTCCCGTGATGGTTTTCTCGTCGAGGATGTCTTCGATGATGGGTTTGATAGCCTTCTGGACGTCTTTCAGCAGCATATCAATGCAATCCATCACGTTCGACTCCCATGGCTTTGATTGCAGATAGAACAGATCGCCGACAATGTGAGGATCGAATGTTCCAGGCAGCTCGCGGCCTCGACTTCGCCGCATCCGCTGCTGGACTTCGTCCATGTACGCAGAGCGGAATATTTGGCCTTCCTCGAGGACCATATCTTCATCCTCGTCGTCAATGATCTGTTTCTGCATTCCTTTCGCTTCTAAAGTCTTGGAGAAGTCGGATAGGCGGTTCTGGACCACGGCACGGAGTCTTCGCTGGTAGCCTTCGTCATCCATCGCGTCTCCAAAAAAAGGATCGAAATAGACTCCGTTAATGGCATAGCCGACCAGACCACTGAATCTCTCGCTGCTGTGCAAGAGGTATCGACGCTGATCGGCTAATGTCTGGCGTGCGTCTCCGAGTCTTTGCAGGCTGGCGTCAGTCTCTTCGAGAGACTGCTGGGTTTCGGTGATCAGGCCTGGTAGTTGGGCGATGATATGATCCTTCAAGATAACACTCAGTCTCGGTCTTAGCGACTCGATGCCAACCTGCGAGCGCGGCAATGAGGCCCACACACCGTTGGCAAGGAACTCTGCCTCGGAGTCACGGCGCTGGTCAAGTGAGAAATGACGTTCCTCATACTTTCTGTTTTTGAGAACATGCCACCCAAGCCGAAATTCCACTCGCTTGTTCCCTGCGAGGTTGAGGAAGGATTGTTCCATGTCAGAACCTCCCGAAAGAGTATCTGGTTTGGTAATGATGCCCATGGTTCGGTGACCATTCGGATCAACCTTGCGTGTGAATGCAGTGACCTTCTGGAGCGCTATGTCACTCTTAGCAGAGATCACTGCTAATATGACACTGCGCTTGTTTCGGATGTACGAGAGGACCAAGGATTCCACGAACTCGACCCCTTCGGCGGTCTGCGACTCGTCGGGTGCATGGTAGAGCCCGGGAAGATCAACGAGGGTCAAATGAGGCTGTGTTGGACCCGATACTTCAACGCGAAGCACATTCTTGGAGAATATATGGCCGTCCCTACCCTCCCCGATGCATATCTCGGCATCTCGGACAATTGCAGCAAATTGGTGCAGATCGATGGTGGATGATTTGAATTGCTGGATTCGCTCCTTTTCAGCCGATGTCCGATCGTCATCTGGGTGAATAGAAGCAGTGACACTGGTCTCCGGTGCTCGTCGCAAGATAAGCTCGGTCGCAAATCGGGTACAAACATTGTCCTTGGTCGGGAATGCGAGGCCAGAAATCGCTTCCAAAACGGAACTCTTGCCGGAAGACTGATCGCCGCATACAATCAACTGTGGAAGGTTAATATACTTACTTATACCCTCCGACCTGAGTTGATCTATCACGTTCAGAATCTCTTCGTGGTCCTTTGACTGCAGTTGGACCAAAGGCGTCGTGGCCTTATCCGAATGATCGGTTTCTCTGCTGTTGTCAGGCGCCATGTTATCGCTGACTGGAAGGGTAGTCTCGTCAATGAGCACCCCCTGAACGGCTTGAACTTATTGCTCAACGCATGTAGAGAGTAGTCGAAGGAGACAGGGGAGGGGACATCCAGCTTCACTATATGTCCCAGCTCGACAATGGGTTATCAGAGGGACGCATTTTCGTGGGCATGGCCCAGCATCTGTCGTTGGTCGCCTTTCTTCCAGTCTGCATGTCTACTGCAGGTAGATGCAATTGGTCATCTGGGAACGAATGGCTTCTGTAGAAGTTGTTGATCGTTGACAGTGCTGCAGGTATCGTCTTGCCTACATTGTCTGTTCTTCAGCACTGGGGAAGACGAGACTGTGCAGGTAAGTGCATGTGAAACTCGTGCCTTAGGATGCTCCTCCAACCCGTCTTGGAAGCATGCAGCAAAGAACAAAGAACAGCTGTAAACGGAAATCGCCATATGCGCTTGTCCACCTGCTTGCCAATCACCTGGCAGTGAGCTGGAAGGGTGACGAGGGTGAGCAGGAAGTGAGGCTCAGAACAGCAAAGCAACAAATGAATGACTCGCAGACCGATGAACAACGCATGCCTGCAGCTGTTGTGCTACCCAACTGAACATGTAGCGGCGTAGAGCTTGTGAAGTTCCCAAGACGAGGATGTTGGTTCTTCAACAGGCTGAGAAGAACAATCATCGTCTGCGCTGTCGTCTCATCGCAATTTTGTACTGTAAGTATTGCGGGAACGTCCAAGTACTGGGAGGGGATGGTGGTGCTTAACTACAGTACCTAACTAGTTGCTTGGCCGCGCCAGGCCTAACACGCCGGGGATGGAGCCCTTGAAGGCCCCCAGTGGCATGTTCCATGACGGATTGGTGCCTGATTATCCTCGGCAATGCATTTCATATTGAGTTTCGACCAACACCACGATTCTTCTGAGCTCGAACAAATTCATACGCTCGATAACACGTGTCAGACGCGCCTCGAATCGTGCAACAGCTCATATTGTGCCCATGGAAAAGACGATGCTCGAGTGACGCGTCTGCTCGCGCCGTACGTGCTTGTAGCACCGCGCTCAGGCCTCTGAAGTTTCGATCAGGATCGACTCTGGTACTTCGACCGCAAAGTGTGCTCAACTTTGCCCACCCTGCTGACTGCAGGCGAAGCTCCTGGCGCCTTGTCTAACAGCCCAACATGCCACTCAAGCAGCTACCGTCAGACTTCCCCATCCACACCTTCTCATCCGCCAAGGATTTCGAAGCTTTCCTCGACCGAGAACATACAACGGCCCCGGGATGCTATATCAAGCTTGCAAAGAAGGCTTCAGGCGTCCCTTCCATCACTGCACCGGAAGCAGTAGAGGTTTGCTTATGCTTCGGCTGGATCGATGGTGGAGGCGGGGGTAGCATCGATGAGACGTGGTGGTTGACGCGGTACACTCCACGCCGAGCGAAGAGCATGTGGTCTAAGAAGAATACAGAGACCGTGGCACGGCTGGTTCAAGAAGGCAGGATGCGACCGGCAGGCATGGCTGCGGTGGAGGCAGCAAAGGCGGATGGTCGTTGGGATAGAGCATACGATGGACCAGCCTCCATCACCGTTCCCGATGACCTCGCTGCAGCACTAAAGGCTACGCCCACGGCATCAGTTCTTTTCACCAGCTTGAACAAGTCAGAGCGGTATGCGGTGCTCCACCGCGTGCAGACAGCGTCGTCAAAAGCCAGGGCTACTCGAATCGAAGCACTTGTACAGATGCTGGCCGCTGGGAAGGTCCCGGGGAGAGCACAGCTCGAAGCCGTGCCCGGAAAGGACGCTGGCGTGCGTAAGACGTCCAGGGAGAGTAAGAAGACCGCAGCTCAAGTGAAATCGAAGAGCACGAACAAGACTGCTGCAAGACCAACCTCGAGTGTCAGAGACGTGCCAAGCAAGGATCTCACCGCAAGACCAGCAGGCGCAGAGCCTCGGCGTCCTGGCCTGCGCCCAAGACGCTGAATCCAAGCATCGAACCCTTTTGCTATATTCTAACTTGCGTCCATTCTGGAAACTCCAGATCCTGCCTTGGGATCGACATCATGGTGCGATCATCAACGTACTCCTGCAACGGCAGCGTCTCAAACTGGCTCCTATCACCGATCCTCACACCCCTTTGCTGGACCAGGCGTGCATACTCCATGGTCCTCCGCACGAACTCTGCGTGGTTGCCAGTCTCGAGATACTCAATGAGCATGAGCACATCAAACGCAGCCTGGCTGGTGCTGGCTACTGTATGCGGCCTGAATCCGGCCAACGCGTCTCCAACGAGCACGACCTTGCCGTTGAAGAAGTTGTTAGTCGGTGTGATCACGTCTGTGATACATTGCACAAAAGGCTGCTTCGTCTTCTCGACCATCTCGGACATTTGTGGGGGAAGACGATCTCGCCCGCGCTTCTTTACCATCTCCCACGCCTCTGGACGCATCATACCCGGTGGGATAGTCAGCCGTCTGCGCTTGCCATGCTTGTCAGTCATCACCTCCTCGAGCCCCTGCTCGCCCTCGGGAAAGTTTGTGTACCACACGAAATTCAACAATCGCTTCCCCGGCTCCATTGCCCCGTCAGGACCTGGGATCGTGTACGTCAAGTTCTGGATGCCGGGTGCGTGGAAGAAAGTGAACCTCTCCACAAACACCTTCTTTGCTTCTTCCGAGGCTTCGTTTTCCGGCACGGTGCCTCTTATCACGCAGTATCCAGCGTACTTCCTCTCGACCTCTGGACACAGGATCTTGCGGATGCGCGAGCTTGGTCCGTCGGCACCGATCAGCATATCTCCGACAATGGACTCCGTGCTGCCGTCGGACTTGTCGTAGAATACCCTGATCTTACCATCTTCCTCTTGGAAGTCCTTCACTGTACAACCGTATCGGTAGTCGATCTTTCCGTCTCCAGGCTGAGGTCCAGGCACTTTACAGTATCCACTCTCTTGGTGATCGTAATTTGCGCGAAGCAGGTAATAGCACAGATCCCAGCTGGTCATGGTCCCCTTCAAGGGCATGTCTCGGACAACATTGCCCGATTGGTCGAGATACATGCGTCTCGGGGCCGGCACAGCGACGGGTCGTTTGCAACGGTCATAGCGCTCAAAGAAGGTCAAAGTGTCGCCGCCTGCAACGATTCCGGCTCCCTGGTTCTCCAGCAAGTTCGTTGGTGTTCTTTCGAGGATCGTCGTGTCGTAGCCATGTTGCTTCAATGCCACTCCGGTAAAGAGCCCGCCGAGGGAGCCGCCGACAATGACGACATGTTTGGGCCTGGTCCAGGATGTCGACGCGTGGCCATTTCGCTCAGCCATGGCTGTTTTGGCTGTCGACTGCCGTCTGCAACACAAGCACTGGGTTAAAGTCGAGGAACAAATAGTCCCATGAACGTGGGAGAACAAGCCGATGGGCCACCACACGCTGTCTGAGATCGCTCGAAGCGGGAAACGCCGGTCTTCGTAGGTGGTGAATACGGTCACTGTTCTGGGCTGCCTATAGCCTACACGGTCGTGCTGTTCGGAGACGATCTGTGGACGAAGAACAAGCGGTTCTCAAGAGGATATTAGACACGCTAAGCTTGAGTTAACTTATACTGGCGGTCATATCTTTGCCAATCCTAACAAATAGCATTCAGTAAATAACGAATCCGTTGCCGCGATCCTCGCCCTACTCCGTACCGGTTGAAGAAAGCTTCGTACAGTGGTACGAGTACATCCACCACATCCTGTTCCTCGCCGATCCGTAACCCCGCTTACTCCGCGCCGGCGGAGAATCGTGGACGACTATACGGAGTACGACAGTGACGACTACAGTAAGTTGTCGACGTACGGGACACATATTCTTGTCCCTGCACCAGATCAACTGGACTCTGGTATCATGCCATATGCGAGACTTGATTCGTGGTTACAGAGGATTACAACATGATTACTGTACTCCGTACGAATATAGGTACCTAGAGGCCTGTTTTCGTGATCACAGGGCCTCAGAGTAGACAGCCATACGCACGCGAGGCTCGCCCTTGCCGGACAAGGTTAAGCTTACGATGGGTAGCCTCATCGACAAGGCTGCCGAAGGAGCCCCTCAACCGCGCGGCGCAACTCGGCGCCAAATGTTTGCATTGCGGTTACCACGTCGCTGCCGGACACGAGATCTCCTTGATTAAGCAGCCAAAAGCCTTCACGTGCGCCTCTCGTCTCGAGAAACCCCGAACGTATATACCATGATCGCCGACTGGTGACCCGTTCTTCTGAGCAAATGGCCAGTGGCGGCGTCAAGCGATCGCTCTTCAGCAAGCCCGCGTGGGCGGCGGCGTCTACAAAGGGCACAAAGTCCGACGCAAGCAAAGAGGACGGCGGTTCGATCTTCGGGCGCAATGTCGCCTACGACGAAATCTTGAGGGCACAAAAAGCAGAACGAGAGCGGAAGGCTGCCAAAGCAAAGGCACGGAGCGAGAGGCAGAAGAGCAAGGAAGCGAGTGAGGGTCCTCCTGAGTGGAAGAGGCGGAGGATCTCGACCGAGCTGGACGATAACTCGGACACCGATGGGGCCAAGAAGAAGAAGAAGAGTCGAGACAAGCCCGTGATGACGAGGAGTACGCCGTCGGAAGGAGGAAAACCGCACACAGATGAATTGGATGCCCCGGCGCACAGTCCGCATTCTAGTCGTAAGGACAGTGGAAAGGCCACCGTTCTCAACCGGGACCGAGATGGGGACGGTGAAGACGACGAGCTAATCATGCTCACGCCTCCGAAGGTTCTGGATGCTACGCTGAAGGGGGGGAAGATGAAGAAGAAGACGACGACGCCCAACCCGGAGGATGGCCTCGACGATGAACAAACGTCGTCAGAAGAAGACGAATACCTCCGCCAATTGAAGCAAAAGGCGCGCGAAAAGGCTCGACAACAGCGTGATCGTGATCGTGATCGAGATCGAGATCATGATCAAGGTGATCATCTAGGTGATGCCACGAGGCCACATACGCCCAGTAGTCGAGGAAATTCAGCAGCGTTTGAACACAACCACCAGCGCTCCTTGTCCGCTGCAAAAGATCATTCACCGCGCTTCGCTTCCACAACTCCCACTTCTGCTGCGTCTTTCAATACCCCGAAAGAAACACCCGCACCTGCACTTGCCCCAGCCCCTGCCCCGGTACAAGAAGAGGACCCGGAGGTCAAAATCCTCATCTGTTCCGAGATCCACGGCACGAAGCCTCTAATCGTGAAGCGCAGGGCGTCGCAATCCCTCAAACAAGTCAAAGAATTCTGGTGCCGGAAATTCGAGCTCGATGAGAGCGTGGCCCGCCAGGTCTTCTTCACTTGGAATGGCACGCGACTGTTCGATTCGACGACAATGCGTGGGATCCTTCGAAACTTGAAGAAGGAGGCCTGGCAGAAAGGCAGGACCAAGTATGCGAACCTGGTCGGTGAGGACGGCGGGGAGGGAAAATCAAGATTAAAATCCACGGCATATGGATATGGAGACGCAGATGACTTTGACGAAAACAGCGCCCAGGATCCGAGTAACGGGAATATCGTGGTCGAGGCGATGACACAGGACATGTACGACCGCCGACAACAGAGACAACAAGACGGCACCGCCGACTCGGATCAGCAAGATCACGACCAAGATCAGCACGGGCGGGCCGAAGAGCAGGCTCCGACTCAACCGGACATGAACGCAGGGGCGATCATAATTCGTTTGGTTTCCAACAACAAAGATCTCGAGCCCATGCAACTGCGCGTGCGGCCGCACACGACCATCGGGAAGATCATGCGCGGATATGCAGCGACGAGAAACATCGACGAAGGGAAGACTCCGTGGCTGATCTTTGACGGTGAGCGGTTGGAGCCCGAGATGACGGTCGACGAGGTCGGGTTCGAGGACGAGGAGCAAGTTGAGGTTAGCGTTCGCTAGGCAGAACCGGTCCCCGGATGAATGAGGACTCGATGACACGAGCCAAGGCAGAACGGGGCACGTAAATTGGAATCCTCAGAGTAGCAGGGTATACCTGTGCTGAGTGAGAGCCACGAGGCAATACGACACATTGGGCGGCGATCGTCTCGCGTATCTTTGCCAGCAAGCGATACTTCACCAAAGCAAGGTCTAACACAGCGAACCTTTTGCTCGGCTCAATTCGTTGATTTTATTTTTGGGATTTTTCTGCTCACTTGTCGAGCGCCAGCCAGTCAGTTAGCCAGCTCGTCGTGCTGCACACTGACTTAGTGGCCTCGCCGTGCCTCTCCGGGATGAAGATCGAGCCGAGTCGAGTCGAGTCGAACCGTTTCCCACCTAATGCGGCCCTCGAGACTCGTAATCGCTCAGTCTCGCATACTGACCTCAGGAAGAGAAGGACAGTTGAATGTTCTGGCATTGCATTGCTTTGCACTGCTGGATAACATCATGCTGTGCCTTGCCCTGCCTTGCCCTTGCCACGCGATGCCACGTTAAATCTGCCCATCTGCATCTGCGTTGACCATCTCCCCCATTTCCCACAACTTCCGCATCTAGTAGAACAGTCTGCAGTGCGGTGTCTCCACGCCTTCATTCCACTCCCATCCCACTGCAATTGAACGTCGGATTCCGTGTAAGAGGGCCAGCGAGTTTAGTGGCCAGTCCTCCTCGCCTCGGCGATCACGCGGGTCAACTCGTCAACCTTCCTCTTGGCGCGGCCGTATGTACCGAGCTGGAAAGTCACAGAACATGTTAGTCCTCTCTGAAATCTGAATGGTTTCATCCTCTTTGACTCTTGACGTTCGTTTTTGTCCCAGTCCCAACTTTTTATCACCCACATCCGCTTGTGTCCGACTCCCTTTCGTCCACAGTGACTTGAGGAACCGGGGATGTGGTGATTTCAAAATTACAAGGGGGTTAAGGCAGAAAACGTACTCTCTTCTTGGCCAGCTTTCTTGCGCGCTTGTCCTTGCTGTTCCGGAGCAGTTCGATGACTCGGCGTTCGTAGGGAGCCAGGCCGGCGACTTCCTTGACGATTTCGCGGACAAAGGCCGTGCGTTTGGAGAGGGCACCCTTGCGGCGGGAGATGCGCGGTTTGGGAGTCAAGACCGTGACTTTCTGGACCGGGGGAGTTAGTGTCAGTGAGTGGGTTTCTTGAAGTGAGATGGAATAGGATGGAGATCGCTGTGTAGAGTCGCGGGCAGGTGGGATTCTGGTTCTTACATGGCCTTTGTTCAAGCCGACGATGAAGCCGGACTTCTCGGTGCGTTCTTTCGCCATCTTGGAGGATCGATGGTGCTGGCGAAAGGGAAAGTTGTTGGGGGAAGTGCACTCGTTGGAAGGCGGATTGAGGTCTCACTTGTCGTCCAGTTTGATGCGCAGTTTGAACTTTTCGTGGGGGGAAGTTTGCCGATTGTGTGATCTGAATGAGGATTAGCGTGTAGAATGTCTTGGCATTGGCCTTGCGTTTGTGGGCGGCGATCCGACGAGGCTGTCGTAACTCTTCGCTTGCGATCACTCGGATCAGTTGGATCGATCATGCGCCTTGAAGAACTTGTATCGCTCATCTCATCTCATCTACAGCTCAAGAGCATGCTTGACTAGCCTCTTATATCCGGCCAATGCATCCTCCATGTCTCCCACTGTCAGTCCTTCATCTTTTCCATGAGCCACGAGAATGCTCCCTGGCCCGTAGAGAAATTTCTTGACTCCGTCTTGGACTTCTAGATTCGGCACATCCGTCCCGTAGTTCACGGTGATGGTATCAAATCCCCTGACGTCCGCGTCCAACGGGACGGGCCCGTAGCCCTGGCTGAACTCCAACTCCAACAATCCCTCTGGATCGACCTTTCGGACAGCACGCGTGACAATCTCGCGCACTTCGGACACCGTGCCCCCCGCAAGTCGGAACGTAATATCTGCTGTGGCATATTCTGGAACCACATTCCCCGCCACCCCGCCCTGCATGTACCCTACATTCACCGTAGATTTGCCGTATTTGTCGCTGCGAGGCAACCCTCCCTCCGCCTCGGGGATATCGCCCAACGAATCGAGCACCATCAAAGCAGGTAGGATCATCGAATTGGCACTTCGCCCCAGCCACGGATATCCACTGTGCGCCGCCTTGCCGTGAGCCTTGAGCGTGAGCATTTCGATGCCCTTGTGTCCCGCGGCGAGTTTGCCCTCGGTTGGCTCGCCGAACAGGATGGCCTTGTAGCCGCCGTTGCTCGCCTTGTAGAGCTTGGACTCGGAAAACGCGCGCATGCCATCGCCGCGTTTTTCCTCGCCGACCACGAACAGCAGAGCCACGTCCGAGGGCGAGACGTCTCCGCTCGAGAGCAGATCCAATGCCGTTTGGAGCTGGACGGCTACGCAGGCCTTGTCATCGACGGTGCCGCGGCCGGAAATCAGGATATCCTTGCGTGATGATTTGGATTTGGGAAGCGATAGTGAATACGGGATATGTGGTGGAACCGTGTCGATGTGTGAGGATAATAGCACTTTCGGTTTCGTCGTCACATGATCTCCCTTGATAGATGAAGCTTCTAGGCTGGAATATTTCGAGACATCCGGATAAGCGTAGACATTGAATCTGTCTTTCGTACTGTTGTTCGAGTTTGGCGGCGGTACGCTCTGCGTTTTGACGGTGAAGTTGTGAGCTTCAAGGACTGAAATGAGAAGTTCTCCGACTGCAAACTCGTTGTCGGTGATGGATTCGATTTCGCAGATTGCGCGGTGAAGAGAGAGCAGAGGGGATGCGGCAATTACGTCCGAGAGTTTCTCCTTCTCGTGATATTGTTCTGCCAGTTGTTGACCAGCTATTGTCTGCTGGCCGTCGTTGTTGACTATGGCTGTGCATAGTATCGGCAGCAGAGAGGTGAATCCCAAAAAGAGCTTCATGGTTCCTGTGAGATGTGCCAATGTCTCCTGTATGCCATGTCACGCTCAGCAAGGAGCTGTGGTAGAGCTTACGGAGCTTATCACGACTTGAAGACTGTAAACGAGGTTGCGGTCATCGACGTCTGGAGCTCCACCAACGTTGCGATAGATTCGGACTTCGTCGCTGTTCCCACCGTCACACCGTCACACTCTCGATCTCGATCTAAGCTGTTTATTGTTCCGAAGTGCACGAAGAAGCTAATGATGACTTCAAGATTAAACATCGAGAGCTAGCTTGCCCTCGTCCTATGTCGATTTCACACCATTGGACTGCTTGCCTTTCTTTCTCTCTCTCCGGCGCTCCCACACCATAAGGTACCCTTCTCTCGTGAAAAGCGTCTCGGATTCCGCTCGCTGGACCCAGAGATCCTGAATCTCCAGCCACTCAGGCAGATCACTCCGCTGAGAATAAGCAGCAGCCTTATCTCTAAGCTGCACTTTCCAAGCTACTCTCAACCCCTCTGCTCCTACAGCCATGTTCGCCGCGTCTGCTGCGTTGGTATCCTCTCCACCAGTGGTTGCAACCGAAGTCGTGTCCAGGATGATATTTGCCACCATATCATACAGGATAGGCTCTCCAGACGGGTGCACCGAAGGATTTGGCTCTACATATGGAGACATGTCCAACCCCCGAGGAGAAGGAAACGTCACGATCGTAGGATTTCTCTCAGCCACAAACTTATTCTTGCTAAATCGTTTGACGTGGAAGAGGAGATACGGCGGCAATGGATGCAGTAATCGATGCCGGACTCGATGAGCTGCTCTCTCCATGGCATTGAGGCCGTTGTATTTCTGCAACAACGTCGTAAGAGGAACTTGTGGGATGATGTTTTTGGACTCGACTGCGTCCCGGAAGAGAGGTACAGGCGGTAGGTCTAGTGTTAGAATGAGATATGGATGAACGTCCGTTTTGATGTTCGATGACTCTTCAAAGCGTAGCCGGTCGCCGGTGGTGTCCGCCTTTGCGGTGATTTCTTGTGATTCCATTCTCAATTTGCCTTGGAAGCATCTGTGTATGGGAGATGACAAGGCCTTTCGTGACCCACCCAGCATGCTGTGGAGGTTGTTGAGAACCCATGTCAACAGCTCGACAGGATCTGACTGCTGTGTCAGAGTGAACCTCTTTGAAGACCGCAGCGCGATCTCTTGCAACAGTTCATGAGGCGACACGTGCGATCGAAACGCTCTCGGGTTCCACAGCTTGCGGACCAGGGTACTGAACCGCACTGGTAGTTGCGCCGCGGTCAGAGGAAACTGGTGGAGGAGGAAGAAATCTCTCAGGGGGGTGATGTGGGCCAGAGTCTGCACTACCACATTCAGATAGTCGTTGGCCTTGATGTTATTCATGCCAATAAATCCAGGCCTGTATCGCTTGTTCGCAAGGTCGGTCGACTCTTTCGGGTCCTTGTCTAGCATTTTGACCTCCTCCACGGTGTATTTGGGATCCACCACATACTTGATGTCGTCCAAACTCTTGTTCTTTACTTCGTAACCCTCGGGGAGCACGTATACCCTCTTAGTTTCCATGTTGATGAAGACATGGTGGTCGAGCTCGAGCGCATGTTGGTATGCTTGTGACTGCGGTCCTCGTCCTTGAAAGTATTTTCCACACACAAGACACGCATAAACATTGATGTTGGAAAGGGTAACGGAGCATAGCTTCTCAAAGTCGAAATCAAGTAAGGATCGGTTTATGGTGTCAAGGTAGAGGTCGTCGTAGCCTTCGGTGGGGGCACTTTGTCGCAGAGGAGCGGCAGGTATCCGGTCATCTTCCACGTCTGATTCCACTTCATCTTCCTGTCGCCCGTTTATGACTCCTTCAGCTTCCTCCGCGCCGTTCGAACGCAGCCGGGTGTCCTGGTCGCGGTTCGCGGTCGGTACCTCTTCGGGTACGTCTTCAATGCGCGCTCTTTTGCTGGCTGGAGACGTCTCGGCGAATGCACCCTCCAAGGGCTCTTCCGATTTTCGCTTTGACATTTTGTGGAAATCCCTTGTTCGGTGGGTAGAGCATGCGGGTTGAGGTGGTCGGAATTTCCAAAGAATCTCAACGCGGGGAAGCCTTGTCTGACATGATTGGCTGGTTTTCAGCCTCGCCAAAAGGTCCCAGGCAACGAGCCCTTTCAGGATAGGAGCAGTCTGACTGGAGAACACGTAGTGTCTGCTGCGCAGGTGAATCTAACCACTACCGAGTGCTGCCATATTTACTGTCGGCTCTGTCTTCTTAAGAATTCAGAAGGGGGCGCAATGCCCGCCGGCTGAGACAGCTACATTGAGAATACCGAGAAGATCCATTCACAATTCCTCCGAGGCTCATTCCTCGCTATTCGCTATGAGCTCTTCCCAGATCCGGGGTATCGCTGATGAACATATGAACCGGTGTTTCGACGGTCGTCCCTGTCATCTGCGTCAACTTTATATATTTCCCCATCCAAACTTCTCTCCCAATTTCAATGTAATCCTTGCCCCAGCCGCCCAGATCGCAAAGTTCGTCAACCCTTGCATGCTCATTGTAATTAGATAATTGCCCCAGAACTGGAATTCTTGGCGGACACTAAGCCTTTGCATTTGAGCCCTGAGACCGAGAGGCCATATTTCACCCATTAAGGGCGCTGTGTTCGCGATCTGTTGATTGGAGTGACGAGCGAGGAAATTCCGCGCAAGAGAGCGCATGAGGATAATGTCAAGTGGAAGGAGGATGATTGACTCCACCAGCGAGGTCGCGTGGTAGGCGAAAGCTTCAGCTGCGTAATTGGAGAGGATTGTGACGCGGTAGGTGTCGAAGTTTGTGTCCTGTTGACTGTGTTCATCCGGTTCCTGACGGCGACGGTTCACCTCGTCCCTGAAGGTGGGAACATGTTGATCTGAAACTGTGGGTCGACGAACGGGCCTCATCCCAGCAATTCCACGGAGACTGGGTGCTCGAGATATCCCAGGAACAGGTGTTGGTGGTACTGTCGCTTGATTTGCGGGAGGATTTGATCCTCGATTGTCCGGCGTCGAACCCAGTGGCGGAGGCGACTGAGGTGCTACTTGTTCAGCTGTTGAAAGCTGGGCAGGAGAGGTCGGTCCAGTCTCTGGCCGGTGTTCGATATGAGCTGGAGCAGGCTGAAGCAGAGTCTCCAGTGGGACAGCGGGGCGAAAAGCTGGCTCCTGAGCCATGGTCGACCCATGCTCCGCATCTCCTTCAAAAATGGCAGCAACGTCAGCTCCCCATACCATGGAAATATAATCCGGTTCATCGGGATTCGCACCACCAGCCGAGACTCGCCCTGCCGCGAGAGGTACAGCCCCGGTTGCAGTGGGGTGCATGGAAGCTCTTCTGTCTATAAATGCAGTAAGAGCACGTTCCAGGGATCCCGAGCTGCTCGCTCGGTCGCCGTCATCGCCACCAGCGATGTCGCTCGTAGTGGGGAATGTATCTTGAGTCTCGGCTGTGCCCGTGGGCATTCCCATTTCACCCTCAATTGCGCTCTGATCCACATGACTTGCGCCAGCCATGACATCTTCAGGCGGCGGTAGTTCTTGCGGCTCTGGGGTCGAAGTAGAAGCTCGACTCGAACCAGATAAGCTCATCTCATCTGCCAGTTCGAAGATGTCGACCATGGATGAATCTGGGTCCAGGTTAAAGTCGTGAAAGGCGGTGCGGATTGCCATCACCCGGAGCGTTCTCGAGGCACGTGTAATGCCATTTTCACGGTCCTGACCCACCAACGCGTGATAGTGCATGGTGCTGCGTCTCCTCAGCTCCGCCTCCATCTCAGGGCTCAGTTCGATGGCCATAGGCACTCTTTGCGTATGTAGGACGCTGAGCGAAAACCAAAGCAAGTACGAAAGCCATCGATCCAGCAGTCCCTTGACCCTTCCTTCTCCCAGGGCAAGTCGCCGGGCATTCGCACTCGTGATCTTCCCTGGAGCAATATGCAGCCGCACACTTGCACTTTGCAGAGATACTGCATCTGGCCTATTAGGTTTGGCAAGGAGTTCGCGTATCCACACGTAGAGTTTCGGGAAGAGAATATTGCTGACCTGATCTCTGATCATGGCTATGACAAACGGGCTGCGCATATGCGTTGCCAGACCTGTTGCTAACGAGAACCAAGACTGGATCGGGAATCGGGCTTGGTCGTAACCGGGAGCGTCAACTTCTGTGAAGGGGATCATCGCGAGAAGGGAAGGTCTGAAGCCAGGAGGAAGAATGCATAATGCTTGTAAAACCGCGTAAGCGTGGCAAGAGTATTCAATGGCGAACAAGAATATTTGCAGGCTTCAGGCCGTTAGCGGGTCAGAGGAAGGTTTGGGATGTCTTACCTTGCGTAGCGGATTGTGCTGGCGACTCCCGAACGTCGCCAACGGCTGAATATGCGATCTGGCAAGCTTGAACCGGCATCTTCTCGAAGCAGCGCCAATCTGACATACTGGCTGATTCTCGCAAAGGTCGCTGGGAGAACGCCAGCGAACAAGAATGCACCAGCTCCCAAGGTGTGCCAATCTGATGATATCATGTGTGAGACTGGCAGTTCCAGATATGATTTGTAGGTCTAGGAAGGTCAACAGCAGGAATGAAGTCCTATATCTAAGTACCTACCAAGACGCGCCGCCTGATGTTCTGTATCCAGAGGGTTGACAACCGCTGCAGAATACTCTCAGAAAGGCCTAGGTAGGCCCCGGCCGTGTTTTCTTCAACCACAAGTCGAAATTTCTGCTTATCGTCCATGGTTTGCCACCGTGAGCGATTTGCTTTGGCTTTCTTTACGACGACGCCGACGGTATAGAGAGCTTCATTCTGAGCGCGTAGAAGCCTTCGCCGTGACATTTCGGAGCGAAGGTTTCTCGGATGGCCACGACTATCGAAGTCCTGGATGTAGTTGCGGCCAGTGTCGTGTTGGACATTCGGTCCAAGGATAAGATCCCCATTTTCGTCTTGTAATGGAGCATCGAATGGTGATCTACCCTGGCACACAGTGTTAGCGAAGTTGAGTCGGTGTCAGTTTTGACGACAGGCTGGGATTGAGGAGAGTGGTATTCTGGTACAACTGCAACGAAGAGGTCTGTCAATGGCCTTTGAAGGAGTTCGAGCAGGAACTGCTCACCAAGGCCAGCCGTGCAAGATGAGATTGTCGACCCATGTTGCACCTGAAGATTCAAACGGCGCTCAAGCAGGAAGGAGACAGCCGTGAGGAATCATTGATGTGTTCCAGGTCCAGGCCATCAGAGTTGCACCGGAGCACAACGATTACAAGATCGAGAGCTTTCGATTCACCACGAGATCAGCTGCTTTCCCTGTTATTGCGCGATAAAATGGACAATAAGTAACGTTGATGAGAAGCCAACATTCACTACTTACCGATCCGCCCTGCCAAGGAGAACCCTCTAACCGCCCCGGGCAAGCCTGTTCGGTTATCCCGGTGACACCAAGTTACAGCCCCGGGGGTGCTTAACTAAGCCGACGAGCCCCTAAGCTCTCCAGCCTTGTTATGTAACTCGTACCGACACCATGACGGACCACATCCTCGTGCTACGACTGGACGTCGTCTTCGATGATATTGTTGGTGAACGCCATGTATACTAGATCCATAGACCATCACAAACAATTTCGGCATTTAGCCATTCAAGGCTCATCATGCTTCTGTTGGCTACTGGCAAAGACAACGACACCGAAAAGCCGCGCCTTTCTTTTCTCTGACACAGTTCGAATGACGAGTGTAGAAGTGACGATGTTCGACCTCAGACAATTGTTCCCTACGCACCTTTACTCGGTAGCTTCCCTGTTGATGAGGAGCTGAAACTCCGTCCATTCGGACTCGAAGACTCAAGGAGGTCTTTCTGGCGAACCCACTCGCGGCTTCAGCGATCAGATTCCAACCCAGCTTAATACGCTCGGCATGGAATTGTTGCTTTTGGTTTGAACTGTCGAGGCACAATTGAAATCAGAAGATACGGTGGTGCTGACCATGGATGTTCTAAGAAATGCCGAGCTCTCCCACGAACGGAAAGATTGTGGGTGACAGTCGTCATTACGAGAGGCGTGTGAGTAGCAGGTGCCCTTCGCGGGAGATCTTGGGTACAGTGTTTGAATGTTCGATTAGCGTTGGACGGGTGTGAGAGCCGTTTAGATGCTTTGCAGGAAAGTGGTGACTAGAGCAATACGAGAAATTGAGACACCATGTATGCAAGGAAAAGAAAAGACCTGTATGTAGGTAAACAGCCTCGGATTGCGCCAACGGATGTTGTGCAACATGTACAGTGACAGCTGCAGTGTATACACCACGAGTGGCAGAAGAGGCGATCGCCACGACTATCGATGGCTATGGTGAGCTAGCTGAGTGCGCCTGGCCATCGGTGTGTCACTGCACGCTCACCGCAAACAAACCAATCCCTACCCATGACCCTACTCCTCTGCCTTGCATACAAGCTGTTAAATACCTTATCCTCACTAGACTAGCATGGAATTAGCGAGCGCCCATTTCAAACTTAGAACGATGAGACTGACCACCAAAACACACTGATTTGGCTCGTATCAATGCGTGCTGGGAGGTGCCTTCGATTGCTCAGGACGAACAGCAAAAGGTAATCTCCGGGTTCCTTTACTAACCATGCATTCGGACCGCTGCTTCGGGTGTGGTAGGGTTCCCGTGCTTTCAGGATTCATGTCTGGACTTCTAACGATGATAATCTTTGCGTTGTCCGCTGACAGAATCTGGTGTGACCAACAGATGGTCAAAGGCCGAGGCACCGGGTTCGATGGATCGCTGATATAATGCAGCTCAAGTAGCCTAGGCCTCAGAAAGGACCACGGATATCTTCGCTGTGGCTGGGATATGCACCTTCGTACATGAGCCGGAGTCACTATCAGATCGTGCCCAGTGGTTTTCTTTAGACATCGCCTTTTCTTGCTCTCGTCCTACCCAGCCGTTCAGCTGACGCTTGCCTCCCATTATTCGTTGAGGTCTGACTATCCTTCGAAATCCATCTAGACGAATCGCCGCTTCTGAAATATAGATGAGGTCGCTGAAGGGAATCCACTCGAGTTTCATGCATAGCCTGTGACTTGCTGCAGTGGACGGGTTGTTGGTATTTATTCGCGTGGTAATAGCAGCGCGCTATCCGCAAGTCCTCTTCATTGGGACCTACGGAGAAGCAGTTACCCATCGTGACACGAGGATAAGGTTGATTCAAGCCGGGAGGTTGGAGCTTAGGATCAAAGTCGGACTAGGATCCCAGAGGGTAAGCGAGTAACGGAGGAAGACTAATCGTCGAGAACGGAACCAAGCTGAGTATGCCGCGGGCTCCGATTTAAGGAAATTCCTCTACTTAAATCTGCAACAGGTCACAGACTTCTGAGGACCTGGTGATGGGTTTCTGTGTTCAAGACCGGAGATGAGGCTCTTCCGGTTCACGCCTGTGTGTTACCACGGAGTCGGGGCCACTAAGTGATGGTTTGTCGAATCTTTTGAGAGTCTGCATCCCGCGTAAGAAACACTTTCGGGGCCAAATTTCTGCTCTATTACAATGCAGCATGACCTGCGAGAGGGCTCCAGCATCTTATACTGAATCCTTGGCCGTTGAAGAATGTAGAAGAAATCAGCAAGAATCGTGGCAAGTAAGCTGAGACGGAGGACGAGGAAAGGGAGACGCATGCCTGGAGTTTAAAGCGGCAAATCAAAAGCTGGGCTGCTCAGCCTTGCCAAGGTCCATCGACAAGGCTGAACCTTCCCCGCGGCCAAATTTTGGATTGTCCACAATTTACACTGTACACCCCCCTTTGACTCTCACGCTCTGATTTTCTCCCAACCGGCCCAGACCTTTGACCGTCGACAATGGCCGGCTACGATAACCCTACGCAGATCTTCGCCGACTCGGCAACAGAAGAGAAGGGCGAAAATGCACGGCTCTCGGCCTTCGTCGGGGCCATCGCAGTGGGCGACCTCGTCAAATCCACACTCGGCCCTAAGGGAATGGACAAAATCCTACAGAGCGCGTCAACCGGAGAGATCATGGTGACAAACGATGGAGCCACAATCCTGAAGAGCATTGCGCTGGACAACGCCGCGGCGAAAGTCTTGGTGAACATCTCCAAGGTGCAAGACGACGAGGTGGGCGATGGCACCACCTCCGTCACAGTTCTCGCAGCCGAACTGTTGAGAGAAGCAGAGCAGCTTGTCAACAAGCACATCCACCCGCAGACCATCATCGAAGGCTACCGGCTTGCCAGCGCCGCGGCGCTGTCGGCACTCGAGAAGGCCGCAGTCGACAACAGCAAATCGCCCGACCTGTTCAAGAAAGATCTCCTCAGCATCGCACGCACAACTCTCTCCTCGAAAGTCCTCGCTCAAGACCGCGACCAGTTCGCCAATCTGGCCGTCACGGCCATCCAGCGCCTCAAGGGCAGTATCGACCTCAACCACATCCAGATCATCAAGAAATCTGGCGGAAAACTCAGCGACAGCTACCTCGACGAGGGCTTCATCCTCGACAAGCGAGTGGGTGTCAACCAGCCGAAACGCCTTGAGAACGCCAAGATCCTCGTCGCCAACACCGCAATGGACACAGACAAGGTGAAGATCTGGGCCGCACGCATGAAGGTCAGCAGCCCGAAAGAGCTGGCCGAGTTGGAAAAGGCGGAGCGCGAGAAGATGAAGCAGAAGGTCGAGCGCATCAGGGCGCACGGCATCAACTGCTTCATCAACAGACAGCTCATCTACAACTGGCCGGAGCAGCTTTTCACCGAAGCCGGGATCATGAGCATCGAGCACGCGGACTTTGACGGCGTGGAGCGTCTCGCGCTGGTCACGGGCGGAGAAATCGCATCTACATTCGATCATCCCGAGTCCGTCAAACTGGGGCATTGCAATCTGATCGAAGAGGTCATCATCGGCGAGGACACGCTGATCAAATTCTCCGGCGTGGCCGCTGGAGAGGCCTGCACGATCGTCCTGCGCGGCGCGACGGAACAACTCCTGGACGAAGCGGAGCGATCCCTGCACGACGCGCTCGCCGTGCTAAGCCAAACGGTCAAGGAGCCTCGCGTCGTACTTGGAGGCGGCTGCGCCGAGATGGTCATGGCCAAGGCCGTCGACTCGCTGTCGAACAAAGTCCCCGGCAAGAAGCGTCTGGCCATCGACTCATTCGCCACCGCGCTGCGTCAACTGCCCACGATCCTCGCCGACAACGCGGGCCTCGACTCGTCTGCACTGGTCTCGGAGCTGCGATCAGAAGTCTACCGCGGCATGACGACTAGCGGTCTCGACCTGTTGACCCCCGGCGGCGGCATCGCCGACATGCGCGAACTCGGCGTCATCGAAAGCTACAAGCTGAAGAAAGCCGTCGTGGGCAGCGCCAGCGAGGCCGCGGAGCTGTTATTGCGGGTCGACAACATCATCCGCGCGGCCCCGAGGAGGAGGGAACGCATGTAAAGCGTGGGTAGCCGAATATCTGAGCATGCAGTGAAGTGAAGTGGAAAAGGAAAGGAAGGCAAGGGAAGGGAACAGACAGGACAGGACGGCACAGGACTGAGCACAACTCGAAAACAAAACATGCACGTAACGCCGCCTACCTACATGTACCCGTCTACCCGCCTCCCCGCCTCCCCGTCTACTTTGCTCGCCTCCCTATTACCTGTTACCTACTACCTATACCTACCGTCTACTACGTACCACACCCATTGACATGCACGCCCAAGACGAAGCACGCGCCATGTCCACCAGAAGAACCAAAAGAACCTCAAAAGCCGAAAAGATAACACAGTGAGAATGACGAGGGACGGACATGAAGAGGGAGAATGCCATCCATCCTCTCCACTCAAATCGTACAGTACACAGCGCCCCCCCTCAATGCAAGCATGAGCCTGAGCCTGAGCCGGGGGAGGGGGTTGGTTGCGAGACCGGACCACCATACACTGCGATACAAATATGCGGTCGCGCAGGAATGGCATGGCATGGCATGGCGTTGTATTGTGTGGTGGTGTGGCCCCCCCCAATTTGCCACTATCTACCTACCTACCTACCTCTTCGACTCGACTCTGCTCTACTCCGTACTTTTCACCCCCAGACTATCCGCCGGTGGTGGGTGCACCCCCTCTGCGAGATCGATGGTCACATACGAACATCATGCCACGCCCTGGTGCGACATGGGCGACTTGGGCGACTTGGTGTGTTATGCACGGGTACCCGGTAGGATGAATATGTATTCCGTACTCCGTACTGTGGCGGACAGGACATTCAATGGCTCAAAGGGCGCCACACTTAAGAGGACCTCTTTGCGGCTATCGCATGATAGATCTCACGCAGAAAAAGATAGAGACAAGATCCAGATCAAGATTCACATCCAATTAGTCCACAATAAGCCCATGCACTGTGAACGAATACTCTAGAATTCTACGTCACCCGCTCCCCTACCAGTCAGGTTCCGTACTCACTGCGATGAATGAATCGCTGAACCTGGCTACTGTAGCTATGTAGCCTACTCGAACCATCTCTCCATTTTGAACCGCCCGACCAGGTCCCTTTCCTGGATAAGACAATGACAGTTGATGAGCAGACTCGGGAATCTCTTCGCCCAGAACTCATAATACCCATTCGCACTCCCACCCAACATCTGCTCTTTGACATCATCGGGCAAGTCGTGGAAATGATTCTTCTTGTTCCGGATCACTCGGAGGAGGTCGATCATCTTGGAGCCTGTATACTTGCGCTGCTTGCCCATCTCCGTCAGGAACGTCTTGGGAAGAGCGCGGAGCCAGTCCTTGGACGGTCCGATGACGTTGGGAGCAAGTGTCTCCAGGGCAGCGAGTTCAGCTAGAGATGCCTTCTCAGAGGGTGTCCGCATAGCATTCTCGTCGTGGATGTTGGGCACCGAGTTCTTTTCACGCTCGTAGCAGTCCGACACATCACAGAGAAATTCGAGCTTGTCAGCAACGTCCCAGAAGTATGGATGGCGAAGGATCTGGTCTGTCGTGGGTCGTTCCTTGGGATTGTGTTTGAGCATTTGCATGATGAGGTCGTCGGCGTCAAATTGGTAGTCGTGGAGTCGTAGATCTTCTGTGCTGAACTTGTTCTCTTTGATGTTGAGGTCACGACCCAGACTTGTCCCACCAACATCAAAGGGGTGGCGACCTTGGGTCATCACATAGTAGAATACACAACCCAGGGAGAAGATATCTATCGCTTTGGTGGCCCGACGACCGGATGGCGGATCAATGACAGTGGTTTCACTAGAATGCGTGGTTGACTTAGACGTTGAGTTTGAACTGACGTTTAGTGCCGTGACCGCTGATCGGGAACCGACGAGCAATTCTGGAGCTCTCCATCCCGTAGTGCCAGCAGCTGTATGGTTGGCTGTAGGAGCAAACGTAGACTCTGGACCTTCCTCGAGCGGTTTGCATAGACCAAAGTCAGAAATGACAAACTGGAGCTTGGGCAGTCCATTGGTGGGTCGATTGCTCTTCACAGCCTTGACGAGCACATTCTGAGGCTTGATATCCCGATGAACCAGCTTGAGTGAATGTAGATGTTGAACTCCATCAGTAATCTGACGGAGTGCGTCCTTGACATCGAAGCCTTCTGGCAACTTGACCAGGTCAGGATACTGGAGCGGACGCTCAATGAATTGGTCGAGCGAGGTGGTGAATCGTTCGAGAGCAATATAGGTGAAGTGTTGGGACTCTTCCTTTCCAAAGTATCGGATGACGTGCGGATTCTCGTCGCTTGACAGCAGATGTTTGATCTCTTTGGCAGCCAGGCTGTTGGAAGTCCTGATCAAGCGCTTGACAGCAACTTCTCTGCCGTCCAAAGAGCCAGGAAATACGGCGGTGCCATTGCTGCCGCGGCCCAGACATCGATCTTCCTTCGTGTCGATTCGAAGCTTTCCAACCTGGAGCAGCCCGTCCTTCGTCGGGATTTCAGCAACAAGCTGTTCTTTCTCGTCCATAGCCTCGGGATCCATTGTCTTCTTGCCTTTTTTGTTCTTCTTTCCCCCTCGTTTCCCACGTTTGGCGTGCCTGCGGCGAGGCTGTGCTTCACCTTCAGCTGTGCCATTGAAGCTGGAATCAGGTTGATCCTTTCCATCTTCTGATTCAGCATCGGAGCTGTCGTCATTGGGGTCAGGCACCCTGGCGGTTTTGACAGGACTGGCAACGGAGGCGGCCACGCTGTGAGCTCGACTTCGAGCTGGGGTGGTGATGGCATTCTCTAGGGCTTCTGACACGACCCCAGGTGCATCTTTCTCGTTCGCTACCTCAGCGACTGGCAGTTCTTGCTCTTCAGGAGCAGCGGAGGTTGGGCTGGGAGTTTGAGCCTGGATCTTGTCGACCGCCACTTCGACGCCTGCCTTGCGGAGGAAACGTTGTAACTTTACCATGATGGGTGACCTCATTTGCAGACCAATCACAAACAAGAAGATGCTCACACAGATGATGTTGAAGACAGACATCAGAGGGTGGCTCACGACGGGTAACAAGGCAGGCGGGATTTTTGACTCCAAAGCAGCCATCGCCTTCTCCGCCTCTTCGACTAAATCCGTCACAGGCGGGGGCCCTGAAATTGTCAGGCGGACTGGGGTTGTGCCCTCGTGGCCAGATAGCATATGAACACCGACAATCTCGTCCAGGTCGCCATCTAAGTCCAAGGGTTGGGCGTCGTAGTTCCAATTTGAGCTTGCCGGTGCCGCACCGCTAGTGACGCCGGGATAGGACAGTTCGGACATGGCATACCAGACTCCTGCTTCAGTCTTGTTTACGAACACTCGTTCGGCTCGTTGCATCTCATTCCGCCATACGTCGGCAGACGAGAGTAAAGGCGAGTCAGTAGGTCGAGAAAGTAATACCAGGTTGGCAGATTCATCGTGGTTGTCGAGCGGACGAACAACGTCGAAGACGCGAGCCACGGGGGTGTCAAACATCTGCGTGAATCGTGGAATCTTGCCATTTTCCGAATCGTCAATACCAATGATTCGACCATTGTAGTAGCTCTGAATGTGGTAATTGTCAAGGGGCGCCACATACTGCTGTTGCAGATCGCTGTCCATTTTGTTTGGTAACCATTCGGCGAACTTGATGGTGCATAGTAGCTGGCTTGTGATTCTGTGGGTTATCTGGATAGTGTACTCAACTCTTCCCAGATTGATGGTCCCGATGGGGTCACACGCTGGATCGTCCAGTTCGAAACCACTCAGTCGTCGGCAACTGCGGCTCTGGTCGTCACCAAAGCCACGATATTTGTCAAAGCGCTGGAGGATATTCCCCGTGGCGGCATCCACGATATACGCCGTTGTTTCTTGCGAGGAGATGGTGACAATGGGCGGATTGTCCACAAACTGGGGTGTCTGGGCCGCGAGGGACTTGACAGTGACGCCAAGTCGTTGGAGACCAATTCTGGGGTCTCGGTGTTGAACGTAGAGGTTCCCGTCTCTGCTCGGCTCCACAATGAACATGTAGTCATCTTCATATTGAGACCCATCATAGTCCAGATCACTGCGGTTCACGTGGTGATGGATGGTCTCAATCATGGGACTGTTGGGGATGCCCAGTGACCATCTTTCATTGCCTGTCTTTCTGTCACGGGCGTGTATGGTGCCATCAATGGTGGCTAATAGGACAATGTTCTCCACCTCCCAATCTTGCAGCAGCCGCGCTGAAGGAAGCGCAGAAAGCCCCCCTGGGGAAGAGGACTCGATAGACTGCTGAACAAGAGGTGCTCTGACAGCGCTGCCACTCAGAGAGTCGTAGGCTGGAGCCAAGGCACGGAGTTTTTGGTGTTCGGTATCTTCATCGGTGCTATAAAATCTGGCCGTGGTGATATCGTTCTTTAGGAGAGAAATCTCGGCTGGGCTGCGGCCAGCTCGAGCAGGGCGTCGGCTCGACTCAGAACGGAGGCTCTGCGTTGCGGCCACCAGTCTCTGGGGAATATCGGATTGGTGCAGGGATTGAGACTGGGTGGCAGCGAGGAGAAGAAAGAGCACTGCCCAGGTCAACATTGATTTCGGGTTGGCGTTGGATCCTCCACCGCGGCCAGGTGCTGGCCGAAGCGGAGGTTTGACCATGGTCGAGTATAGGCAGATCCAGCGCGTCGAGAGTAGATCTATTCAGATGTGTCCATGATTTTGAGCATCAGGATAGTGAGGAAGAGAAAGAAAAGGTGGTGGTGGATCTGTGTGGGATGTTAAGAGGCGGGAGGTCGGATCGGTCGGTCAGCTTACGACAGTTGGAGGAAGTGAAGTGAAGTTCACCAAGCCCTTAATGGGTTCCTCGTTTCGGAGTCGAGTACGGAGTACGAGTACTCCGTACCCGTAGGAACACAATCCTGTGGGGGCTTACGGGGCTCTGGGCTCCCTTCGCTCGGTTCGGTGACGCCTGGAACGTGTCACTGCCACTGCCGCTCACTCCTGGCTGAGCCATCCAACGATTGGCTTCTTCGACCTTCCCTGGCGGCACGTTCCATTCTCGATCTAAACCCAATTCAGGTGTTTCAGAAATTCAGCCTGAAGCTAATTCACCGCCAAAGTACACAGAAGCTCGTAAGTGGGGAGAACAAAACTGCAGGTGTTCTCCTGAGAACTGCATATCTCGACTTCGACTCGCTGTAGCTGCAAGTCTAGATCGACCGTGCTCCATAGAGCTCTAGGGAAACAGGCAAGGCTGGTGGAAATCCTCCGTGAGCTCTCCTACTCCAAAGCAAGGACGGACGCGGTGGTCTGTTCTCCTTGCATCTATCACCCAGTGCACCCCTTGCCACTATATTTGTACAGTTCATTACACCCTCACATCTCCCCTGCTTGTGACAAGAACCTGCCACCAAATCCGATGAGAAGAGAAGTGAGTGTCGGCCATTAAATATCGTGTATCCGTCATAACAACGACATGTCAAGAAGAGGCGCTGTTCAAGGTCGTCAAAAGCAGACAACATACTCGCCTTTCTCGTTGCGCTTGATCCGCAACGCTCTCCACAGGTCTTGTTCCTCGTCGAGCTTGGATGAGCTACTCCTCACATCGTTGTGCTTGTGCCAACGCTTGAGCATCTTGTGAATGGAATATCCCTTGTCTGAGTCCAGCCCGGGCGCATTGGCGAGGAAACTGCGACACGCCCGCTTCGCTTTCTCTTCTGCTCCGAAGACGACCATATCGCCGTTTGTGCCTTTTGTTTTCCTGGCCGCGCGAGCAGCCTCGGAGTCTGAGTCCGAAGCTGACTCGTCGTGCTTACGGTATTCAATGGCCTTGAGTTTCCGCGACGTGCCTTCCCCTTGCGAGGGTGAGCGCGACTCGTCACTGTATCGATGGCGAGAGCGGTGTTCATGTCGGATATTAGCTGACGAGGTGCCGTTGTGACGGTGCACTTTATGCTTCTTCCTCTCCCGCTTCTCGCCATTCTGAATTCGTGTCAGGCTCTGGCCATGGTCGGATGAACTGGCTCTCCTCCTCGTGCGGCTGTTGGACATTTCGCTCGCACCTTGGCCTGCAAGCAGAGCTCCACCGACCATGGAGAGAGCCTTGACGGCTCGGCCCTTGATGGAAATGCCTAGGCCGTTCGAGTCCTCCTTGGTATGGCGGGTGCGTTTCAATGGTGAGGTAGGGTCCTCGAGTTTTTGGCCTCGACGCGTGGAGCGCGCCTTCACGATGACCGCATCGCGCCTGTCTTCTGGATCAGGTGATCGACGAAAGGGATACGCCTCGTCCCGGGACATCATGCGACTCAGTCCACCAGTGAGACCGGAGTGGATAACTGCAGGAGTATCTAGTTTGACCGTATCAGGCATCAGGGTATCTCCCTCGAGCTCGTGCACTTGGTCATCAGTGGGCCGTTTCCTCTTCTTCTCGCTTCCGCTGTTCGTCCGGCTATGCGACTGCGGTCTTTCTTTCTTACTCAACCTGGATTTGGCCTCTTTCGCGGCTGGTGTCATGAACTCGAGCGACAACGAACTGCCGTTCATGTCCAACAAGCCTCGAGGCAGTACCGGCTCGGTCCCCCACGTGAACCCGTTCTCTTCATACTCCTTGCTGTGCTGATGCTCTTCACCATTGCGGCTGGACGGTCGGCTGTTGGTGAAAATGGAGGGAGCACTGTGCTTCATAGACATTTCTCCCTTGTCCTTGGCAAAGCTGATCTGTGGCGTGCCAGCTTGATCACCGTCGTCGACCATGTAATCAAAGACACTGTCACGGTTGGACGAGTCGGGTACCGCAGGCGGGGGCGTAGGGACGTGAGGAGGGGTTTCGGCATCGGCGACGTCTTCGACATACGGTTGACGGGGCACGAGTGCCTTTTCACCCTCGGGCTCAACGATCGAGACGGACTTCCGTTTCGCGGCTTTCGAGGGCTTTTCGCGATAGAGCGCGCCCTGATACTTCTGGTCTTCGGTAATGCATGACTGATTGCCCTTGTCAGCGCCAAAGTTCTTCGCCGAGTCGGGCGCATGTTTGCAGCGACAAGGTTTTGGACGATCCACATACTGTATGCGCTCTATAGTGTGTTCCCTGAAACGTCGTCATGCAGTCGATGCAGGTGAACATCGCCCCGCGGCATTGGTTGCGATGCGGGTCGAGTTTCTTCTTGGTGAGGACGTCGCCGCAGCCCTGCAGTCAGGATTATTAGAAACCGGTCAAGCCGTGCGTCTGTCGCGCATTGGTGCTAACCTCGCATTGGAATGAGACCATCTTGCGTGTTGTTGTCTGAGTGGTGAGCGTGGGAGTTCAGGCGTGAAGACACCAGTAAAATGAGGGTCAGAGGATCGCACCGCCGGTTGGGCAGCAACAATGGGGTCGCACGAGAGCCAGCTCTCGAGCAGATCAATAAGAATGTCAGGAGAGAGTGAGCTGACAAGCTGATGAGCCGGCGAGCTCGTGGATGGTATGTGTCAGAGGGGCAGAAATGCGTAAGGAGCGTGTTAGCGGTTCACGACCCTCAACCTGCTGCTGTTCACGATAGCGTCTTTCTCACTTGGCAACACATTTTATATTTGGAGGCGAAAATCTGCGGCTTGAAGCGGCATAGTCGTCGTCCTGGCCTGTGAGCCTTACCCGGTTGCTACTAGTCGCACACCATTAAACGCCTATCAGAGGGGCCACCATGCTGAAATCAGGGGAACCAAGCTTGCGAAGCCCAGGTTTGAGACTCGCTCGTCCCTGTCCGCGACGCGCCTGACCACCGATGTCTCGCGCGTTCAGTGGTCAGCTGGCCGGCTGCCGCACATCATGATTGATCCCTCTGGGCCACGAACACCTGGGGTTGCCGGCGTGAGCAAGTAAACTTGTTTGTGGTGCCATCCATCAGGCTATGCACGCACAACAAACATTCTGAGCGCAGCTGTACCCGGTAAACAGTGTCTACGTCAAGGAGCAACACACAAGCATTTGCGTCCTCAGCTTGTACCACCCACCATCGCCAAATTTCCAACCCACCAGCCAATGTGTGGTCTCTCCGGAGCTGCCGGCCCAGGAGCCGTGGCACCTGAAACCACCCTCTCACATTCACATTCCTCTGTTACAGACGCGCCAGATGATGCTGCGGCATCGTTGCGAGTCTTCGTCCCCCACTCCACACTTTGCGCGGCCGCATTCGACCTTGTGATATCCGCCGCCTTGCCGCTGTCGATCTTGCATCACTCTCTACGGGTCTACCTCTTTGCGAACTGGTTGGCGGACAAGGAGAAGAGCGAATGGGCGGACAGCGACCTGTTGTTTGTCGCATGCATGACGCATGATATCGGTGCATCTCACAAGCACGATGGTCCGCAGCGGTTCGAGGTCGAAGGCGCGGATGCTGGTGCCGAGCTAATTCGGAGCCACAATAAGTCGGAAGCAGATGCGCACGAGGTGTGGACGGCTATAGCACTGCATACCTCGCCTGGTATCGCGGAGCGCATCACGCCATTGGCTCGACTGGTGAGGCTGGGTGTGCTGATCGACTTTCGCTTGGCCACAAGATCCTCTCTGGGCGCCGTGGACTATGCGAGGGCCATCGAGGCAAGGTTGCCCAGACTTGATATTGAAAAGGTCCTGGGCGACGCTGTGGTTGAACAGGCAATCAGGAACCCAGCAAAGGCACCCCCCGCGTCATGGCCAAATAATTTATACAAGTCACACCTGGAAAACCCGCACTGGGAAGGTATCAACCGAGGATTTTAAAAGAAACCATTAAATGTGTGTATATATTGACAAGAAGAAACCTAGGGCGACACCGGTCATAGTTGTAGTCGCCTTCCAATAGCTCCAAAGCAGATGCTGGTGCAGAAAAGGATGCTCGCCAGCCATGTGTACACTCCAAATTTTTCAGATGCCATCGGCTGGTGGATTGCTGGCACTGGCACGAAGTTTGGATCAACAACCAGCAAAACCATCGTGCCAACGGTGCTGACAGCTGCTGAAAAGGCTAGACCGGGTAAAGATCGATCAATCAAATACCATAATACCGGATTTGCCAACGCTAAGGTCAGGGCAACCTGCAGTGTCGACATCCAAGGGATTCGTCGCTTAAGTATGTCAGTCAGAACTGCGACTGCAGATAGGAAGAAGTGAGCTCACCACCGCGAATGCAACCCCCACAAAGACACCCATGCTCCGTACCGCCGAGTACCACAACGGACCTAGTCCACTCTCCGACGATGAAGCTGAGCCTGCCCCTTTGGCTGAGGCTGCCTTCGTAGCACCCGGTTTGGCATCTGATGAGACGAAATTTTCCCACAAAGAATCAACAGCCGGCAAAGCGTTTCCTAGCAAGACACCAAAGAGGCCCCATAGCATTTGATAGGACAGAGTACTCCGGTCAACATCTGGCACGGGCACTGGGGTTATTCGTTGCGTCTTGTGAAGATGGGTGATGATGGAGCCATAGCCAATGCCGAATCCGCCCAAGAGCATCGTCTGCAGCATGAGAGGCACCACATAGCCACGAAAACCCCTTCTCTTCAATTTGGGCCGAGCCTTCGTAGCCTCTCCGTTCCACGGAAGAGATTCTGGTGTAGGTTTGTAGTCATAGTCGTCTACGCTACGCCTCTTTGCGGGAGTCTGTGCACCAGTTCCCCAAGGTGTCGACATTTCTTCTCGAGCTCCATCGCCGCTGACAGGAGAGTATATCCCGAGTAATGTGGACGAGGTGAGGTTCAGTATAGACCGAGTCCGACTAGGGGAGGCATCGGGGGACTTCTGGGCCGAGAGGAGCTCCGGGTTCGTGGTCTCGGCCGGCGAAGGGGGGTACGACGAGTCGCTTGAGGCTGGCGTTATTTCGAATGCTCGTCGAGGAATAGGGCGATAAATCGGAGGTATCTCCATGATCCCGGGAGTTAATAGGCGTTGCACAAATGGAGCTGCGCCTGTTCAAGGCAATGCTAAGCTCAATATGAGGCAAAGAGATCCCGCCGTATGGTGAAGGGGGAGGACGCAGAGATTCAACAGTCTCGTGCTGCCGGAGTTGCGAAGCAAGAGGAAATTTCTGAAGCATTACGGAAATGCGAAAGGTCTGAGTCTGCGAACGAGCGACATTTGAAACGGTGAGATGGACCCGGGTATGTGTGGAGCAGAGGAATGATCGCCTGTCTCAACAATGGCACAAGAGCTGGTGATAGGAAGTGGCTTCTTACTTTCACATGTCCGTCTGCAAGTCGTCGTTACACAGACACGAAACCCGGACTGGTTGGGCGCGGAGCTGGACATTGGCGCGCGAGTGGCACATGATCTGCAGTAACTGCATACAGTACGGAGTACGGAGTACCAAGTCCCCCGAATCCCAGCTTCACTTTGATTTCACTTTGATTTCACTTTGATTTTACATTGCTTTCACTTTTCATTTTCTCGCCATGACACTTACAGCTTTGACTTGGAAGCAGCCGCTGTCCGAGAAATCGTTATCTCGTCCCAGTCAAGTGGCTTCCGCGTGGTTTGAAACGCCTTCAACCCGATGGCAGCTTCGCCATCTGACCGCATCATCCTGTCAAACAGCTGCTTGACGCCTTTCTCCTGCTCATCACTTCCAGCGTGTGCCCACCCCAACCTGATGAGTTGCTTGCACATGCTTGACGCCTCTGGCCCTGCTATCTTTAGCTGAGAGAGATATTGATCTAACTCTGCGGACAGCTGTGCAGGGTCATCCACCACCTTCGCAACCAACCCGAGTGACCGGAGCTCGGTCATTGTTATCGGGCGAGCAGAGAGCATCGCCTCTCGTGTGAATGCCAGACCCCATTCTCTGATGATGTATTTCGATATTGTCGCGGGGCACAGTCCGAGCTTTGCCTCACTCAACGTGACCGTCGCCGACTTGACCGCGAATCTGATATCGCAAGCAAATGCAAGCCCAACTCCGCCACCAAATGCTGGCCCGTTGATCGCAGCCACCGTCACTTGAGGCGCGTTGTCGATTACTTCGAAGAGCTTTGTCAGCCGCTCGTATTGCGCGTCACTGACTTCCTTCGTCTGAGCAACTGGTGAGGTCCCCTTGCCTAAGTCCATGCCAGCGCAGAAAAATTTCCCTTCCGCCGATATGACAATGCGTGAAAGTGAGCGGTCGTCTCGCGCTCGATAGAACAGCTGGGTGAGTTCCTGTATCATAGGGACTGTGAGGGCGTTGCCTTTCTTTGGTTGATTGAGGAGCACCTTGAGGTTGACGCCAGACCGATAAGTCTTCACACTTTCTGTCTCGCTGACCAATGTCCACGAGAGTCCGGAGCTGGCGGGGTCGTGGAGTCGTGCTGTATCCTTCGCGGTCGATTGAAGCAGAGCCTGCTTCGCGGCCAAAGCAACACCGGCACGACTCTCGTTCGGTTTCTTCAGCTGGGCTGAAATCCAGTTCCCAACCTCCACCAATTCGGAAAGATTCACCCCGGTCTTCAATCCAGCTTGCTCGAACAAGTACACCAGATCTTCCGTCGCAGCATTTCCCTTCGCGCCAGGTGCAAAAGGGCAGCCTCCCAGCCCAGCGACACTACTGTCAAATACGCGCAGACCGCATTGATAGGCTTGCCACACGTTCCCCACGGCCTGGCCATACGTATCGTGAAAATGACCTGCAAGCTGTGACGAAGATATGCCGTGCTCGAGCAGATGATCAAGGAGACTCTTCACATCAGCAGCCGTGCCAACACCCAACGTATCCCCCAAACTGACCTCATAACAGCCCATATCCAACAGTTCCCGCACGACCTTGAGGACGTTTGTCTGGGGCGTCGGCCCGTCAAAGGGATCCGCGAATATACAACTCACGTACCCTCGAACGGCCACGCCAGCAGCAGTCGCCCTCTCCGTGACGTGTCGTGCCCTCGCCAATCCTTCATCAACCGTCGCGTTGATGTTGGCTCTGCTGAATCCCTCCGTAGCACTGACAAATACAGCGACCTCTCGTACGCCGTTTTCCAGCGCGGCCTCCAAGCCCTTCAGATTGGGAACCAACACCGGCACGCGAAGCGAGTCGTCCTGTACCATTCCCTTGATCACGCCATCAGCAAGCACAGCCCGACAGTCCGCCAATTGAGGGATCGCCCTCGGGGACACCACGGACGTGATCTCAATCGTCTTGAGACCCGTCTGTCTCAACTGGGAAATCAGCTCCAGCTTCTTCGCCGTCGGAATCACCGTCTTGATATTCTGCAGCCCATCACGGGGTCCGACCTCGACGATACGTACCGCACCCGGCGCTTTAGACATGGTTGAGTTCGTCCTCGCAGTGACACAAGCTCTGAGGCGCCCTGCACGAGCGAATACGCGATGTTTATGACACGTATTAGAAGCGCCTCGTATCGTGGACGACGACAACGATGAGAATGAGAACGACGGCACACATGCCCTCCAGAGAGCAGAGGAGAGGACACGGAAAGAGATCCGCACCTCCTCCATGAATATCGTCCTTCCGGGGGCAACGTATGGGTGTGGCTACTGTTTCAACTCAGCCGTAAATTTCCACGTCCGAGCATTTCAGCTTTCCTCCCGTACTAGAAACCTCCGGTGATGCTGATCACCTATGCGCCCGTAACTCGTACGCGTGTCCGTCTTCGCCCGGACGGTGATGTTTCTGCGTCGGCTTCCTAACCTCGGACCGCTCTGTACTCTATCACACACGCGTACTGCGAACTCGACTCGGCGCTTGTCGCACATAGTACGAAGTGACGTACTGTGTAGAGCCGGCCCCGAAAGACACTGGACGCAATGGGCACGGCCGGGCCGGCCGTGGTCGTGGTCACGGTCATGGTTATGGATACCTAGGTAGGGGACTCGGCACGGACGCTAAAAATAAACCCCACCTTTTCCCCCGCCCGGGGGGACTCCCGTGGTGCCGTGGCCGAGGAATGGGCGGATAGGAGGACGGGAAACGAAAACGTCTCCACTTCAGCCTCGTCTCTCAGGGGGCGAGGGTTCGGTTCGGTCGCCGACGCGAGTGGCAGACTGACGGACAGCTTGGTGACGTTGGTCGGTGTTGAGCTCAGCTTGGGAGAATTTGCTGGGCAAGTGCTTTGTGCTCTGTACTCGTGCTCGTGCTCGCTAGGGAGTACATAGGTACCTATCTAGCAGAAGTATACTCTCTACTTGCCTCAGTACCGATGGAGTGATGCGTTTCGATGTGCGAGCGTTTAGTCTCGCTCATCATCTGGATCTTGACGACTTACTGTAGTTAGAGAGTACTCGTTTAAAGGCAAATATATTCCATGCACGAGAAGCACGAAAGTTTAGATTCCTAGGATACATGATGTACCAAGCATCTCCAGGGCGATTGCAAAGTAGGTCGAAAATGAATGCGTCCAGCCAAATCAGCCAGTGCAATTGTGGTTACAGAGCAGTCTCTACCCTTGCTTGATCCCAAGGCACAAAACTCCAGCTCCTCACAAGATCTATAATCGCGCTTTGACTCTCGCTTCCTCCTGTTCCCCTCTTCCCTGCTTGACAAGCCTCTCCCCTACATCCCTGAGCACATGCTTCATGATCTTGCCACTGCCTGTCTTCGGGAAATCATTGCCCACGCCTTCATCGCCAATCCAGAATACGTATCTGGGCGCCTTGTGGCTTCCTAGACTTTGGCGCACAAAGTGGTTGATCTCGCCCCAGGAGGGGCGATTCAGCCTCTTGTCGGTCCTTGGGTCATGAGGCAGATTCAGAGACGGATTGATGTTGGGCGTGAGACACCCTGCTTGGGGCTGGCCGCGCAGGAACGCACCCACGACTTCCCCGTATTTCGGATCGCGGATCGCGACGACGGATGCTTCGGCGATGGAAGGGTGCGTGGACAGGAGACTTTCGATCTCATGAGGGAAGATGTTTTCGCCGCCTGAGGAAACGTCAAAGATAAGGTCTCCATACGGTGTACAATGGTGGACTACTCTGCCGTGGCTCACCTCGAATGATAACATCCTTGATCCTCCCCGTTACCGAACAGTAGCCTTCGCTGTCTATGACGCACTCGTCACCGGTGTACATCCACAGTACACCTTCGTCATCCCGCTTCATGACTTCCGCTGTCTTTGCGAGATTGTTGAAATACCCCTTCTGCAGGGCATATCCGCTTGTACACAGTTCCCCTCTCACGCCTCGTGGGACGATGTTTCCGTCTCGATCGACGACTTTGGCTGCCGTGTGAGGGAGTACCCGTCCTACCGTCTTCGTCTTCCTTTCTTCGTCGTCGCGTAATGAAGTGATAAATGTGACAGGACTGGTCTCTGTCATTCCATACGCGATTAACATGCCTCGAATCCCGAACTCTTGTTCCAACTGCTTCATCAGGATCGGACTCACGGAGGACCCCGCCGCCAGCCCCGTCCTGACGCCGCTAATTCGTAACCTTTTGGTCTTGTTCGCTTCGATTTCGGCAATGAACATTGTCGGTACGCCGAGGAGAGCAGTACACTTTTGCGAGAGGAGGGAGTCGAGCACTTGAGAGGCATCGAACTGATCGCAAGGGAAGACAATTGTGCTGCCGTGGGTGAAGGAGGCGAGGAAGCCCAGTACTAGGCCAAAGCAATGGAAGAGAGGGGGCGGACAGCAAATTATGTCGGAGGCGGTCAGGGCCATTGCGTCGCCGATAAAGCGGCCATTGTTGACAAGATTTCTGATTCACTCGTTAGTGTTGGCGACTCAGTCGGAAGAAATGTGACCAGATATTACCTGTGCGTCAGCATTGCTGCTTTTGGAACGCCAGTTGTTCCTGTCTCTGTCAATGCTTCATTACGCCCGCCTTAGGGAAGCACTAGACTAACCAGAAGTGAACTGCAGGTTCAGGACGTCGCTGTTCCGGACATGGCTCTCTGCATGTTTCAGGGCTGCCGTGGTGGTGGATTGGGCCTGGTTGAGAAAGGACGAGTAATCGCAAATCTTCGACGTGTCAGAGCTTGTGCTACTGCCGCTTGCGACTAAGACACAGAGAAGGGAGTCCAGTTGCGTAGTCACAGATTCGATGTGGCTCGACAGATCTTTCAATTTGATCTTTGGGGCGATGAAGAGCAGTTTACACGCTGTGCCTCATGTTAGCGCGCCCGATCAGAACTGATGCGCGACTTACAAACTACTTTCAACGCAGAGACCAGCTCTTTCGCTGTATAAGTATTGTTCAACACCACAAACGGGCAGCCGATGCGTGCTGCAGCCAGGAATGTCTCAATGTACTGATAACAGTTTCCTGCCATGATCGCGATGTGGTCTCCGTGCTTTAATCCTCTGGCCAACATTGATCTCGCAACTGCTTCGCTCCTGTTCGACAGGTCCTGGTATGAGAGTCTGTGGTTGCGCTGCCATGAGAATGTCGCGGCCGTGTGGGCTCCATATTTGGCAGCCTGTCGTTGTATAAGTTCTCCCAATGTCTCTTCCCACAGCTCCGGCACTTTTGGCCCCGACACGATCGACATTGCTGGAGACGTTATTGCCATTTTAGCTTGCTGGAGGGCAACGGCGGTGCTGCCCATGATGTAGGTCGTGCCTTTCTCAGTCTTTCGTGGTCAGACTTAGAGGTGGTGGTGGTGGTGGTGGTGACACGCCGGAAGTCTTGGTGGTAAACTGTGATCAAATAGCTATCCAGGATCGGCCACAACCGTATTTGTCGGCCATCCAGGATACTATCCCGTGTTCCCATTCTGGAATTTGGCACCTCAGACATGGTACCTCTCCTCTGTACAACCAAATTCGATGGCGGGCCGTCCTCACGTGGATGGGCCGGGGGCTCGGAAACAGGGGACGGCCATTTCCGGGGCGGCCTCGGCAAAGACTCGCCCGCGGATGGTCGTGACAGGAGGTTAAGGACGAAATATCATCTGAACTTGCCTTTGCGCTGATTTGTGAGATGGTATTGTACACCTAGTCTGAAATATTCTGCTTCGCACATATGTCGCAAGGTGCTGGCTTCCCGGTGGTGGAAACTTTGGTCGACTTGACCCAAGAAACGTACAGATCGAATCGAGAAGCATGGAAACCTGTACTGCAAGAGTATGCCGACAACCTGAAGAGAACGACGTCTGAAGGCAGTCCGCAATCGCTCAACAGGCACGAAGCTCGGGGACAACTGTTAGCGCGGGACCGGATATCATTGTTGCTGGACGCGGATTCGTCGTTTCTGGAATTGGGCACATTTGCAGGCTTTGGTCTGGAAGATTCAAGCCCCTGCGCGAGTCTCTTAGCAGGCATTGGAAGCATAAGTGGCCGGACATGCCTCGTAATTGCCCATATCGCAACCCAGAGTGGAGGAGCCTGGAACGAGTTCACGCTCAAGAAACAAAACAGAGTGACCGAGATCGCGAATGAGAATGACTTGCCTCTTGTTGCCCTGGTGCAATCAGCAGGCGTCTTTCTGCCGCAGCAGTTTCGTGTCTTTCACCAAGCCGGTCAGATATTCCGCGACCTGGCTGTTCGGACCCAAAACGATCAAGCTTCGTGTGCAATCGTGTTTGGATCATCCACTGCTGGCGGCGCGTATCACCCAGGATTGTCCGACTACACCATCTTCGTTGAGAACCAAGCGCAGGTGTTTTTGGGAGGTCCTCCACTGGTCAAGATGGCGACGGGCGAGGTAATCGATGCTGAAGAGCTGGGTGGCGCGAGAGTCCACGGAACTGTCACTGGTCTAGCCGACCAGATCGCTTTTGACGAGTTTGATGCTATTCGCAAGGCTCGTGAATGGGTCAGCAGTTTGAAACCACAAGAGCGACCACTGTCGTCTATTCGCCTTCCATTGGCACCACGGTATCCCATCTCGGACATCTTCTCGATAGTGAATCCAGATATTCGAAAGCCGTTCAACATGAAAGAGGTGGTGCTACGCTTGGTGGATGACTCAAGACTAGCCATCTTCAAACCGGAGTATGGCCCTAATCTGTTGACCGGCTGGGCGCATATTATGGGTTAGACTTCCTGTCTTGTTATTGTTGTTGTAATCTAGGCTGACCGACATGACCTAGGAATACCACTTGCCATCATCGCCAATCAAACACCAATTATTAATCCAGATGAAGCATCGAAAGGAGCACAGTTTATCCGCATGTGCAACCAACAAGACATTCCCATCGTCTTCCTGCACAATGTCACTGGCTTTATGGTTGGATCCAAGGCAGAACATGCCGCCATCATCAAGAAAGGAGCTCAATTTGTGTCTGCTGTCAGTTGCTCCAAGGTACCTCATATCTCCGTGATTCTCGGCGCGTCATACGGAGCTGGGAATTATGCCATGTGTGGAAGGTCTTACCGGCCACGATTTCTCTTTACATGGCCCACCGGGCGATGCAGCGTCATGGGCGCAGAGCAATTGTCTGGGGTGATGGCCCAGGTCGAGGCAAATAGTGCCAAAAACAAAGGCGTGGTGCTTAAGCCTGACGAGGTCGAGGCCAGGATACAGCGTTTGCGGAAGGAAGTCGACAGAGACAGTAGCTGCTATCGGACGTCTGGGACTGTGCTGGACGATGGAATTATCGATCCTCTCGACACCCGCGACGTCCTTGGGATATGCTTGGAGATTGTGCAAAGGCCGCAGATACAGGGCAGCGCTGGCCATCGCGCATTGGCGAGGATATAGAATTGAATCCGAATTCAGTTTGAGATCACGAACAAATGAATCGCGAGTGAGGCTGCAATGAGGAAATGAAAAAATGGCAGTGACTGACAAGAGCATCGGGGCTTCCCCGCAATCGATCCTGCGCCAGGTTCGCCTATGGACGCAGCTGCTGCATGTTGGCTCAGAGCCCGCCTAAGAGTTGATGCCCTAATTACAGGTAAATAATAGCCTGGAGAGTCCTCGGGTTAACTCCCCTAAAAGTTTCAGTCTAGGCGGCTTTGCACCGCGGCTGTTCTGCCTTGGCTTGAGCAGCTGCATTGGTCAGACAGCCGTGCTTTGGGCTGCAGTTCCTCACCTTTCAGTTACCACTCATTACCACTTTGACTTCCTCGGCCTGAAATGTTTCCACCGGGCCCATATCGAGGTTGTGCGCTTGAACGGCCATGGACGATAGACGTGAGGCGAAAAGAGCACGACAAGCATGTCTGAATTGTAGAAGGTGAACTGCCCTCCCCCAGTGCCTGCAATCGGTGCGAGCCATGCGATTGCTGATCATGAGCTGAAAGTCATTGCTCTTCTTAGGAAAAAGACCAGATGCTCGGGCGAGAAGCCCGTGTGCGCCTTCTGCCGCCGTCTCAATCAACGCTGTACCTGGGACGGCGAGGAAGGAGAATCGCCTGAATTGCTCGATGACACCCGTGGACCACCTGCATCAGCATCAGCGGCAGCTGCTGCTTCACAGAATGCGGCCCTTGCGGCGAGGGTCGCTCTCCTCGAGTCCCGATTGAGTTTCTTGGACGCAGATAATGCCTTCAATCTGATCTCCTCCTTGTCTGGCACCCGCAATCCAACACCGCCGACCACGAGCCAGCGCTTCAGCCAACAGCCTGCTCTCGACGATACAGTCAATACGCCGAACGATGACTTCTCCTCTATCCCGGACCACCAAATGTTTCGGGGGTTGATAGACGTATACTTTGAACGATGCCATAATCAGCCTTACGCCTATTTCCATGAAGACATGTTCCGCCAGGACTATGAGGCAGGTCTGCTGCCCGAGTATTTACTGTATGCATTCGGCGCCACAGCCTGTCGTTTCTCCGATCATCCCTTCTATCGAGAGCGACGTTCGGAAGCGATTGAAGCATATGCGCAGGCATCATTTGGCCAGATATTCGAACATTACTTCTCGGACGCAGAAATCCTGGAGGTGTACATGGTGATAGCCCTCGCCATGCTGGCCGTGGTTGAATTTTCAGGTAAGATTCAGGCAAAACATTCAAAAGGTCGTCGTACTAACCCAGTGTTGCACAGCCGGGCGTCCCAAGATTGGCTGGGTGAAGCTAGCTTTGTCGTGCCGCTTTGCTCAAGCACTGCGGCTGAACGAAGAACCTGACCCTCAGCTTCCACTTCACGAACAGGAAGGCCGGCGCCGAATATTCTGGTCGGTCTATCTCCTAGATATACTCATGTCGGTCGGTCCCAATCGACCTCCAAGCCTCCTTGACGAGGACTGCACAGTCCACCTGCCGTGCCATGAAGACCTGTTCAGGGAGGGGCTGCCCGGTGGTCTGGTGCCGACCTTGACAGAGGTGACTGAATATCCGTCCGTTGACCGCCAAAACCTCGACTCTTTTGCAATGACGATAGTCATGGCATCCGCTCTAGGTCGCTTCATACGATTCAGCCTAAAGCGTACTTTGAACAAGTCACAAGTAGTGTGGAACCCACGGTCGAAGTATTATGAGGTCCATAGCATCCTGCTATTCTACGAAAGCCAATCTCGGTACACTTTTACTCCAGTCGCTGAAGCAATCCGACAACGAACGACGTTCAATGGATTGGTAGCGCCCTCACAGATCAGCCACATCGTTTTCGCTCACGCTCTCTACCATCTCAATCAGACTCTCCTGAATCATCCGTTCATTCTGTACCGATTCTTCCACTCGTATACAGCACCGATTCCTTTGAGCTTTGCAGAGGAGGCACTTCAGCGATGCCGCAAGCATGCAACAAGTCTGCTTGAGCTGCTCACCGATCTGGAGCAATACGGACCCTTCAGTCACCCCAGCTTCTACGGCTATTGCGCAATGGCTGCCGGATTGATCCATCGTCTCTATGAGAAAAGCGAGGACCCTCATATTGCGGAGACGTCGCGCCGACATGTTCGTAAGGCTCTGAACTTCCTGCAGCGGGAGCCGGTGCGGTGGAGCCACGTTGGACACATGGGGACCCTTCTTCGGACTTTCGAGTTGGATCCAAACCTCGCGACGGTACTCACAGACGCCGTGAGCCTTGCACAGAAGGTCGACGTACCACATGGAGCAATCTTATGGCAACTTCTCGACTACGCGTGGTTACCTCAATCCAAATCATCCTCTGAGATCAGAAGCTCTCTGGCTGATTTGCTCCCTGGAACGGCCTCTCGGCAATCGAGTTCGCCTGCCGGGCCGTCCTCAGAAGCCACCAACGCTCAGACAATTCAATTTGAGGCAAACAGTGGCATACCCCCGACTTATGCTCGGATGTTGGGCGAGGATATGTAAGCATTCCTTGTGGCTTGTCTTCGGGTTCTGACGTTCCGTCTATATGTCCCTCCTACGAAGTTTTCTGCATACTAATGTTGAGCCAGGGGCGGCCTACTATCGGAAGCCGTGGGTGAGGCTGGATTTCCAGGCTTCGGACATACCACCTTTCCACCTCCAACATCGTCTATTTTTTGACTCTCCAGGTAGTAGGTAGGCTTGTGTGAGCTAGATCCGCATCATGTCTGGCGACCTTGGTTGGTATATTCTGGGATATAGAATCACAGCTTGCTCTCTGGCCGAGATAATCTGTGCAACTCTTTTGTCTCGAGCTTGACCGCAAGCTCGCTCAATATCTCGTCGCTGCCGCCCCCGACCACCATTACCCGAACATCACGACTGATCTGCTCAATCCTGGCGCCTTTACCACTTCTTGAATAACCAGCCCCGCCCATTATTTGCTGGGCGTCCCGATTGACCCGCTCCAGAACCCGACCGGCACTCGTCTTCAAGGTCGCAATCATGCCGCCAACATTGACGTTCGTCTGCCGAGCACCCTTCCGAGTCTTTGGAATGCGCTCATGCTCGATCAAATACACTATTGACTCCATATACGCATGCGCTGGTTCAATGTCTCGGGCAAAATTTGCAAACTTGGCAAGAATAACTTGGTTGGCAATCAGTGGCTTCCCAAAGGTTTCTCTTCTGAGCGCATGGTGATACGCATCTTCAACGCAAACTCTTGCCATCCGAAGCGATGTACAAGCCAGCCACAGCCGCTCGTGGTTGAAGTTCGACATGATGATATCGAAACCTCGATTCTCTTCACCCAGAAGATTCGAAACAGGGACCTGGACGTCATCGAATTCGATGTATGTGGACCCGCTGGCATTGACTCCGGAGTTCTCGAGCTTCGTGCATTTCACGCCGGGGACTTTCAGTGGTATGATCAACGCCGAGACACCTCCTCGGCCTGGTCCACCAGTCCGCACGGCAGCTGTGCAATAGTCGGCAAATATGGCGTTTGTAATCCACTTCTTTGCGCCATTGACAACGTACATGTCGCCGCGACGTTCAGCCACGGTGGTGATTCCAGCTACATCAGAGCCGGCTGTAGGAAATCAGTACCCTCGCTCACGGGTATTATGGCACAAGAGGAGACATACCATCAGGCTCGGTCACACCCAGGCAGAAGCGGGATTTTCCCGACAGCACATCAGGCAAGAACCTCGACTTCTGCTCATCGGTCCCGAAGTTGATCAGTGGTGGTGCACCGATGGAGTTTCCACAGCTCAATGCCCATATAACTCCCAGATACCCACATCTGGCGATTTCATCGATCACGATCAAGTCGTGGAACCCGTCCCAGTCCTCTGGCAAAATGTCCCCAGGCAACCTCTGTCTCGTCTCTTGGATCTGTTTGATGGCAAGAGGATATATCGCCACGGCCGTGTATCCCAACCGGGCGTGGTTGAGGATAACATCTCGCGGTACCGAGCCTTGTCGTTCCCAATCCTCGCAGAAAGGCGTTATGCATGTGGAAACGTACTCGCGGGCTTCGCGCTGGAGGCGACGATGACTGTCGTTGTAGTGGGGGCTGATGTCGCGGGACAGCCATGCAGGGTCTGCATATGGTGCCGTCGAAATGGCCGCCATGGTGAATGTCCAAAACTAACGATCCCTCCTCCCTACGGGGTTTAGATATTACAGAATCGCCCGGAACGCGGAAACTGGCTCTTCCAAAAACAATAAAATACTTCAATCTCTCCTACTTGGGAATATCGATCAGATTGCCGCGCCCCATTCTTTGAGACTGCCGCCTGCCGCAGCCGCGGCCAGGACGTCACGACAATGCCGAGGCGCTGTGGGTAGCCTTTTCATGAGACACTCATGGGTACGGCATGGGTGTGAGGTGTATGTAGTGGCGTTGTAGCCGTAATGCGCCGTTGCCGTGGCCGGGACCGGGCCCGCCGGGCATGAACCCCCTGCTAATTGATAAACTTTGCAGTATCAGGATCGGAAAGCCAAGAACGGGAGCCGAAGTGGTAATGTAGCGACAATCCGAGACGGACCCCAGCCGCACCTGGTGTACAACTGGCACTGTGTGGTGACGGCGGTGTACTGCAACGAACGCAGTATTCTGACATCGTCGTTCAAGCAATTACCCCCTGGCTTCACCTCAAATTACACTCTCAGCTGGGCTCTTAACCACTTTTGGTCTGCAGGTCTGGGATTTACGTGGTGCTCAAGAAGTGTCAACGAAGCGTCATTCAGTCAGTGGTCAGCCTGACAGTCTGTTGAACATGTGCAGCGGGAAACAACACCCATCGACACATCCAAGCTGTTAGGCTCTCCATTTCTGTAGACTTGTCCTGCGCATGTAGTACCGATTCGTCTACTGTACCCTGTGTTGTCGTCTCTGTCCTTTTTTTCTCACTTCTCCCAAGTCTACATTGCGTGTTCCGGGGGTCCCGAGCACTACTACGTCTGGAGTTCTTCGCTCAGTCACTCACTCACTCGACCCAACAAAGCACCTTCCCATCATCGACCGCGTCCCCAACCTTGAACCCCGTGCCAAACTTCCCATCCACGCTGACACTGATGTTCGTCTCCATCTTCATACTCTCAATCACCATGACGACCTCCCCTCTTCGAACATTCTCGCCATTCTGCTTCAGCACGCCCAGGACTTTGCACGGCATGGGAGCCTTCACGACCTTTGACACGGTCCCCTCTGCTGAGGCTGTGGAGAGCGCCGGACGCAGACTCTCCATGTAGCTGAGGAGACTGTGTGATCGGTACTCGATCCAGGTCCCCAGCGCGGGGAAGTGGCATAGGAATGTCCGGTACGAGGCTGTCGAATTTGAATTGGCAGAGGTGGTCGGCGAGTAGTCCGTGGCGATATGTGCGGTCACGGTGGAGCTGTTGATCGAGACGGCGATCGAGGCGGTTGACCAGGAGGTGGTTTTGGATCCGGGTGGGTCTCCGCACGCAGAGGTTCGTAGTGGTCTGTATTTCCTGAGTTGGACGGTGTATTGGGGCGCGCTCGCGAGGGAGCCGTCTCGCAGTTTGTGGCTTATGGCGTGGTATTGGCGGGATAGGGCAAGGCCAGGTGCAACGACAATCTTAGGTGCTAAATTGGACCTATCGTCGTCGTGTGCCACGGGTGTCGGGGTTGGTATCGGCGATAGTGTGACGTTGAAACTTTGCGAAGGCCCGCCTTCGTGATGCTGCGTGCACGTCTTCCACACCGATAACATTGGTGTTGTAGTCGTGGGAGAAGACACGGACCCAGGCACAGTAATGGTGGTCGACACGTTGACCGGATCGAAGTATTGGTTCCGGAAGTCGGATCTCACGTGCTTGAAAGGCCTGGGGGCGTCGTGCTGCCCTGGCATGTCTCTCAAAAGTAGTCCCGGGATAAGAGACAGCATTGAGATCATGTCCCCAGCGCCGGTACGGGCGTTCTTCACGTGGGGATTCCGCAGCAAGCTGTCCAGGTGCGTGGGGATCAGGGAGGTAGTGTACGCTGGGTCTTGGAAACTGGAGTGCAACAGGCAAGTCTGGAGGAACAGCTGATTCGTCTTGACGCCAGCACAAACGGTGTTGGCTAGGACTTTGACCATTTTCGAGATGGCCATCTTGCGCGTAGGAGCCCAGACGACGATCTTGGCGATCATTGAGTCGAAGTAGATTGACACTGCGGACCCAGTCCTCACGGCCGTTTCGTAACGTGTGTCCCTGGCTGCTGTGGGCGAATGCTGGTCTGCCTCTCGCCATAGCCGGATCGTGCCGTTCTGAGGCATGAAGTTGTTTTCGGGGTCTTCGGCGCAGAGGCGGCACTCGATGGCATGGCCTTGTTGTGGGATTTGCTGCACAGCAGGAAGATTTGCGAGTGACCCACCAGCAGCGACGAACAACTGCAGCGACACGATGTCTAGGCCAGTGACTTCCTCCGTGATAGGATGCTCGACCTGCAGCCGGGTGTTGACTTCGAGGAAGTAGAAGCTCCCGTCGCTAGCGTCGACGACGAATTCAACCGTTCCCGCCCCTTCATAGCCTATGAGTTCGCCGATCTGGACTGCCACTTCGCACATTTTGCGCCGCTGTTCTGGCGTCAGAAAAGGCGACGGCGTTTCCTCGATGATCTTCTGGTGGCGTCTCTGGACAGAGCATTCTCGCTCCCACAGCGAAAGGACTTTACCATGGCTGTCGCCGACGATCTGCACTTCCACGTGCTTGGCTGCTTCAATATACTTCTCCAGGATACAGTCACTGGAGCCAAAGGAGCGCTTTGCCTCTGATTGGGCCCGAGCCAGCTCGTCCGCTAGCTGAGAGCGTTCACGGACAATCCGCATGCCACGTCCTCCGCCCCCAGCCGAGGCTTTAAGGATCACCGGGAAGCCGACTTTCTCGGCGGCCATTTCGAGCTCGGCGACTTCCTGGCTCGAGCCCGTAAACCCGGGGATAAGCGGCACACTTGGTGCATGATTCCTCAGATACTCCTTCGAGTTCCGCTTATCACCTAGAGTCGACATCGCCTGCGAGCTGGGCCCGATGAAAATCATCCCGGCCTTGCGGACAGCATCTGCAAAATGCTCATTCTCGCTCAAGTAGCCATAGCCTGGGTGAATAGCATCCACGTCTCTTGACCGAGCAACCTCAACGAGGAGGTTGATGTTCAGAAATGGGTTCCCGCCCGCTTGGTTGATGCTGCCCAAGTTCACGGTTTCGTCTGCCTCGTCCACATGGAGGGAAGTTGAATCTTCTTCAGCGTAGATGGCAATGGAAGTAAGATCGAGCTTGCGACATGTTGCAATTATTCGACAAGCTATCTCGCCCCTGTTTGCGATCAGGACTCTTCGGATCTGCCTCCTACCCTCTCCACTGGCTGGTAGCTGTGCGACAAATAGTGGAGGCCGCAGTGGTGTTGCAGAAGCATGTTCCGGCAGTGCTTGAGGAGAACGATGCTGTCTCATCTTCGGATTCAGGTGGTAGGAATACTACGAATTAGTTCACATTGATGGAAGAGCCTGTGAATCCATTATGGATGAGTTGCGAATGGCGAGTAGATCAAATTGTCCAATGCCGCTGCTGGCGACGTACAGCCTTGTCCAAACAATACCTCCCGATAGAAGCCCGAATGTCGCTCTACCGAGGCAGCCGTGTACAAACCTTGGCCCTGGCCACCGGGGCCACGGGCCGTGCGAGTTGACTGGTAGCCTCCCCATTGATCCTGGCATCATCGGTGAGATGGCGAGATCTGGCCTACCATGTGGGCCGGGGATCATCACAGTAGACTGCACGTGCAAAAGATGTGCTTGGCCTGGGTGAGATAGTGTTTGTGGTGAATCCTGGACAGGTTGATGGGCTCGGTGGGAAAGTGACAATGAGGTGCCGTTCGGACGATGAGCGGAGTCCGGACTAGATGCTTCGCCGTACGCTAAGTACTGCCGGGCAAAGGGCCGTCTTGAGTTTTGCCAAGCCTCCGCTGTGTTCTTGATGAGTTTTCAGGCTTGACAGAATCCGATCAGCTTCACGTTCTAGAGACACTGAAATTTACTATCTGTAACCTCGTTTGAGAAATCAATTCCATTCCCTCTGGGGCCCTTTGCTGTCAGTCAGAGAGTAAAGTCAACGCACAAAACAATTTCATCACAATGTCTCTCACCCAGCAGATCGATCCGGACAATGTCCCCAACTACGAGGACATGGAAAAGCAATTCGCAGTGAAAGCAGTCCAGCATATGACTGTGTACTGGTCCATCCTCGAGAAATTACCGGGCTCGAGGCTTCGTCTGACGCGACTTGACGACCAGATCTTCGAGCATTTTAAGCGCGAATTTCCGGACTTTGACCCGGCGCAAGAACTCGATGAGGATGCAATGAAAAGCAAGGAAGGCAAGGAGAAGTGGCGCAAGTTCAGCATGGCTTACGAAAAGGGCGACAACAAGATTGAAGACTACAACTTCGGAACCATGCTGAGGAAGAGTCCAAAAACCGAGTATGGAGAGAAGGAGACCATCTTCGCTATTCGAATGCAGTTCTATGCTATTGAAATTGCTCGGAATCGTGCCGGGCTGAATGATTGGATCTATGAGAATGCACAGAAGGAGCAGAAGAAATCATGAATTCGAAAGACGGGTTGGTCACACTGGCTATCTGAATAGGAGCGAGCAGGAAAATGTTATGGATCTCGAGGGCAACAGGATTATCGCAAAGTTCAGTCACCAACTCCGCTGTGCGCGGATGGTCCAACATCCACATTCCACGAGAACAATATCAAGGTCAAAAGTCCGACGGCCTTGGCACGCAGGTCTGGAGATCACGCAGGCCCATACAACCCAGCCTAAGTTTACACAGTATGCTCACTTTCGATTCTGCGGCTTCGGAGTCTTCAGCTATAGCGCTCAGTTGTTCGCCACGACAGTGTACAGATCAAGCACTTGCATGAGCAACCATGTATCTGCAAAGCCACCCCTCTAGGATATGACGACAGACGCTCACGATGAGGACCCAAAGAACTCTGCTCAGACGAATCAAGGCTACGGCATGTTCAATGGCTGGAGGAGCCTTTTCAGTTTTACAGAAAAGGCACACCTCCCTGTGCTGTTGGCGGCAATCTTCATGTCTACCGCCGCCGGAAGCCTACAGCCGATCATGGCTTTCTTTTTCGGAAAGTTTTTCGACAATTTCACAGACTTCGCATCCAATAAGATCGATGGCGCGACCTTCATGAACAGATCTCTTACCAGTTTCTATGCACTCTTTGCTGTTGGCGGAGCAACATTTCTGTTCAAAGGCGCTCTGTTTAGCTTGTGGCTGGTCTTCGGCGAAATGCAGTCGCGCTGTGTTCGTGAGCTTCTTTTCGCATCTCTTCTCGACCGAGACATGCACTGGTATCAGGCTCGGACAAGTGGGGTCGGGACGTTGTTGGCGAAAACTCAGAGGTAAGGCATGCCATGGATATCGACTATCGGTGCTAACGGGATTAGACAGATCAGAGACTTGCAGTTAGGAACCTCCCAACCTTTGGGTTTGACGATTGTTTGCCTTGTCCAAGCTCTCGCGGGCCTGGGTTTGGCATTGCGTACGAACTGGAAACTAGCCCTCGTCGTGTTGTCGGCAATACCTGTCATAGCCATTGGCGCAACCGTCATATCTCGCGGTCTCAAAGCGAACATTGATGGGCACAACGAAGAGCTGGCATTTACGAGCAAAATAGCGAGCAACTGCATCAAGAACATTGTCACAGTGATATGTTGCAACACCCAAGAAGAGGAAGCGAAGTCTTATACTGCTGCCATCAAGAGGGCGGCTGCATTTGCAATGAAACAAGCATTTAGCAGCGCGCTGCAGGTAGGCTTCGTCAGATTCGCTACAACAGCTATGTTTGTCCAAGGCAAGTTACTCCGTGGCAATCTCCAGCATTGGCTCATTTTTGCACACAGGCTTTTGGTACGGTGGCGCTCAGGTCCACTCAACCCAGACAACCGCTGGGGAAGTAGTTACGACATTCTGGGCTTGCTTGATCGCCACAAAGGCGTTCGAGGACATACTACCGCACGGCGTTATAATTCAGAAAAGCCAAGTGTCAGCTACCGCTTTACAAGCAATCCTGAACAAAGTCGGTCAGGGAAAGCTGCGGTCACGGAAGGTTGCCGGGCTGTCACCTCAGTTCTGCGAAGGAAACATTGAGATGCGAGAGGTACCATCGGCCCTGATCTTCAAATCAGCAATATCTTACCTGGGCTAGGTCTCGTTCGCCTACCCTTCCACACCAAGCAAACTTGCCTTGGACCACTGCACGTTCTATTTTACTGCTGGAGTAACCACATTCATTGTAGGCAAGAGCGGCTCTGGCAAAAGCACCCTCGGCAATCTGCTCATGGCTTTCTATCGACCACAAAGTGGGTCTATCATTATCGATGGTAATGCCGTCCAAGATATCGACTCGCATTGGCTCAGGAACAATATTACCCTTGTTCAGCAACACAGCGTCCTTTTCAGCGACACAATCTACCGAAACATTACCCTAGGCAGCAGGGACTATGACCGAGTTACCAGCGCTCAAGTGGACAAGTGTATCCGCATGGCAGCTTTAGACAGCACCATTGCAGCGCTTCCAGATGGCACGCAAACTAGAGTCGGTACAGGTGGTTCATCTTTATCCGGAGGACAGAAACAAAGAGTTGCGCTTGCACGGGCACGATTGAGGGATACGCCGATTCTGATCTTGGATGAGGCAACCAGTGCTCTCGACAACACCAGCAAGATGTATGTCATGCATTCGATACGAGAGTGGCGGCGCGGCAGGACGACCATCATCATTACACATGACCTGTCACAGATCCGTGACGAAGACTGTGTATATGTTCTCCAGGGAGGTCGTGTTATTCAAGAGGGTCGCCGTAAGAGTCTTGTGGATTTCCCGATTGGGGCCACTGACCACAAGATTGACATGACGGAGTTCAGAACACAGCGACTAGCTGGATCTGAAAACACATATGGACCATCTTCTGAAGCTCGTCATGCAGACAGGGCTCAAGGACCGTCATCCCGCCATGTCAGGGAGGACTCGTTCGACGTGCTCACGAAAGGAAGTCCTAAAGGCTTACTTATTGACTCACTGCAAGACGACGCGCACTCAAATCAAACTCCACATCAGTCAAGGAAGGGGGTTTCCCTGAGCAGCATAGGTGCGATAAACTTCTTGAAAAGACAATCAATGGCTCGAGCCAGAGTCATGTATGCCCTACACCACGGGCCATCTAACGAAGCACAATCAACAGCTGGCGATTCAGTGATGCGCACACTCAGATACGCCGCTGTAGCCGCACGCCAGTCGCTCTTCTTACCGAGAATGCCTCGGACACCACTATCTCGCGACAAGCCACTGCCAATTCCTCCACCGCAATACGAGATGTTGCAGGGAGACAGGAGTCTCGAGGATAACGTACTTGAATTTCCAACCGAACAAATCCAGGGACACCCGCAATCACCGTCATCGATACGGGCCGTCCTATTAACACTGTGGCCGAGTCTGGATAAGCCAGATAGAAGCAAACTACTCTTCGGATTCCTAGCCACACTTTGCCACGCTGGAGCTCCTCCCGCCTTCTCTTATGCCCTCGCGCAAGTATTCAACACATATTACATGCCAGCAGGATATCAACGAGAGGCATTGAAATGGTCAATGGTTGTGATTGGCATCGCTGTAGGAGACGGCGTTGCATGTTTCTTCATGCAATATCTCCTCGATTCAGCCAGCCAGGCCTGGGTGGACACGCTGAGAACCCAGGCTCTGGGACGAATCCTCCTGCAGCCGAAAAGTTGGTTCGATGAGGAACAAAACGGTTCTACTGTTCTTGTGTCTTGTTTGGACACGAATGCAGAAGAGGTGAAGGACTTGGTCGAACGATTCGCTGCGCAAATCCTGGTTGTAGCTGTGATGATGGTCGTGGCCGCTGTTTGGGCACTGCTCAACTGCTGGAAGATCACGCTAGTGAGTCTGGCGATGTCCCCGGTCCTCTATGTCCTTACCAAATGCTTCGAGGTCGTCTCGGCTCGCTGGGAATCTCGGACCAATTCAGCGGGTGAGGCAGTGAACCAGGTCTTCGCTGATGCCTTTTCGGACATCAAGACAGTCCGATCACTGACCCTGGAATCCTACTTCCACAGCAAATTTCGTAATGCCACCACCACGTGCTTTTCGATTGGAATACGGCGAGCCGTGTACACAGGATTTTTCTTTGGTCTCTCGGACTCTGCCATCGCCTTTTTCACGCCCATGATTTTTTGGTACGGGGCATATCTGGCCAAAGACGGAGAGTGGCCCGTCAAGTCCATCTTGACCGTCTTTGGCCTCCTCCTGTTCTGTACCGCAAACGCAAACGCGGTCATTGCCTTTATCCCGCAGACAGCCTCCGCCGTCGACACTGCGAGTTGCCTCGTCCGACTTGCGCATATGCCAGTGCAGTCGCACGAAGAAATCGGACAAGTTCAACTGGATAGGAACGATCGCGCCACACTTTCGGGACCCATCCACTTCATCAACCTGACGTTCAGATATCCGTCACGGCCCAGAGTGCCAGCCCTCTGGCGCTTGAACCTGACGATCCCCGCCGGACAGATAACCGCCATTGTCGGCGCTTCTGGCTCGGGCAAATCCACCATCACATCACTCCTGCTCGGCCTGTACCCTCTCACTGTGAGCGATCATCGTCATGGCACAACGTGGAACGATGCGTCGGACGACCCTCCCTCACTAACTCTCTCCGGACGGGACATACGGACCCTTGACCTTCGAACTCTCCGCTCCCTCATCGCCTTGGTCCCACAAACGCCCGTCATTTTCCCCACCACGGTCCGAGAGAACATCATCTACGGCTTATCTTCCAATAGACTCTCGACGTCAGCATCAGCGTTAGCGTCGTCTATCGAATCCGCCGCCCGCGCAGCCGGGATCCACGACTTCATCGTCTCCCTCCCGCAGGGCTACGCCACCGTCCTAGGCGACGGCGGTCTCGATGTCTCCGGCGGCCAAGCCCAGCGCATCGTCATCGCTCGGGCCCTCATCCGGCATCCGAAAATCCTGATCCTCGACGAGGCGACCAGCGCGCTGGATCACGAGAGCGCGGGGGTCATAAGGCAGAGCATACTAAGATTAGTCTGCGAGGGTAGGCGGAAGGGGAAGGCTCTCACGGTCATTGTGGTCACGCACGCGAGAGAGATGATGGAGTTTGCAGACCACGTCGTAGTCATGGATCAGGGCACGGTTATCGAGCAGGGCGGGTTTGACGAGTTAATGACCCTGGAAGGGAGGGGCAGATTGTGGGGGATGTTGCACGCGGGAGGTCGATAAAGACGTAGTGCATGTTTATACAGTATGAGGATACTGGTGTGGATGCATCGTGAGTTTAGAATGGATTCATCGTCTTTCAGCTTCTTGCTTCCTTCCAGGCCGCTGTATCGCTACAAGGGTACTGTACTCCGTCCACGACGAGTTCTTTCCGAAATCGAAGTACAAGTCCAAGGATAAAACACGAACACAAGTTCAGTCCAGTCCCGTCCAGTACACCACGGCACCCACGTATGCAGTAGTCAAGTATATACTTTGTAGTAGTAGTAGCCTCTAGGTATTCCCCGGGATCAAGTCAGATCAGAGTCAATTCCGGACTCGTTAGTGCACCCATTCTCCTCAATCCATCTCTTCACAGCTGTCCAATTCTTACAAGTATGCAGGGTAGCTGCTCTGGGATTGACATGGGCACCCGAGGTGGCTTCATGTCCATAACGCTGTGCTTGATCACGCGGCGCCATCCCGTCCTGCAGAGTGGTCGGTTCCAGCGTCGTGTCCGCCGCGCAGAGCACCGCCTGCCGCACGTGGTCTAGACAGTGATAGGCACGAGATATCTCGTGCGCCTGGGGATGTTGTTCGTGGGAGTAGTCGATCAGGATGTGGCGGAGGAAGGCCTGAGCAGCACGTCAGCAAAACGACGTGATAGGGGAGTGATTGCACAGCGTGGCGTGCATGGATTCGCGCGGGCACGCATACATACCAGGCATTCCAACTGTTTGACGACCGCGACGTCGTAGATCTGCGTCCTCATCTCCGGATCCCTCACCTTCACGCGCCCATCGCCTTTGGGAAACATGTTCAACCACGCGCGATCGCCCTTGGCGCCCGGCATCTGGAAGGCGTGTTGGTCGGCGAAGACAGCCTGGATTATTTCCGTGGGAGGGGGCGGAGTCGATTGTTGGTTTGCACGCGTACCAGGCCCCTTGTCCGCCGTCCGATATAGCGACGAGAGCGCCGGGAACCGAAGTCCGAGACTCACATGGTAGTGGGGGACTAGTGCAAGGAAGAGCAATGCTGCGGCTGCGAGTGTCCCGAACAGGAACACGAGAGTTATGGCCCGGCGGAGGTGTGAGTGGGACTGTTTCCTCACGGGAATCGGGTCACCCGTATACGCGCCTCGGGGGGATTTGGGTGTCCTGGGAACGATGGGGTCTTTCTCGCCGAGGTAGGCAGGGGGGCGGAAGCGAAGCGATGAGGACATTTCCAGTGACTCGACCCGACCGACCGGCAGGACGTGCGTCTGCGAGAGGATATGGGGTCTCGAATACCGACAGAGTGTGATCGTGATATGCAGATAGGTGGGTTGGTGGTTGTCGGCTCTGCAGATGGACAAAACGCATACAGCTGAATACGGACAGTGCCCGAGGTATAAAGCGCAAGGTATCCCATTTGTTCCATTTGCCAGAATGCCGTTCTAGGGCGTGTCTCTGCTCCCGTAGAGGTAGGCTCGTAGGTGAGTTGTTGAACACCGTGGACGGCGAAGAAAGGATGGCACAAAGACGCGCCAAAGGGATAGGACGACAAAGAAGATCGAGTCGACGTTTCGTGTTGTGTGAGTAATACCTACAGACCTACCTTTTTGCGGTCTGATCGGCGCGGAGAGCACAGCAAGAGGGATGAGCCCATTTTTAATATATCTTTACGGCCGTCGTGGGTGTTAAGGACATTTATGTGTGCATGTTGAGGAGTTGCCGTATCCAGGGTCTGTTCTCCGCGTAAGGGAGTTAGTGTACCACCTGTAACAGAGACACGAACATCAGAATGGAATCAGACACGGTGACTCGAGTTCCCCGTAGTCATCGATGATATATCATGACTGGACGACGGGGAAGAGCAGAATCGTACGTCGTGCAGAGTGTCGATACAGCGCTGGCGTGGCCGCGACAGATTGAAATGCCGTCGCCGCTTTGAGGCCGCAACGCGAGCTCCGTTTCTATTGGGCGGGCGAATGACCTCGTCGTAGCTGGTTTTACACTCAACCGTACTACTCCGCCGTATTTACTCCGCCAGCGCAATTTGATTTTCCGAACTGCTTGAATCTCCCACCATGCAGCGCCTCGAACAGCTTGAGCAATCATCCCGACACCAGCTATGTCGGACACTCAATCCCGCAAAAGACCAAGATCGCCAGATAGTGCAGGATCCGACAGCGAGTCCGACGATGACTTCGGACCGGCTTTGCCCTCCTCGGTTCCGCCCAAGAAGAAACGGAAACTGCCGTATGAGTCGTTATATGTCGATGCCTTGCCCAAGGGCCTGAAGTACTCCAAGTCGTTAATGCACAAAGACCAGCTGGTGTCGGTGACTGTGGCTCCTTCACCTGTTGACTTCGTCATCACCACCTCTGTGGACGGCGTGGTCAAGTTTTGGAAGAAGATCGCGACCGGCATAGAGTTCGCCAAGGAGTACCGCGCGCACGAGGGCCGCATACTGAGCTCTTCCATCAGCTTTGATGGTGCCTTCTTCGCTACAGCAGGCGACGAAGACGACAACACAATCAAAATCTTCGATGTCGTCACCTTTGACTTGCTCTCAATCTTGAACCTGGAGAGCGCAGCATCATGTGTCTGTTGGGTTCATCGCCGAGGAGTTTCGCCAACCCTAGCGGTAGCCATAGGGAAGGAAATCCACATTTACGATGCTGCCGGCGACATGCAGGCGCCGATGCACACTCTGTCCTCCATCCACCGTGCGCCTGTGGTGGCAATGGCGTACAATCCAGCTTTCGACTGTGTGATCTCTGCTGACGCCAGCGGGATGATTGAATACTGGCAGCCTAATGACACCTACGAGAAGCCCGACAGTGTCTTCAAGATGAAAGCCACGACAAACCTATTCGACTTCAAAAAGGCCAAATCAGCGCCATGCTCCATCGCGATATCTCCGTCGGGTCACCAATTTGCCACGATCTCATTCCCGGACAGAAAAGTGAGGGTGTTTGACTTTGCATCTGGCAAGCTCTATCGCTCATATGACGAGTCCCTGGAGACCATAACGGCCATGCAACAAGCAGGTACATCCCTTCAGAAGCTGGACGAGGTGGAGTTTGGGCGGCGGATGGCCGTGGAACGTGAGCTGGATAATCCCGCTCTTAGGTCCAGAATCAACATCGTGTTCGACGAGTCTGGGCACTTCATCGCCTATGGTTCGCTGCTGGGAATCAAGGTCATCAACACCCTCACCAACCGGGTGATGAAGGCTTATGGCAAAGATGAGCCGTTTCGGGCGCTCAACGTGGCTTTATATCAAGGCGCACCTCAAAAAAAGGATGTCGTTACCGTTTCAATGGCTGCTAGCGCGAATCCACTCCTCAACGATGCGGAAGCCAGAGATCCCATGCTTTTTGCCACAGCCTACGCAAAGGTCCGTTTCTACACGTTTACAAACGAGGAGGATATCAGCAAGTCGACCCGAGACGTACAGAACGAGAAACCAAGAGTTATCGGCGGCAAAAAGAAGGAGGAGAAGAAAACCGAATCAGGCACATCCGCGGTCCTGCACACAACGTACGGAGACATCCATATCAGGCTGTTTCCTGACAAAGCGCCAAAAGCGGTTGAAAACTTCGTTACACACTCGAGAAATGGCTATTATAACAACACGATATTCCACCGAGTCATCCGCAAGTTCATGATCCAGTGTGGCGATCCCCTCGGAGACGGCACTGGTGGTGAAAGCATCTGGGGCAAAGAATTTGAGGATGAGTTCTCCGACCTCAAGCATGACAGGCCGTACACAGTCAGCATGGCAAACGCAGGGCCGAACACGAACGGTTCGCAGTTCTTCATTACGACTGAGAAGGCGTCTTGGTTGGACAACAAACATACGATTTTCGGACGCGCCTATCAAGGGTTGGACGTGATACACCAGATTGAAAATGCGAAGGTGCGGAAGGAGAAGCCAGAGGAGGATATCAAGATAGTCAATATCTCCATCAGCTAGAAGTGAAAGCGAATGCGTACTCCGAGCACACTCCATTGCTGTAATTTTTGGCAGTTGCACGAGATGGTAGATAATATGTACCTGAGTCTCGCTGTTGAATTTACTCCTCAGGAGTTCGATGCGCTTAGGGCGGCGTCACATGCGCGGCCAACATGACTCAAGGCGAGTCTTGGCATCGAGAAATCATTTTTGACCTTGGACTTTCGCTTCACCCCGCAGCCTGGAACAGTGTATTTGCCTTTACACATACCCAGGAGAGTGAAACAACACCTTAGCACAGGCTCCTATCAGTTCCCTCAGGCTACAGGTGAATTCCTTCCAGACCGACCTAGATCCACCGCCATCATGGCCACCAACGGCGACCTCCCCTCAGACGACGAGTTCTCTCAGCCAGGGACCCCTCCTGGCGATGAGAACGACGTGGACGAGATCGAAGAGTCGAATCAGACACCCAAGTCAGCTCTGAAAAGGGGTACCTCAGCAGCGATTCCCGAAGCACAGGTCTCCCGCCCCGTCCTACCCGAACAACCAGACCCGAAAGATCTGGATATCTCCAAACTCACTCCCCTCTCACCCGAAATCATCGCACGGCAGGCCACGATAAACATCGGCACGATAGGCCATGTGGCGCACGGGAAGTCCACAGTCGTCAAAGCCATCTCGGGGGTGCAGACAGTCAGGTTCAAAAATGAGCTGGAACGAAACATCACCATCAAACTTGGGTACGCCAATGCAAAGATCTACAAGTGCGACAACCCCGAGTGTCCGCGGCCGACGTGCTACAAGTCGTACAAGTCGGAGAAGGAAGTCGATCCTCCGTGTGAAAGAGAGGGATGTAAAGGCACGTACCGCCTGCTGAGACACGTCTCCTTCGTCGACTGCCCCGGCCACGATATCCTGATGAGCACCATGCTCTCGGGTGCAGCGGTCATGGACGCCGCCTTGCTCCTGATCGCAGGAAATGAAAGCTGTCCACAACCTCAGACGTCGGAACATTTGGCCGCCATCGAGATCATGAAACTCAACCACATCATCATTCTGCAGAACAAGGTCGACTTGATGAGAGAAGAGGGCGCACAATCGCATTACGAATCGATCCTGAAATTCATCAAGGGCACAGTCGCCGACGGGTCGCCCATAATCCCCATCTCCGCCCAGCTGAAATACAACATCGACGCCATCAACGAGTACCTAGTCACCAAGATCCCGGTCCCCGTGCGTAATTTCAGCGCCGCCCCGCACATGATCGTCATCCGCTCCTTCGACGTGAACAAGCCCGGCGCCGAGATTGAAGACCTCAAAGGCGGCGTCGCAGGCGGCTCCATCCTCAACGGCGTCCTGAAACTCGGCGACGAGATCGAAATCCGACCCGGCATCATCACAAAAGACGCCACAGGCCAGACGGTCTGTCGGCCCATCATGTCCCGCGTGGTCAGCTTGTTCGCCGAGCACAACGACCTCAAGTTCGCCGTGCCAGGTGGCTTAATCGGTGTAGGCACGCGGGTCGACCCCACGTTGTGCCGAGCCGATCGTCTCGTCGGCCACGTGCTCGGCCTGAAAGGCCAACTGCCCGAAATCTACATGGAACTCGAAGTCAACTACTTCCTGCTCCGACGGCTGTTGGGGGTGAAGACCGCGGACGGCAAGCAAGCCAAAGTCGCCAAGCTCGCCAAGAACGAAGTCTTGATGGTCAATATCGGGTCGACGGCGACGGGTGCCAAAGTCATGGGCGTGAAAGCCGACGCTGCGAAACTGACGTTGACGAATCCTGCATGCACGGCCATCGGAGAGAAGATTGCGCTCAGTCGCCGTATCGAGAAACATTGGCGGTTGATTGGCTGGGCGAACATCGTGGCGGGGAATACCATTGAGCCGGAGTCTTCTTAGGATGAGACTGTGCGGTGATATCTCTGTCAGTGGAGTAGAGGATGGAGGGGCATGGAAAGAGGTTGGTCAAGGGCTCATGTGGTCAAGGGACCGAATTACGGATGAAATGAAGACGTGGCATGGTATGGTATGAGATGACACGATGAAAAAGCCAACGACGTGAAAGTCTCATGAAGTGGAGGAACACCATGGGACGTGGCGCCCACGGGTTCTGAAGAAGACGCAGTCCCACAATCTGACGATGAGATCGTCCTGCCAGTGGCGGATCCGAGTCCAGTTCGGACACTCCGCGACCACAGCCTTCATCAGCCATATCGAGCGAGCAACCACTGTCTGTCAGTCCCGCTTTCTCACGGGCCCGGAACACTACCAGAAGCAAAGCTTGCTCAGGCCAGTTTCGCGTCGTGCCTCCATTTAGAAGCGATGTCAGGGTCCATCATGAATAGACGGGAAAGAGAAGCCTAGAAAGCGGACATGTTCTGTCTGTCCAAGAGCCAGTCTCGCAGTCTGCTCTTCATGCAAGCGCACGCTTACTCCGCGATGTGGTACGAAGGGGTATGAATTCCAGGTGGCAATGCAGTGGGCGGGCACTACGAGGTACCGTGTCCTGGCGTCGGAAAAGATAGAGTCAACGAGGCATGAGATATCCGAAACAAAAATACTGAGTAAAGCTTGAACAGGAAAAAAAGATCAATCACATTTGCGGTTTTGCGGTTTTTCCATTGTGCAGGCTTCTGGACAGTCGTTTCAGTATGCCACTGGACGGTACGTTTCGTGCCCCCGGCCTACTAGAATGCTCTGGACTACCCAACATCAAACATGAGCGGTCCTGGTATGATGTCGCCGTGAATGCTCCTACTGTACCATCTCCCCGTCCATATTCTGCCTGTTAGTGTACATTCCCTAGCTCCCTAGTCCAACTGATCGCGTCCCGTGGTCCGAGAAAAGAAACCAATTTCCAATAGATGCCCCGCACGCCGGAAGGACCCGCAGGCATCTCAAATCACGATTAATCGTCTTCATCTTCGTCTGCATCCTCGTCATCGGACTCGACGCTCTGATCTCGAATGCTTGGATCTGGTCGTCCTGACGGTGTCAGCGTCTGTCTCGGTCTCGGTTTCGGTACCGGTACCGGTGTCGATATGCCGTTCGTGCGCCGCCCGGCGAGCAACAATCTCCCGTTCGTTGGCTTTTTGTCCCTTTCGTTCTCTGAAGAAGAGGTCGACTCATCATCATCATCATCATCATCGTCGTCGTCTTCTTTGTGATTCTCCGAACGACGTTGCTTGGTCGGGACTTTCACCTCCGGTCGTCTAGCCCCCACTTTGGCAGCAGCTTGGGGCTTCTGGTCCTCATCGCTAGAGTCGCTCTCCTCGTCGTCGTCGTCATCATCATCATCGTCGTCGTCGTCGACTTCAAAGACCGGGGGCTTTTGACTCTGCTTTATGCGCGCGAGCACGGTACCTTGGTTGGGCTCTGGAGCTTTGTTCGATTTAAGGACAACCTCGCGAAGGTCACTCAGGCGCTGGTTATAGGGTCCCGGTGCCGAGGTAATTCTGGCTGGTGTCTTGGTTGTGGTGGCTTTGGTATTGATATTCGAGGACTTAGACGACGTTGGGGCGGGTTTCTTCGTCACTGCGCTTGTCTTTGCCTCCGGCGGAGATTTTTGGGGAGCTGCCTTTGGTGTCTTGCCGGTAGTAGTGGACTTGACAGATGGGCTTTTGGAGGGAGTCTTTGCAGGCCGTTTATCCCCATTAGATTGCTGCGTAGAGGGCTTGGGATCTTTATTAGTGGTAGCTGGCTTGGCAAGAGCATTCTTGGGCGCAGCCTTTGCGGGTGTTTTTGGTGGAAGCATAGACTCTGCGTTGGATCCTTTGGAAGAGCTGGCACCGGTCGATTCACGTCTGACAGAGTTTGCTTTGCCAGTGGCTGGATGGACGGTGGAAGATTTCGACTGTCCGTTCTCGAGATTGACAACCGATGCGTTGATTGCGCTTTGTTGCACTGATGGTTTCGGATCCTCCTCAGAAGAGAGGCTCTTGCGAGCCTTGTTCTTTGTCGAGGCTGTCGCAGGCTCAGCGTCTTCCGGTGATGGTTCCGGCGCCTTTCTCGACTGGTTGACCGCGGCTTTATCAGTGGTTGGCTTCTTTTTAGCAGCCGCAGCCTGCTTCCTGGCCTCTTGCTGTTTCCGCTTCTTCTCCGCTTCGTATTGCTCTTTGGTCATGTTTTTGCGACTTTCCATGGTCTTGATTTCTTCGGCGGTCAGACCTAGACCAGCAGAAGGACTTTTCCTCGGGTCGTCCTGCTTATCAACAGACAACCTATCTTCTCTGTCTTTCGCTGTGGGCTGCTTGTTTGTCAGAGCGGATGGTGCTTCTGAACCCCAGTTCGGAAGAGGCTTTCTCGGTTTGTAAGAGCTGCGTTCGTTTTCCTGTTCCTGTGCGCGTTGTACAACAACGCCTGAGGGAGGAGAGCTGGCTTGATTTGTGTCTTGTAGCTTCTTGGCGATCTTTCCACCGGCCCCGGTGGAGGGAGTCTGCTCTGGTGGTCCGCCATTGGGAGTTTTCAGCTCGCTCTTTTTTGAGCCGTCTGCCGCAGCTTGCTTGTCCTTGCTGCTAGGTGTTGCAGGTGGCCGTTTCTTTTCATTTCCAAGCTTCTTTCTCAACGCTTCCATGGAGAGCTTTTGGGTCGATTCTCGCAAATCTTGTGACAATTGTTCTCCTGGGCTGTCGGTTGTCCTAGAAACTTTGGCTGCCATACCCGACTTCTTCTCTTTTGCTGCGGACTTTGTGACATTGGCTGCATCGGAATGTGTAGATCTATTGTCGGAACCATTCAAACTCGAGCGCCCATCACCATCCACGCTCGACCTGTCACGCTTGCGCCTTTTCTTTACTCTTCGGGGTCCCGCTCCGGCACTCTCATCAGCTTTGACTGAATTGGGCCGCTTGTTAACCCGAGTACGTTGGATGGGAGCTAGAGCTTGCTTGTCCCGTGGCTCTTCTGCTGCTGCATCCTGCTTAGGTTGGGAAGCTGCTGCGCTAGAAGCCACTCCTTCCTCGTGAACATTCACTTGCACAGCGTTCGAAGGGAACCTCCTGCTGGGCTCATCTGTCGTCATGCCATGTCCTGGAACTGGCACATCTCCCTGTTCGGGATCCTCGTAGACACTTGATTCGGATCCGTTGCTGGGGCTAGCACTGGCTTTCTGTGGGATGCTCTCAGGCGTCTTGAAAGTTTGCTCTACGGGCCTCTCGTCATCAAATAGCGACTCGTCGTCCAGGGTGTCAATCGCCTGACTAACGCTAAGCGCACTGTCGCCTACTCTGTCGTCCTGCGGGGATCGCAGACCTTCGATGCGAGATAACCGATCGTTTGACTTTCTGTGACTTAGTTGTGCCTGCCTCGAACGTGGTGACATCTGTGAGTCGTCAATTTCCGACTCCGGGTAGTCATATACATCGTTGCGCTTGAATTTGCTCGCCGACGCTGACGATGGCTGAGCAGAAGACTTGGCCGCATCTTCTGATCGACGCCTTTGCAGGCTGGCGGGAATTGACTGTCTTCTAGAAGTATCCGAAGGAGGTGTCGCGGGTGCCTGCGACTGCTTCTGCAGCTGCTGGCTTAAAGTGCCCGTCGGCTTAGAGATCCCATTAAGCTTGCCTAAAGAGGGCGAACCCTGCGTTTGGGCTGAATCTTCCTTTCCCTTCCGAGTGTAAAAGGAGTCTGAGGGTCGTTCGGTCAACATCTCGAGCTCGTCGACTGTGGCTGGCGGGACATTCTGCAGCAACCTCCGCAGCTCGGGAGACTCATCTTTTGGCTCTACAAGACTTTGATGCCGGACATTCTCCTTGTCTGGGTTCGAGTATTGGGTGGCTTCCACGATTATGCCAGTGGGCTCCTGAAGCTCCTCATCTTGCTCAATGGAGGAGAACACTTGATGTTCTTCGCTCAGCGCCTCTGGTATTTCAAGCATCTTTGCTCTTTTTGCTCCTACTGCATTTGAAGGCTGCTCGTCTGAGGGCTCGAAAGGGCGTTTGCCCAGTGGGGAGGGAACACCCGGGAAGGTAGGAATAGGCGGACGCGAGGTTTGTTCGAGCTGCATCTGATATCGAGGGTCCTCCAACTGGCTGCCCACCGCGACGGAGCCCTCGCGCACCGTCCGACCCTGTTCCGCGACGACATTGACCGTGACGCGCTGGTCTGACGCATCAGTTTGGGCTCTGCCCTCGTCCAACAGCACATCGGAAACGTAGGATTGAGGAGAGATGTCGAAGTCGTCGGTGTCCTTCAGATATTTGACAGTTGGTAGCTCGCTTTCATTTGAGTCAGCTCATATGTGAAACAGCCTGGTCGAACAAAGAACTAACCGCCCATAGCAGCTCTTATATGACCTCTTGATCTCGAGGAGCAGCGTGCCCATTTGCCATTGGTACGGATCTCTGACAACGACCACCAAGCGCTTTTCACCTTTGACTGGTGCAGCAATCGACTTGCCCAGTCGAATGTTGTTGAGATATTCATCTTCCGGGAAGATACGAGCGGCCACCCGAATTCTGACCATGCTGAGGGCTGGTGTCAGCGCCTGATCGACGCGTGTAGAATAATGTCGAGCAGCAGTTGTCGAGCCTGTCGCGACCAAAAAAGTTCCGGGAAGTGGCAGTGAGGAGAAGTTGAGGATGCGGAGAACGAGACGCGAATTCACTCAGTTTCACTCTCACCTTTGTCTGAACTCACGTCTGCTGGAGTGAGTACTACTATTGTAACCTAGAGACACCCAGGGTTCGCATTGTGGATTGCCACAAGACACGGCGCTTTCATCTTGATTTCATTACCTTCCGACTATTCTCGTCCGTCAGTGTGATCTCTCGTGCAGGCCGGTGAAGAGACGGGAGCCACCAGGATGCCATACGCAGTCATAACGCCGGCCAGCTTCTGATCGTAGACTTCTTATGCTCGACTTGGGATGCCCAGACTGATGTTGACAGGAAACATTCAACAAGTCAAATCTCGGTCAACAGAGACATGGCCACTGATATCTCTGGACAACTCATTGCTGCTAATCTTTGAGGAGCTGGTCAACGCAGATGTCATCACCGCGGCCATGAGCTATATGAGCTTTCTTGACTCAATCCAGATTCACAAACACCCTCGACCAGGCAGTGTGCGAGGGAGATTCGAGATGTCGCTTCTCCTCGCACAGCCACGAAGTTGGGCATGTCTAGATGACCTAGCACAAATGACCTCTTGACGCATGCGGAGAGATCCATCATTGACGAAACAGAGTGGGAGAACATAGAACAGGAAGTGCGAGAGCGCTACAGGGTCAAAGCAATTGTCAGTGGCTATTGGAACCAAGACCGTGACTATAGCCGTACTAACTAGACCGGCAGCACGAAGCAATGGTCGAACAGACTAGCCAAAGATGGACTCTTCAAGTATTCAGACGAAAGCGAGATCCCCGTCATCTTCACGCAGCTCGAGAGGCTCCCTCTATCCGTGGCGAACAGAATGCTCTTGATGGTGACAGATCGTGTTCGCCTCAGCCATCACGCAACTGACGGATACCTCTCTCCAGAAGAACAGCATCGTACCTGGCCGCGGATCAGCCATGTTGGTCGCCATCCTCGCCCTGGACGACACAGCTGCGGACGATGAGAATCCCATCAGAGGACAGACTCGGATGAGAGGGGCAAGCCATTTACTTTCATTTGCCGACTGTCATTATACCAGACTGACTGACCGCTGTTTGATCTTTGATCTTTGATCCTGTGCTTGGCCGGCCTGCCTGCCGCTAATCCTGGATCCAGCATTACCATTACCATTACCATTCCCGATAGCATGGATTTTCGACCTTGACGTTTGTGACTGCCCAAACCTTCGCTCAGTACTTACAGATCGCAATTTTCAAACGACAAATTTTGCAGTATATCTCGCAGAGTGCAGGATACACTGTCCGTCACGTCTCCTGATTCTTCGCCTCGGGGCCGTCCACGCCCACACCGGCCACCCTCATGGCAGCCTCCCACAGATCCCTGGCCGGCTCATCCACCACGGGATCCCACCACAAAAACCTCGAAACACAATCCTTGAACGCGGGCCATGACGATGAGGGTGATGATGGCCATGCTTCGATTTCTGGTTCCACTCCAGCATCCGAGTCCATATGAGAATTGCCTCCTCCTTCTCTTTCTCTTTCTGTTTCTCGTCCTCGCTCTCTCAATCTCCATCTTCTCCGCAACCGTCGCTCGAACCACGATCGGTCGTCCGTGAAAGAAGCGGCAATCCCGCCCAGCGTGAGCGCCCAGAGAATCAGACCTGCGATGCGCGGTGATGAACAAGCACATCTAGCCTCGTGCGTGACTTCTAGATTGCCTTGATTTTCGAACGTCTCGAAGACCCGCCTCAACTCGGCGGCCAGTCGGGGCTTGATCCGCGTGCAACTCGGCATGGGGAAGAGGACCATGTCGCTGAAGATCTGTGATACGTTGGTGGCACAAACGTTAGCGTCAAGGTTCGTAGCAGGGGTAGACACAAGGGTCGCATGATTATGTATTTGCATCCTCCACTCTTGCACTTGCACATGCACTTGGATTTGGATTTGGGTTTCCACTTGTGCACTCCCATGCAGCCATAAGCGTGGAACGTAGGACATGCATCCTTCCTGTCCTCCTATTCGGAAAAGACAGGGCAAAATGAAACGAGTCGAACTGGCTCAACTCACCAACATGCCCAGCCGACAGGCTTCATGCACCAGTTGCTGCAGCTGTAGCTGTAGCCCGACTCCACGGTCAGGAAACACGTTTAGGAACGTCCTCTGGGCCTCATTCGCCGCGAGCATCACGTCCACGAGTCGAGGCGGCCGGTTCTCATACCGATGGTAGTGATCCAACGCGACCGTGGCTTCGACGCCCTTGGCGACGGCGTCGCGCAGGTCGGCGGTGAAGAGCGTATCGTCGAGGACGCGAAACCCCAGGCCAAGCTGCTGTGAGAGGACCTCGGCTTTGGCGTCGAGGACGTGCTTCGCGCTCGCCACGATGGAGTAGTACGCTCGGATGGGCGGGTAGCGTAGTCGATCGCCTGTCCTGCTGGCGTGGTGAAGGTCGGCTCTACATAATTGTTGGAGTAGGAATCAGTGATCTATCCTTCGTGTGTCCCAACCCGGTCAAGTCACTTCGCTTCACACCGCCTCACTTCTTCGAAGGGATACACACGCCATAGGAAGACAAAGACAGGATAGAATAGAATACTGCTGTACTCACAGAAGCAACCAATCCGCCAACGCCAGATGGCGGAGCTTGAATATCCCACCCCGCGCCTCCACCAACTGATGTAACGCCGTGGCGTAGCTGGGCATCAGCGTCAACCGACCATACAGATGCATGTACTGGCTCGTGGCGAGCGGCGAGGGCGGGTGAGCCTCGGGCATGGCTTCTTCGACATCGGCATTGACGCCCAAGATGAGCATGCTCATCATGAGATCCTCCGAGGCCCGGCCGTTGCCATCCAGGCTCTCGATGCGTCGTTTGAGCAGCCGGATCGCGGTCGAGTAGTGGCTGAGCCGGGCGAGGGCCAGCGCCTCAGACACCCGGGGCACGGTCTGCAGCGCGAGGTTCAGGCCGCACGCCAGCGCGACTTGGACGTGGAAGAGGAGTTCGTCGTGGAGGCCGTGGCCTTTCCATTCCGATTTGGCGATGGCGAGGGTCTCGCCGCGCACGGCGCATAGCATTTCGGGCCAGATGCGGTCGAATGCTGGGGGTGGCAGTGGCAGTGTCAGTGTTGTCCAGTAATTATGAATATGAATAACAGAGACGACGCCGGTCTGTCTGCTTTTATCAAGCGCCGGTGGTGAGGAAGACAAAGGACGCCATTGTACATAGAGTGGCAGACAAAACAGACTCGACAGACTCGACGGTCTCAGATGGACTTCGACACGCTCAACAGACTTAAACAGCAAACAACAAACAAACTCTCACTCACCATACTGCACAACCTTCTCCACATTCTCAGGCAACCGACGCTCCGGGAAGGCGTCAAACGGATCCTTCGACGTCTGCGCCAGCAACGATTTCGGTTGTTCGACGCGGAACTTGGCCCTCGAGTAGACTCTGTTGCCCTTCTTCAGCTTGATCGCACCAGGGTACGAGTACGTGCACGAGTACGACTGTTTTCGGGTAGATTTGATGGTGGGAGCAGACCGGCCACCACCCGGGCGCCGCTCTGCGTTCGATGAACCGGAGGAATCATCCTGTTCATCCTGGTGTTCGGCGCCGGACGAGGGCGAGGGCGAGGGCCGTGAGCCGTCGTGACGCTTGAATTTATTGCTCCGTATGCCGGCGACATTGTCTGCGCCCTCTTCGTCGTCATCCTCATTCCCGTCCCGCCCCGTCGAATGCACGCACCTGGATTCTTGTCGTTGTCGTTGTTGTTGCTGCTGCTGAGTGACGTGCTGGCGAGCCAGTTTCTTTAGGTAAGCCATCTTAGCTGCATGGGATCGGGCGTCCGAGTCCTGCAGTTCCGCGCGCCGTCGATCTTCCGCCGACGACGGGGCGCTGGGCTGGGGCGTCTCAAAGACGAAGTGATACATATTACAGGAATTATTGTACTGCCCGTAGGTGTCTACTGCTGTGCTGTGCAGACAGACGGAACGATGCTCGACGTCGAAGCCGTTCCAAGCTACGCTATGTATGTATGTATGTATGAAGGTAGTGGCACAGGGCAAGGAGGGCATAGATAATATTCGCCAGGATGCCACCTTAAGCGGAACGGAAGGCCTAAAAGCGCAAAAGGTAACCAACATAACATCTGGGTCTCCGCCACAATACGAAAAGGGCATCCAGGAAGGATCCGAGCATTCGCTCACTCTCTTCCAAGAAACGAGCCCAGCCATCTGCGTGCCCTCAGGACCTCGTATCGGCTTTGGTAATCGTCTTGACGCACGAATGGGTGTGTGTGAAATGTCCGAATCAGCTTGGCAGGATGAGGGTCCGGTTGCTTCGCTTGAACACACGGAGACACATTGGATCTGAATTGCGGACCCTGCAAGGAGCACCCTCCTCTTCTGTACATACACGTGCGCCTGGGCAAGGCCCAAGACAGAACCACTTGGGTGCAAGATTGTGTGGCAAAGCAGCAGAGCCAATCCGGCAATTCTCTGCTGCTTACAGGTAATCGAGGACGATCAGCCGGCGGGCAAAAGCCAAAGGACGCCCGAAGGCCGCTACCTATTCGTGACATTCAGCGCCCCTGGTGAGCGACGTGGCTTGTCGCTTCTTGAACCCCCACTCGGCGATTCTCTGTATGTAGCTGCGAATGCTGTTTCCAAGTCAGCGGAATCTAAACGTCCAGCCCATTCAGTCGAACATACCTTGGCGCAAAGTTGTGCCGTTCCTTCATCAAGCGCACAACCTCTTCCAGGCTGTGGTGCTGATAGAGCTGACCGATTTCGGCTTTGTGCTGCTCCCACCGCGAGATTGTGTCTGGGGATGGTGTGGCGTTCGACAATAGCGTGTCTGATCGCTGTATACAAGATCCGGAAACAAGCTCCAGGCGCTGCGTCGATACATCCCACTCGTCCGGTCCTACCACGAAACTGAGATTCCGAGCAAGTGAGGAGCAGAATCTCCGCTTGTGTGAGTACTCTGATTGATTCTCCCATTCCTCGTAGCGCTTGTTGCCAGACGTGTATTTCAAACGACTCATCTTCCAGATGGATCTGAGCGATTCTGACACAGGCAATCCATATCGTCCAGACTGAACGAAACGTTCCCGATGTGTGCAGCAAAGCCCCGCAGCAAATATATCACAGCGAGTGAGACGATTTGGTTGCTGATCTGGGTCCATGCCAGGATATCCACGCATTTAGAAAGGACGTATGCATCTGGCAGCGTCCTGCACTCCTGAAGCGTAGGCTGCGCAGCCAGCCATAAGCCCGGACTTGTCCCTCTCAAGTGTTCTGAGATCAAAACAGCCGGGAGGAAGGCGTATCGCAGAATTGAAGACCTTGCTGAATCAGGAGAACATGTGCGGGTTGGGACAGGCACCTGGGGACATTTGAGCCGCAGAGACGAAGAAAGGGCAAAAGAGTCGGGAGGGAGCAGGCCCGTCACGTCCCCATATTGGTGCCATAGCGGAAGATCCGTATTGTATCTGGGGGCTTGGATGGCGTCAACGTCGGCTGCGCTTGCATTGAATTCAAATCCACCTGCTTCGTGGTGAAACGCTGCCCGTGTAAACCAGCTGCTACTCGTGCTCAAGGTGGGCAAAGTTGAGCGTGTTGTATCTATGTTTGACTGACGACCGTTCAAGTCAGAAGGTCCAGCGAATGGGTGTGAGGGTGTCGATTCACTCTGTATAGGTGTTCCCGAGACTATCAATGGTAGTAGTTGGTGACGGCCGAGGCGTATTCGGCTGACCTGACTCTACGTTGGTGGGCGGCAGCTGGATATAAGCAGGCGTGCTCTCATCACCAGAGATAGAGGAGAGTAGGCCGTACTCGTCGTTGAGCTTTTCATGTCTCCGGACATATTTGACGATATCTTCTCGCCGCCGAGTAGTACCCGCGAAGAAAACGACCTCCTCGCGCCCTTCGCTCCTTGCTTGGTTGAGTAGTCGCAGGATGAAGGCTGCATCACGGCGCGTGAGGTTTTTCTGCAAGCCCCAAAGTTTCAGTCGATTTTTGTATTGTTTCACGCTAGAAAATCAGCAGACGTCCCGGACTATGCTGAACAGCTCACGTTGCGTCAAACCCATGATTATCCTTCATGTATTCTATTATCGACCTCAAAGGCATCTGCTGTTGAACATACAAGCGCTCCAACGTTTCTCGAAATGGCTCCCATTCCGACGGCTTGGAAGGACGAAGATGGACTGTTGCAGTCTTGTTCGTGGCGCCATTCCTGAAGCTCGAGAAAGGTTAGCTTCGCCCTCTGCTTTCATTGCCCGTGATCCGCAGCGTTGACTTGCAAGTTAGTCAAGATCTTCCACATCAGCCAACACAGCGGGCTCATCCAAGATGCGACATCCACCAGCAAGGGCTCGGAAGCATCATCCTGCTGTTGTTCGTGCCATGGTACTCGCAATTCCAAGAGCACCATCTCCAGCACCGCGGCTCACAAGGTCAAGAGATGGATGGACGGTTGTGTGAGCGACACATCGAAGCAACATTCCGTCCGCAAGATGGTCCTGAACGAGATCGACGAGGCATTCCACACAACAGGTGCGACTCCGGGGTTTGCTCCTGCTTCGTTGCATGTCGTCACTGGTGCCACAAGACTGACTCATGGAGAAGGCACAGCTCCCAGACGGTATGGTCACGGATACGCTCTGTCGCTTAGAACCACTTCGTCTCTGTCAAAGTGATGTGAAGAGGGAGCGAGCCAGATCGAGGCACGCAAAGCAAAGCTTGCAGACAAGCTGCCATACCGATATGAGTGCTGCGCCGTACCATCAGCCTTTGTGCTGCAGCCTCGCAGCCTCGCAGCCTCGCAGCCTCGCAGCCTCGCAGCCTCGTGGCCTTGCGCCACGTAGAGACACATGACACAGCTCGCCACGGCATCATGTCGACAGAGACTCGGCATCGCGTCTTCGTGCATGCAAAGGTCTACGCCCTCTACTATAGTTCTCATTCTATCGTGCCTCATGTTTGGAGAAGCTCTATATGCATGACGATCACTTCAATCGCGTCCCTCCCGCCTCGCATGCTAGTCTTCCAGATCATCCTCATTCGCTTCCACAATTTCATATCCCTCGCTCCCTCCAATGTCATCTGAATCATCGCCCTCATCCTTGTCCTCTTCCTCGTCGTCCTCGTTGTCATCCTCCTCGCCGTCAATGGGCTTCAAGCCGTAGTCGTCCTGGAAATAGTTCAGGTCGCGGATCTCTGGCGAGAAACCCGCCTCTTTGAGACCATCAGCAATAGCCTGCAACACATACCTGTTAGCTTCACTTGCCATTGCAAGGGTCACAAACAACAGTACTCACCTCCTTCAATCCGGTCGCACAGGTGACAACAATATCCGCCTTCCCCGGCCTAAACATATCAAACACCACCTCCTTCAAGGCTGTCTTGATCTCCTGCACGCCAACATCCCTGACCTTCTTCAACATCCTCGCCATGTGATCCTCCGGCAAACCCTTGATGACACTCCGTACGAAACTCGACCCCGCCGCACTCGCCAGCGTTTGCTGCTCGTTCGCAAAGCTCACCACGATGGAGCTGATCGCACCCTCGAGCATGAGTGGGTCGAATTCCACCTCTCCGCTCATGTGATCGTGCACAATCTTCTTGGATGCCTCGAAAGCCTTGTAAGCATCAGGGGAGCGGTACACGTCCAGGTGGATGAAACCTGACTCGATATCGTAACCCATGTTCGTGCCGTACGCCAAACCTGTTCCTCGAACGGCAACCCATAAGGGGCCTTCCACCGCATTCATGTACGCCATGGCAACCATGATGGCCGGCATTTGCGGATCGTCCCACGATGTCGGCCCGCGTGCCACAGAATACGCAAATGAAGAGTCAATGGTCGGCATCGGGACCACGTAAGCCAATTTTCCTGGGTGGCGACCGGCTTCACTCAACCGTTCGATCCGTTTGCCAATGGGTGTGAGCTCGCTCGTGGGAGAGAGCTTCTCGACGAAGGGCTGCCACGTGCTCACCGGTGCGTGGACTTTCTCGAGGTCGGTGATGACCAGGACGCGGTAGTTCTCGAACCGGCAGAGGGTGCTTCGCAGACGCTCGAATTGCTGGACCACCTGCTCTGGCTCTTTCTCCAGCAGTTGTTTGATGCGTTTCAGGTACAGGGCTTTGACCAAGGTGCTCCGGGCACGGCCTATGGATTTCGGGGAGAGATGGCTCATCTGATGGACGTTGATCATCATATCGTCGCCACTGCGCTTCGCGTCAGGGACGTCAGCGAGCAAGCGACTGTTGATGGCTTTCAACCTCTCAACGTCGAAGATTGACCGGTAGAGCAGTTCTGTCAGCCATTTGATGGCGACGTCGTACCGTTCGATCTCAACCTGGAAACTGACCCTGATGCCTTCGACGTTGCCTAGGGCGCTGGCGCTGTCGATTGAATAGCCGACGGTATCCCGCTCGAGCTCGGTCACAACTTGTTGGAAGTCAATGACATCGGCACCGCGCTTAATGGGCAGGTTGAAGAATGCTTCCATGTAGATTGACAGTAGCGGTCGTAGCTCGTCTGGCAAGGTTTCGGTGGAAATAATCATGTTGACTCGAGCAAAGTTGGTCGGAATGTGCTCGAAATCGAGAAACAGTGATACGTCTCTCGAGTCGCTGTCGATGATCTGCTGATATTTGTTGTTCCGTCTGCCAATCTCCTGTGCCAGACCTGCCCGTGCACCAGAGGTCGAGACGAAATGGATCGATTCTGTCAACGGCACCTTGAACTTGCCCAGCAGCTCTGTTGGGATCTCGCGGTCGTTCTCGGCTTTCGCTGCGTCTAGCATTTCCTGCATCTTCTTCAGGCCGTCCGGTCCTAATTTTGCCTTTTGCTCCTCGATTCTGTTTGCTTCATCCGTTTTGAGCTTCTCCGACAGTCGTGCTGACGGAACGCCCAGTATGGACACATGTGGTGCATCGGATATGTACTTCTTGATGTATGCCTTCCACTGCGCTTCCGTCCAGTTTGCCAAGGTTTCGGTATAAGGCTTCAATGACTTCACATCCTCGAGCGTTGAGCCATCTCGCTTGCCGTAAAGATAGTCTGAGATAATGTAGTCGGCAAACGCAGTGGGTGAGCCCTCGGCATTGAACTTGTATGTCCTCACTTGCCGATCGATGCAATCCTTCATGAAGTCCATGTCCAAGGGCTTGTCCATGGCATCTTTCAGGACCTCGAAGAAGCGCTTCTCAACCTCTTCTAGCCGCTCGGTCTCGACGCTCGACATGGAAAATTGGATCTCGATGCGCGGGCGACTGTCGACTTGGTAGTAAATCCCGCTCGCCAACTGCTCCTTTTCGACAAGAATGTGGTCCAGCAGTGCGGCTGACGAGCCGGCGAGGTACAGCAGAACCACATTCAGGGCTCCTGCGGCTAGCACATCGGCGCAATCCGGCCCCAGGAACCTGATGTCGATCTCACCGAACGATTCGTCCTCCTCGGGAAACTCCACCTTCAGCAGCGTCGACTCCTTCAGTGGCGGCGTCAATTCGGACTCGATCCAAGGCCGCTTGAAGGGTGCGTCCGGACTCGGGATATCGGAGAGAATCGAGGTTTCGAACTCGTCCAGGATAGCCAGCAGTTCGGTGTGATCCGCCTCGCCAAAAATCGCGACGCATAGATTCTTTGGCTGGTACATCTCGCGATGGAATTCCCGAATGCGATCAGCAGCAAGGACGCGCAGTTGCTCCATCATGCCGCCGGTCTCATAGCGGTAGCCGACGCCTTCAGGGTAGAGAATGCGCTTCGACTGCAGCTCTATCAGCTCGGACGCGGTGTTCTGCACGCCCTGCATCTCCGAGTACACGACCCCGGCGTCATTGCCATTTCCATCAATATGATGGACTTCAGTGGTGCAGCCAGCGTCTGTCAGGGTCGGGAGAATGACATGCTCGAGGTAGACAGGCAGAATCTGTGCAAAGCCCGCCCATCCTGCCGTCTCCAGCGTGTAGGCGGTGTGATCCGTGGCCGTCCACGCATTGGTGCCCGAGTACGCCCTTGTGGCGAGCTTGTCCAAGAAGCCTTTGTACTTGTAGCTCTTGGAGCCCATGAAACACAGGTGCTCCAGGGTGTGCGGGGCGCCAGAGTCGTCGTGAATCTCGGTGGCCAGGACGAAGAAGCCATGCAACTTCGGCCCCTCCTGGTCCACCACGACCACTCGCATGCCCGTGCGTTCAGATTCATACTGCGTGATGGCGCTCGGACAATAGTCAGGCTGAATTTTCTGCAGCTGGCGAAAGCGCGGGCTAGTGCGCATGGAGACCATGTTGGCGAGGGACGAGAACTTGACCAGCCCTTTACCACAGAGGGAGGAGAATTGCCGCTCTATTTCAGAGGCCAAATTAGTGTCATGGGCTTCATCGAAGCGCAGAAACAAGACATCTCTGAGACCGCTGGATATCAGGAGAGCCAACAAGCAGATGAGCAGCGACGTTGTAATTGTAAGCGCCTTCGCGAGCATGAATATGACTCGCTCGTGATCAATCTCTGGGATTCACCGCCCGCCTTGAAGAAACAATGATCCAGTCAAACCCAACGCGCGAGAGGGACAGACCTGTACTGGGTATGTACTCACTCGATCGAAGAAGTCCACCCTGCTCTTGTGTGCTCTGAATCCTTCTGTGCGATAGTCAGACACGAGCAGAAAAAGGTCACGGGGAGACGAACGGGCTGTGTAACCACTACGAGGGAAGATCTTGGAGCCTGGTTGCGCCCTAATTCAGTCTGCAAGTGTAATCACGGGATGAGCGATCAGGGTGAAGCAGGCTCGTGTTCGTCTAACGTGTCGCTTCCCTCTCACCACTGTCTTGTGCGAGATCTGCCGTCTCCAGTAGAATGCGGCCGAGTCCAGATCTGCGCCACCTGGTGCCTGCATGGTGCCTGGCTCGGTCAGCCTCCAGCCGCGAGCAGCACGACATGTCGCCTTGGCACCTTTACAGTTCGAAGCGAGCTTGGCAGTGATTCGGTATTATTTTACAACTATGCATGTTCATATATCCTCAAAGAGTCCAAGTAGCCCTCTATACATCCAAGTGCGCACTGCGCTCGACAAACGATTAGCCCGAAACTTTTGCCACTTCCTCGCAAATGCTCATACGCGTAGCCGTCTGAAATATCCAACCAACAATGCCGCTCATTACTTTCCTCCAAAAGACGCTGGTGTTGAGGAAGCGCAAAAGTTCGCAAGTCGGGCCGTCATGATGCCGGGTTGTACAATTCTTGAAGGGCGTTCTGTCCTTTCCGGAGCGCCCAGCTCTTCTGCTTCTTGTCTTTCTTCATTTTCATCTCCGCCCATCCTTGTTCGTCGTCATCTTCATCCTGGACGGCCAGAGGCGATCTCCGGCCAAGAGTGTTGATCGACGGTCTGGTGCCATGCTGGCCAGGTCGAGCCGCGTTGTCCACTGAAGACCAGGGGCGCATGCTTGTTGATGTGAATGTCGACGCGCGGCGATGAGCTCCCACCTCGGGCTCTGGCGCGATCGACACCGGCCTGTATCTCGAAGCGAGGCCTATGTTGCTGCGTTCAGAAGGTGCGATTGACGGAGCATAACTCCCGGTGACGTTGATCGACGGTAATAGTTGTTGTCCAGAGTTCCACGGTGCCATGCTCGGGTTGAGTGTGCTCATAGTCCTTTGGCTCGCCTGCGGAGCCGAGGGGTGCTGCATATGCACGGATTGTGGTCTTGATAGCGCAGGATTGGGTATGCCTGGGTATTGAGCCATGTTCATCGGACCTGGGTTCCCCGGCACGCCCATGGTTTGCGACATTTGTTGCATCCATTGCATCTGCATCTGCATCATTTGAGTCATCTGTTGGGCCATCTGGATCTGGGCTTGATCACCGGCGGTGAGCACAGGAGGCATGCCTGGCATCATCGGCGGCATCCCCGGCATTGGTGACATTCCTTGATAGCCCATTGCCGGGAGTGTTCCAGTGGTCTGGGATCTCGCCATACCAGGATGTGGAGGCATATCAAAGCCTCCAACTGGGTTAGGACTGCCTCTCCGAGCGGCTCTAGCGCGTTCTTCCCCAGCAATGACACCCACGAGTCCAGAGGGGTGTATGGGATGAGCAGTCGAAGGGCCAGCCCCCTGGGGAACGGCAGTGGGATGCAGCGCCAGTGCTTCACGGTTCGAAGGTTGGACGAGACCTGCTCCGTAGTAAGGATCCGGTGGTAATTGTCGAGCAAAGACGGGCAGATTGCCTCCCTTCACCGACGGCGCTCCCTGGTTCTGACTGACAGCTCGAAGATTTGAGTTGGACGGCGATGTCGCCAGTCGTGTTGGCGGCCTGTTTCTGTTGGGAAATCCATGTGCGGCAAGAATTCCTAGAGGCACATCCTCATCCTCGTCCTCGTCTTCCCCACTGCTCTTGCCAGAAGTCTTTGAATCCAGGGTGATATGCGACATGCGGTTGTTGAGATCTGTTGAGCTTCCATTTCCTGGCCGTAGAGCGCTGAGGCTGCTTCCCGGCCGGTTGGGCGGAGCCTCTCCTGTCACCTTCATCATCGTCTGCCGGTAGACAGCGAGGTGAGCTTCTTGCTTCCGTCGTTGCTTCGCAGCTTGTTTACTTCTTTCAAGCTCATCGTCATCATCGTCTGAATTATCGCCTGCTTCCGAGGCGCTGTCGTCAGACAATGCACCTAGTCGCCGATCCATCTCTTTTTGTTCCTTGTACCGTTCCCACTGGGCAGGCGTCATGACTTTGTTGCCCGTGGTGGGCTTGGGCGGAGGGTCCTTGGTCTCCTGGTACATGTGGGCCAGCTGGGCATTTTCAGCAATGACTGGATCAAATGTGGGACTGGATTCTGAAGCTGGTGACAAACCCATAGCGTCTCGTGCCGAGCTTGCTGAGGGTGGGGCACTTTCCCGGGATTTGGTGGGTGACAACGGCGCCGGGTGTAAGTCCCCCTCTTGTGTTGTAACCTTTGGACCGATGGGCCTTCTCGAAGCCATTGAAGTGGAGAGCTCAGACATAGAGCCGAACCTTCCTGTCTGCGTGGCTGGTTCTCGGGATCTCACGGGGCTACCTTGGGTAATCGTCGTTGAAGGGCTAGGAGATCGCATCAAGCCATCACGAGAGGTCTGAGAGTTCCACGAATAAGGTGATGATTCAACAGCTTGTGATCGGTCGGTAGCGATGGGATGGGGAGGAGGTGCTCGACTGGTACGAAGGGCACTGCCGCCTGGATAGGCAGTGGGCGGATAACTTGTGACGGGAGAGGAATCGGTGACCTGGGTGGGAGGCGTTAGTATGACACGAAAGATGGCAGAAATGAAAGGTGTCTGAGCTGGCCTGTACCTCTTGGTGTATAAGCCGCGTTGGGCCCGGGTCAGGACTAGACCCAATATGGTCGAACATGTTTCCGAATGCATCCAATTCCGAGTTCTCCAATGCTAAATCCGAATCGAACAGCTTAGGGGGTGTTGCAGTACTCGCCGTGCTCTCTGTGACCGTCCTGTTCCTCCTGTTGTTGACAAGCGGCGGTAGGGCAGCATCTGGCGAGGTCGGCGATCCTCGGCTGCCCTTGACAACCCCGAAGGAAAACGTTCTCGCAGGGCTGCGGAGGAATCCAGGTCGCGCCGACGCAGGAGGAGGAACAGGGATGTCATTGTAAGGTCTTGTTCCTGGGGCCTGGACATTCTTATCTGACTTGGTGTCGATGGACGAGGGATTTGTCGACGAGGTGCTCAGCCGGGCAGAGGATGCGGCACTGTCATAAGGGGCGGTAGAGTGTGAACGTTCAGTACCACCACTTCCCCTGGATACCAACGTTAGTCTCGCCTCGTTTGTTTGTAGAGAAGTCTTCTTCGCGTACCGGTTGCTTGCATCCGGGCGGCCCACCGCAAAGATATCAACCTCCCCATTGCCGTCGTGGTCTTTTGGCGGGGGCATTGGACCTCCTGTGCTCGTCATCCTCAGGTGTACTCCTCCATCAAATGATTTGCCTTTGCTCGCCGGTCTCTCAAGCACCCTGAAGGTCGACTCTCCCGGGGGACTGCGCACCTCGTCCAAGGCATGACCAGAAGATTTCCTTCTTTGAAATCCCCTGGGTAGTTTGATGGGCATGAAGCTGGTTCTACGCGATACCCAACGGGGAGTGTTGCAAGTCTGACGGGGCGGTCAACGGCTTCGGACCGTAACCAAAGAGCGAAAGGTTTAGGTATGCAAGACTAGGACGCAAACATGAGAGGCAGTTGGACGGCTGTCGGTAACCTGCATATCGATCTCGGTCAGCAACCCAATGGCGGAGGGAGTGGTTCAACAGTGCCTTACTCCGTACAGTATCTTGGGAAATTTAGGCCTTCTGTCGCCCACAGACTGTGCTGGTGATGATTGCGGACTTCTTGAACTGGCAGGCGCAACGAATCGAATGGACGTGGCTGGAGCGTTATGTCAGATTGCGAAGTGACGGACTATATTTGTCGAAGCGGACGTGGACAGGGGCGGGTGCGAAAGCGAGTTGGTGTACTCCGTACTCGTGCCGTGTCCGTGGGCGAGTAAAGCAGCGATTGAACAAGGTGAAGCAGAGAAACGATCAGTACCGGGAATCCAATTCCTAAATGCTGTATTGTTGAATGAGAGTGAACTAGCAGCAGAGGCAGGAAAAAAGATTGAGTCGTGCAGAAGCGGAGCGAGCGTTTAGAGGCAAGGAGGGCAACGTGCAAAGCCGCAGGTGGCAGTTCGCAGTGCCTTGTCACTAACTCGTAGGGCCCGGCAGGCCCGGTCACCAATGCAAGTGTTCAAGACACAGGCGGGGCTCCGTCGCCGGGATATTTGGGCCCTGCACGCCTGCCTCCACTGTTTTGCAGAACCAGCCCAATGGGCGAGTTGTGCATCGACACACGCCGGGGGCTTGACTCACACTACCGCAATCGGACTGGGCATATCAACGGCATGATCGTCTTCTCAGGGCATGCTGTTCTTCTTCACCGTGGCAGTTGATGATGCTCCATGCCCTGTGCCCAGTATAATGTTGGATTTGCCGTGCTCCTGGATTGACCCTGCTCGTTTACCGGTAGGGCCCCGGCATCTCCCGCCTAATCTCGTGCAGCACGTCTATTCCGGATCTGTTGTGCGGTGGCTCAACTCTAGCCTCCTTGAATGCAACCACAACCACGACCTGCCACTTTTTGACACACTTTCGGCCACTTCATCTCCGGCTCCCTGGCCCCAAGATCGTCCCAGCACACACTCGCCGCGTTCCTGAATGCACGTGCTACCTCTGTGTCCAACAACAGCCAATGCCAATGCCAATGCCGTCTCTGTTGTCCTCCCCGCGGTCATCTCGTCTTGTCTACGTAAGTCAATCTGCACCACGACTTCACTAGCCTTCTTCGCGTGCTTGTCCTTCAGCCACTATATCCCCACACACTGCGGTGCCCGTCCCCCCATCAGACTCTACTGGCAGAGCCGTGGGAAGCCCTTTTCCCCAGCCGATGATGCATGCAGATGGAGAGTCACCCCTGAAGAAGCGTCTGCAAAAGAGCACACCGCATCGCACAAGCCAAGCAATGCCAACTTCGATGTGGCTGGGCTTGGCTCGATATCTCCGCATCATCTGGCTCAACAAGTGGACGGGTCAACGTCAAGTTCTGGGAGTCCCGGCAACAAGCGTGCCATCCACATGCGGCTTTCAGTCATTGTCCGTAAAAATGGTAGGTCCATAGTTGCCTTCTTGTCCGCTCCTGTTGCGTTATGTCTGCGCGTCACTTTGGTTGATTTGCACGGCCTTGTCCTCTCCAGCGCTGAGAATGCCAACGTCTGGGTGCCAGCACACTCCAAATACTTTGACACCGTCACCTGTCGCGGGACTGGGAGCGCCGCTGAGGCTTGCTCTGGCTAGAGTGTACAGGCTCTGCCCGACGGCGCCCTCTTTCTCCTGCTTGGTGCTCCGGACATCCCAAACTCTGCAAGTACCGTCGTGACTGCCACTGACAAAAGTATAATCATTGGTAGGGTCGCGGGCAAGGCTGACCACGGCGTTCTTGTGGCCTTTGAGTGTCATAGCAGTCACAGTAGCAGCGGATGCTCGAGGATCCACAAGTTTGATTACACGGCTGACGGTACCAGTCGCAATGAGATGGAGCGCGGGCATGTGCTCAATGCAGAACAACGCGCTGGGTGTGGTTCGAGTGTCCACGAGAGAGGCGGTGACCAAATCCCAAGTCCGTACGGTTTGGTCCCATGACGCTGAGTAGCCAACCGTGGGGTCATTGAGGTCAAACATGGCACCCGAAACAGGACCAGTGTGCTGTTGCATCAGAGCCAGCGGCCCTCTTTGGGACACCGACACCTCATTATTAAGCTTCCTCTTTTTGCCATCTTTCGTCCTTGCTTTGGGAGCGAGGGCTTCCGGTGCTGCAGGCGCGTCAGATTTCCGAGTCGACCAAAGCCCGACTGAGTGGTCCGAAGAGGCTGAGAGAATGCGGGAGGAAGCAGGATGGGCGCAGACAGACTCCACCGAGGATTTGTGTCCATAGAGCTCGATCTGAGGCGACAAGGTGGCCGAGAATCCGTCTTGATCCTCCGAGTATTTCCACAGCCTCAACGTCCGGTCAAAGCTACCGGAGACAAGCTGGGTGGGAGATATGAACTTGGCCGACTTGATGAAAGAGCCGTGTCCGCCCTGACCCACTCCACACGATGTAGCCAGCACCTGTGAGGACGTATTCCAGACTCTTAACAGGCCGTCGTAACTGGCAGAAAGGATTCGAGGCGAGGTAGTAGACATGACATCCACGTCGCTGACCCAGTCATCATGCTGAAAAGATGCGACATGTTGCGGCGGGATCCGTGCTCGTAGATATTCGACGGCGAGGGTTGTTTCCGCGGAGATGCCGTTGCTCGTCAGATATTCTTCAAGAGTTGTTCTTAGGTATGTGCCATTGATAATGAACTCTAGCGGAATGGCTTTCTCGGTCTTTAGCAGGCTGTTGACGAGGGTCGAAAGAGTCAAGCGACGGAAAGATGTAGGTACCAGAATCGCAGCGTTGTCTTCGAGGGCTAGATCTGTATCTCGAGTTGTCAGTCGAACTCGTACCTGGGCCTGATTCCCCGGGGCACCAGCGCCAGACATGGCAGCCATGATTGATGACCACGTCCTGTCGCTCTCAACTGCAAAGTTGGCGGCTCTGAAGGTCTGTAACGACTGCGGGCGCAAAGTTGTCTCGAAACTTTTTCTCCGCAAAATTTCCGGCGAAGCATAGAGACCAGCAGGCAGTGTGCGCCGATGACATGAGGTGATGGCGCCATGTCACTGACGCCAGCATCCACCAGGACATCTTGCCAGAATCGAGGAAGACAATGCCCGATGACACAGATGCTGCGGCTTTATGCGACGCGATTGTCCATGGCAGTTTCCCACAATCGGAACAACTTCTGACCTCTGATCTGTCCTCTCAAACCATCTCCGCTCTCCTCAGCCAGATCTCTCATACTCGGCAAGGCCTCAGTGGCGAGATCAAAGCCGACAGCAAAGATGAGGCCGACAACGTCGATGCCTGGATCGCCCAGGCTAAGAAGGTTCAAGAGGACATTGCGCGCTGCAAACTCGAGTCCAAGCGCATCGTCGAGGAGCATCAGCAACTGCAAGTCCTGAGAGATCAGGTCACCGACTACCAAGGCAAAGTTGACCTCCTCGAGACGGAAATTGACTTCAGCAAGTCCCTCCACCACGATCTTCTGAACGTGTCCTTGGCCGCACAATCGCTGAGGGACATTGAGCAATGTCTCACCCACGATGACCCCTGCGGAGCTGCCACGAAACTGCAGGAGCTGGACAGGAATTCGACAACCAAGCTAAAAGCTAGAACAACCACAATAATACGGGATTTACAAGATGAGCTGCGGCTCAAAGCTCGCTTCCAACTGGAGCAGAAACTCAGTCAACAGATTCTTGTTCGCAGAGACCATCAGAAGGGAAGTCTTGAAGTTCTACCGAATGAGCTTGATGACGCCACACTGAATTCCGATGCCATTCTACGAGCCCTTGACAGTCTTGCCGATGGCCAAGATTCCATTGAGCCTCTGACGGACAAGCTCAGGTCTCTGATTGTTCATCCCCTCCGCCGGTCTGCGCGTTTGAAGTTGGCAGCTTATCATGTTGAGCAACACGCCTTGAATGTCGAACTCGACTCCCGCGTTCCGTCCCTGGATCTAGTCCTCGCTTTTACGCTCGACTTTCTCCACTTCCTTCGCGGTTCCTTGTCTAAGACGGTGCAAGACGCAACAGCGAAAGCACTACTTCCCGACTTGATGGACGTTTTGGTTTCCGATTGGCTAAACCCTGAGCTGCCTACCGATCTCAGAATGCTGGACGATCTCGACCGTCTCAAGCAGAGAGTAAGCGCCATCTTGGACGACCTGAAATCTTCCCAGTGGGAAGGGCAAGAAAAGCTTCAAGATTGGACGGATGATATCCAACGGGCTTGGCTGAGCAAGCGTAAGGCTGCTACCCTGGATGCTGTAAGGAAAGCATTCGCTTCGGCTCGGGGAAATTTACGCCAGGTAGAACGCGTGGAGCGACAGATGGTATCGACTACCAGCGCAGAAGAGCATAGGAGCGTTGAAGGCGGATCAGATGAGTGGGACGCAGACTGGGACGACGAGGCAAAGCCTAAAGAATCCACGGAAGAGACTGCACAGACGATGAGCACCGAGGAAGATGACACCGAAGGTTGGGGGTTCGATGATGATGAAGAAGAAGAAGAAAATGAACCTAAACGGGACACTCGCAACGCACAAATTGCAGATACCGAAGACGATGATGCTGGAGATGCTTGGGGCTGGGGCGACGAGAGCCCTGACACAGACAAGAAATCAAAGCCGGCCTCCAAAGAAGAACACAAGGCACCAAATGGAGCGAAGCCGCGCAATGAGACCGAGCAGGAGGTCACTCTGACCGAAGTTTACAGCATCAGCGAGATTCCTGATCACCTGATTGAAATCATAGGCAGGGATCTCACAGACGCTCAAACCATCCGGGACACGCAGCACAAGAGTCTTGACTCGGCCTCAGCATCTAGAGGCCTGTTGGCCCTACCCACCTTGGCACTCGCCATGTTTCGGGCCACAGCGCCCAGCTACTACGGCGCCTCTCCTACCCTGACAGAGATTCATCGCTACAATGATTCCCTCTACATAGCCGAACGACTACGCGACATGAGCATCCCACCCGAGATGGCCAGCATACAATCCGACATCAAAGCCATGGAGAAATTCTCCAAATTGGCATACTCTAAAGAAATGGAAACCCAGCGTATAATCGTGTGGGATCTCCTCGAGGGCGCCCAGGGATTTACTTCATGCACGCAATTTCCCTACTCGCAGGAAATTGAGAATGCCGTGTCCTCGGTCGTCGATCGAATACGTACACTGCATGTGCTGTGGAAACCCATTCTCTCGACGTCGGCGCTGATGCAAAGTCTCGGCTCGCTCGTCACCATGGTGGTATCTAAATTCATCTCCTCAATTGAGGAAATGGACGATATCTCGGAGCCGGAATCCCAGCGCCTCACTGCCTTCTGCCAACAGATCGCCACGTTGGAAGACCTCTTCTTATCGACACCGCCATCTACTAGCACCACCCATCAGGAAGACAGTCCACAAGAACCCATCCCAATGACGGCAGTGTACGTCTCCAACTGGCTGCGCTTCCAATACCTGATCAATATCCTCGAGAGCTCGCTCGTGGACATCAAGTACCTCTGGACGGAAGGCGAATTGAGTCTCGAGTTCAGTGCGGACGAAGTGGTGGATTTGATCAAGGCCCTCTTCGCGGAGAGCGCGCATCGACGGAGCGCAATTGCGGCCATCAGAGGGAGTAGAACGTCGCGGTGAGGACAACGTTTCACGCCCCCGCGCGCGCGCGGACCCGGAGCGCATCGCTGAGGCATACACATACACAGTAGGGGGTTATCACCGTGTAGTGATGAAACCCCATGGATCATGATCGTCGTGGATAGTAACAATACATGTTTGTTGACGCTCAACGACACGACTTCGCAGTACGGGCTACAGTGGATCTTCTTGCTCGCCCCCCCCGACTTACGAACGTGACGGCGGCATAGTGAATTCTGCCATGGCATGGCAGGGTAGGTACCTACAGTTACTACAACGACCGCAACGAAAATACCATGCTACACAGTAGAGCGCAGAGATGAACCCCGTCTTCGCATCCCATTTCGTCCTTTCTATACCCCTCAACGCTGATGAAGCGAGGTGTGGACGTCGATTCGGGGTATCAAGCGGTCGAGCGCTGGCCCTGTGGGTGTAGGATCGTTTATCATGCGAGCAGTTATATTCTCGTACGATGAGGACGGCGCAGGTAGAGGAAGAAGATGATTAATTACCCAACAAGCATAATGAATGACCGGGCTCTTCCTATTCTATTGCTAGCGTCCAAGACATCGAACTTGTCTGACCCCCGTATCTTCGGTCTGTGTCTTTCTATGCGTTGGTTGTTGCTCCCATCCGATCTGTTGGAGGGATTCGGTACAAGAGAGTGTGTGATAACATTAAAGAGAGTTTCCACCTTCGCATCTGTTCCCCGATCCTGAAATTAGTCTCCTCCTCTTACCCATTCCTACTTGAGCCTTGCACAATCCCCCTTGCCCGGAATTAGTCCGTCTTCAATAACCGAGCAATGCAGAGGCACCGGGTTCGCTGGAAATGTAGATGACCTCGTGGTCATCACTGAACCCATTGAATTTGGTGGCCGAGCACTTCGTGTAGGCGCCCATGTTTTCGAAGAACAGCCAGTCGCCAATTTCAATCACCCCAGGGAGGAAGTATCGGTCTGTGATGACATCGATGCCATCACAGGTCGGACCCCAGATCGAGTATTCGACGGGGAGTTCATTCCCGGTCGGTCGGGCAAGGACCTGCGGCACAGGATGTTGGTGGTCAAAGATGATGTTGGAGAAATTGCCGTAAACACCATCATTCAGGTAGAGCATGTATCCCTTGCCTCCTTCGTGGTCAACCGCAACCTCCCGTCGAGCAATCACATTCGCAGCCAAGGTGAAGGCATTGGAGGCGTAGTACCGGCCGGGCTCCCCAATGATGCGCACATTGGTAGGGAAATGTTCCTCAAGAGCTTCGTTTAGGTTTCCCGCAAAGGTCTCGAACGTTTCGTCCACGAAGCCACCACCAACGTCGAGCAACTTAAGATCAAAGCCGAGCGTCGCTGCTTGGTCGAAGACGCCACGTGCGTCCTTGATGGCCTTGGCGAAGGAGTTCGGATCGCTAGCGCCAGAGCCGATGTGGAAACTGACGCCGACGAGGTTCAAATTCAAATGCTTGACATGGTGAAGCAATTCTTCCGCGTATTCCAAGCTCGCGCCATATTTCGTGCTCAAACGACAAGCGCTGGCCGAGTCATCGGTCAGGATGCGGAGGACGAGTTCAGCATCTGGGTAGCATTCTTTGATCTTGTACAACTCGTCGGTGTTGTCAAAGGTCATAAGTGTGACGCCAACTCTCTGCGCGTGGCGTAGGTAGGACTTGGTCTTGCACGGTTGGGCATAGATGATACGGCTAGGCGGAACGCCAAGGCTGAGCACCAAGTCGATCTCAGCCTTGGACGCACAATCAAACCCGGTGCCCAATTTGGCCAGCAGGCGGAGCACTTCCTTGTCCGGGTTGCATTTGACCGCTTAGCAACTGTTAGCCCATCCACTGGAGGAACATTGGCATGTGCCACTCACCATAAAACGGCTTGACACGGCCCAAATTCATTTTCCAGCGCAGATGCTGGCGGTAGACTTCTCCAAGGTCCGCCACGTAGAAGGCATCTTCCTCCCCGGGTTCGCAAGTGTCCACGTTAATGCGAGCAATTTGCTCCTTGAGGACTTTTTGAATTAGAGCCTTAGAGGCAAAGCCAGTCACGTCGGATTCAACGCCATGATTGATATCGGGACAATCGATCTTATCGATTTGGTTGTCAGTCAAAGTAGTAGTGGTATCTGGCTGATCAATGGCGATTGCAGAAGGTGCCATAACCATGCAAATGGTTAAGCTGATGATTTAGTGATGGATTTCAGGCGGGTGTTAGGGAGGTTTTCTGGATTCCGACCCTATCGGACGTTGGCTTTGCCTCAGCGACTCTCCCTCGCGAGGAGGAAGAACCTCGAGTGGCGACCTATGCGGCAGCTGAAATTGAGGGCAATGATGAATGGGGGTGTCAAACTGGAAAGACGACAGTGGGATTGCAACGTCGAGCTTCAGCAGGAGGAGGGCGTGTATTGAGGATATGTCGATGTTTTGAAGCAGATGCAGTTTGATGGCGCAGGGCGAAAGAAGTCGAGGCCGTGTTACGGGGTGCCTTTGGTAGCCCAAAGGCGGATTGGAAAAAGGTTTCGAGCTGGTAGAGGTCGTGTCCCGAGGCAGCAGAATGACTGAGGCAGGCGGTGCTGTGGTAACACAGGGTCGAGAGAGAAGTGAAGTGGTGGTGAAAAATGGTCGATTTTCGTGTGTATCGTGCCGATAGGGAAATTTTGTTTGCGATTGACATCGACAAGCTGGTGGGGGGCAAAAGGTGGATCGTGCCGGATTGTCGCTGTTGGAGGCGCAGCCTAGAAAAAACTCAACCCTCAGTGACCTCAGAATTTCCAGGCACGGCGAGGATTGCAGGCCGGTGACTCAAAGTCGGTGAATCAGCGCTAGCTGAGTTGTCATCTCGCCTATGTCATTTGCCGGTGCTGCTTCTTCCAAGGTCTCCATTTCCGTTGGCGCCAGGCACGATCGTTGCAGCTCCGGCTCAGGCTTTTCCCATGTGCAGTGCGGCATTTTCCAACGAGCCACGTGACCTGGAAGGATCGTTGGTTTGCTGCATGCGAGCAACCGAGGCCCTTTCTGTATCGGCCGTCGACGTTTACCACGAGGATGAGGTATTGCGTACTCTCTGCGAGCGGTGGACAGGCACGGAGCTCTCTGTTACCGCTGAGGATCAGAACATCCTCGATGCCTATAAAGGTAGAACTCAGTGGTCGGCGTGTCGGCGTCGTAAACAGTGGGTCTGTGTGGAAGCGGAATATGCGTGCTTTCCACTATCTCGAATTTCGTCTTCCGCATGTGCTCGAAGAAAACGGCGTCTGCCTCGTGCCGTCGCTTGAATCCCACCACAATGAGGGTGTTCGGTGCACAAGCAGCCAGTTGTCTCAGGACCTCTACCAGGTGCACACTGCTGTCCGGATTGTAAATGCAATCAGAAACCAATATGAGATCGAAATTGGGATTCGAGCTATCCTCAAGGCCTGAAGCCCAGTCCAAAACGTCTGCTTGAAGCGTAGACCCCGCCAGCAACGAAGCACATCGAATGTTCTTCGCTAACACTGCTTGAGCATCCTCCAAGTCGGTGAGGTACATGTCGCACTTGACAAGCTGTGCAAAAGAAATGCCGACGATGCCACATCCAGCGCCCAGTTCCAGCACTTGGAGCTTCCTTACCTTGCTGGACTTGACCAGAGCTGCTAATGTGGCTACACCACTTGGAGGCGAGGAAGACAGTGCTCGTGCGAGATACATCACAAATCCTAGGCTCGCATCCCTTTGGTCGTGCGTTAGTGGGATCAGGTTTGGAAATGGAGGAGAATTACCAGATGTGCCTCGCCATGCTCTCGCCGACGTCTTCCCAAATTCGCACCGTTGTGTTATTCCAGAGCAACAGACGTCGCTCAACAATGGGTTCTGATCGCTGCTTGTCAGACAGGAGAAAATCACAACTCCAAATGTCAAGAACCTCTGGGATCTCGGCCAGGTTGACGGCAGACTGAGTTTCCTGGGTAGCCACATGTAGGCGAACAGGCCACGACGTATACTTGCCGGGACATGGAATAGCGAACTTGAGTGCTCTTGATATAGCCTGCCACTGCAATGATTGCGAGTGAAGGACTCGCCAGGGGCTGTTGACCTCTACAATCTCTGCATTCAGGACAAGGTCCTGGCTGAGCAACGCGTCACTGAGGTCGGTCTGCACGGCCACCACTGCAGAAACATCGACTGTCTTCTTGCTTACATCGCACTGCGGCGTGCGCAGGAAGCGGATGTAATGCACCATGCCAGGAATAGGCCTCGATGGTGAGAAATGGCTCGCGGAAGAGATGAGGTAGAAGTGAAGGAGGAAAGCTACAACCACACTGATCAGCTGGACTTTGTTCTGCAGGAAAGTGAGGCGTGAGGGGGCGTTGACCGCCGCATCGGATAAACAGTATCGCCGAAATGCGGAGCACGTGGTGCACGTGGACTTCGGGGCACCGGTAGGATTAGTCCCGGCCCCAGCCTTCTGTCTCCCCCAGACTCCTGTGTCACTTGTCGCATTGAGCACTTTCGATGCTCACAGCGCTGTGACTTGAGAATGGCAATTAGGGCTCCACTGCGCAAACGTTCGGCGCGGTTGTCCAGGTTCATTGCTTCGCCTTACCTCCTCATGACCTGAACGGGTCACAGCCGCATTCTCAACATGAACAACCCTGAGTTTCGTCAGACTCTCCACAACATCTCTCACAACCTTGAGACTGCAAATCAGGCTGCTCAAGAGAACATCTACACGTTTACGCAATTATACGTCGACCCTTGTCTTGAAGGGATCAAATCGTGTGTCTATTCTTGCACCGCACCTTGCTTCCCGAACCGAGAAGCCAGCCACCGGCGGAGGAGAGGTCGGTCGCGTGGAAGAGCCGAGTACAACTTTGACTTCTATAATGCCTGGGATGACGAAGAAGCGCTCGGTGATGGCGTCTTAGGTTGGGGCCATGATGAGCTGGACGGTCTACTGGCCGGTCATGGGTCGCAGTCGCGGCAGCCAAGGAAACAACGGGCAATGAGCTACGGCTCAAGAGGAAGACGAAAACCGTCTGGAATCCAGCCAGAATCAGAGCAGGATCCCACCATTATACCAAGCTCGTCATACCTGGGGTTCCTTGAACGGCTGCCATGGAGAATTGGCGCCAGGAAATTGCGCTACAAGCCTTCAGCTGCGGATTTACAAGAAAATCCCGGCGGCACTCGAGTGCGAGATGCGGAGAGCGAACCACTTATAGAAGAGCCGGAAGAAAACCATGACACATGGAGAAAGGGCCATGGTCGTCAGCGGAGCGATACTACCGCTTCGAGGTCGACAACCAATTCCCTGAGCTCTAGAGGGGACTTGATCATGAGCGATGAGGAAGAGTATGAAGACGCGCAGCCGCTTGATGACTCTTTTGCTGTTCTGCTCAGCCGGCGAAACACCAACCAAGGCTCGGCGGAAGATCAGAGCAATGGTAAGCCGAGGACGCCAAGCGGCCAGCGTCCAGGAGTGTCTCGCAACTCCACCCGAACAGTTTCTTCCAGGTCCAAAAGAAGCCCAAGCGGCAAGGTTAGCCAAAGGTCGGCCTCGTCGAAGAGTCTGGCACCTATGTCTTCGGACGTCGTCGAAGAGCATCCTGAGCCACCAACATTAGTCGACCTCAGACGTGAAGAAGAACGAATTGCGCACGAGGAAGAGCTTGAGATAGAGCAGAAACGTGAAGCCGCTCAACGGCTGGCCTTGCAGCGAGGGTTAAGCTCGCGCGATGCCAAAGACCTGACAAGCACGGAAGTCAAGCCTGAGAACGTCGAAGATACGGGAGTGGACACTGCTATAACGGTCGATGTGTCGGAACGAGATCCTGCGTCACCATCCCATTCACCATCCACAGACTTGCGAAACACGGAACCAGAGTTAGCACCGTCGAGTACGGATGGCGACGATGACGGCAAGGATCCCACCTGAGCGACAAGGATTGGGCACTGATGACATTCTGATGATATTGACGATCTTACACCCGCGGATAACAGCAATGCCATAGTAATGGAGGCGCTGGATTTACGATCATGACGGCCGCTGTATATCCTCCATTGAGCGCAGCGCTCGCAGCGCTGGTGAAGGCACAGGTCTTTCGGCCAGCCTGTAGCTGGATCCCTGCGCTTGTTGCATCATGACGGATCTGATGATAGTAAAGAAGAGGTGACTTCGAAGTCTTCTTGTATAGCACCTAATAATAGCAATCTTTGACCTGCAACCAGCTGCACCTCTACTCCGTGCACGGTATGATGTACGTGGACATTTCTGCGTATTGATCCAGGAACAACTGCGCCTCTACAACATTTCATTGATGTCCTCCGCACCGCCCCTTATCTGTGGAGTCTGGCGCTGCCATCGCAGCCTTATCTGGTGGCTGAGGGTCGAGACCGTCTCGATTGGATGAGAGGCGGCGAGCCCTGCATTGCCTCATCCTCGACAGCGTACATTTCTCTCTCCATACTCACAACTCAACTCCGGAAGGTCCCACGCTATACCCTGCCCCTTCAACGCGCCTCACCTTGCGATGATTCTTTCCGGACGGCTCTCGACTCTCCTCGTTCCTCGCCCGCGGTCATGAACAAGAACTTGGCGGCGCATTGCCTAACAGCATCCGATTCGTCACCTTACCCAACAGTCAGGTCCCCGCGCATCTTCTAAGCTGCCGAATGGTGAGAAGAGACAAGATGGAGGACAAGAAAACATGGAGTCCTGAGTCCTCCTCGAATCCCTCTGCCTACGAGAGCGACATGCACAATGTGCACCGCACCTTCGCACGGCGCCTGGCGGAGTCCTTCAAACGAGATCCCCATGCGAGTGTCACCCGATCGGCCTCGTTCAGCGCATCCGACGGAAAAGGATACGACGCTGAAGCTGCCGCTCAGGCGACCGCGCTGTCACCTTTGTTGAGGAGGCTGAAAGGGCGACACTTGCAGATGATTGCCATTGGTGGAAGTATCGGTACAGGACTCTTCGTCGGCAGTGGGAAGGCACTGGCTTATGGCGGACCGGCGTCGTTGTTGCTGGCGTTTTCTTTGACCGGCTGTATGATGTACTGCACGGTCCAGGCGCTGGGAGAGCTGTAAGACTTCGACCCGACAATGCCATTGTCTCTGCTGACTCTCCACGCCAGCGCCGTCTTGTTCCCGGTCGCCGGTTCGTTCGCGTCGTACTCGACAAGATTTCTGGTAGGCCAGACGCCTCGCCATGCTGCGCCTGAGGTCTGACACTGCTACCAGGACCCGGCTTGGGGCTTCGCGATGGGCTGGAACTACGCATTAAACTGGCTGACGGTCTTACCCTTGGAGATCGTCAGCGCCTCGATCACGGTCGACTACTGGGTATGAGTCATGCCGGGCGGCTCGCGATACTTGATTAATGGAGAAGCACAGGTCCAAAACGTTTCACTGAACGCCGCCTGGGTGTCCATCTTTCTGGTCCTCATTGTCCTGATCAATTTCTTCGGGGTCAAAGGGTACGGCGAGGCCGAGTTCATTTTCAGCGTTATCAAAGTGACGGCTGTTATTGGGTATATGTAAGTGGCTGTTCTGTATATCTTATCGATGCGTGTCGACTGCGGTGCTTATCCATCTGCAGTCTACTGGGAGTCCTCATCAACATCATGGGCGGCGTGGACTCCGCTGGAAGGCCAAATGCCAGCTACCTAGGGTTTCGACTGTGGCATCACCCCGGAGCATTCCACAACGGGTTCAAAGGTCTCTGCAGCACGTTTGTGACAGCGGCGTTTGCATTTGCAGGGACCGAACTCGTCGGCCTCGCCGCGGCGGAAACAGAGAATCCCCGAAAGGCCCTACCCACCGCCATCAAACAGGTAAGCGCATACGAGAGGGCTCGAACCGATTTGTCTCACTGAAGTTGATAGGTTTTCTGGCGAATCACTCTCTTCTACGTAGTCAGCCTCCTTTTGGTCGGCACCCTCGTGCCCTACGACGACCCGCGCCTCCTGAATGGCAGAAACTCGGCCGACGCCAAAGCATCCCCCTTCGTCATCAGCATTCAAAACGCCGGCATCGAGGTTCTTCCCTCGGTCATGAACTGCGTCATCATGATCAGTGTCCTCAGCGTGGGCAATTCAGCCATCTACGGCAGCTCACGAACCCTGGCGGCGCTCGCAGAACAGTGCCAGGCGCCTGCCTTTCTCGCGTATATTGATCGGAAAGGCCGGCCGCTCTACGCAATCATCGTCGCGTCCGTGCTGGGACTACTAGGGTACCTAGCAGCCACACAGAAACAACAAGACGCATTCAATTGGATGCTCGCCCTCTCCGGCCTATCCAGCATACTCACCTGGGCCAGCATCTGCCTGGCGCACATCCGCTTCCGCCACGCCTGGGCCATCCAAGGCCATTCTCTCGACGAACTGGCGTTTCGCAGCCCCGTCGGCACGATCGGCTCTTGGGTCGGCTTTCTATTCAACATGCTCGTGCTGATCGGGCAATTCTGGACCGGGTTCGCCCCTGTCGGCTGGCAGAACATGTCTGTGTCGGATCGGATCTCGAATTTCTTCCAGGCGTACCTTGCAGCCCCAATCGTCGTGCTCATGTACCTGGGATATAAGACATATATGAAGACGCATATCTTGCGGGCCAGGGATATGGACCTGTTTACCGGAAAGAGGGAGTTCAACGTCCGCGTGCTGGTGGCGGAGGAAAAGGCCGATCGCAAGCGGTGGCCGCGGTGGAAGAAGCTGTACAAGTTCTTGTGCTAGTGCCTGTATGAGTGCGGCGACTTGGATGGATTTTGCAAGCAAACAAGCAAGCAAGCAAGTAAGCCGGCCTGGGTTTTGACACAAACCATCGTCATCTGATTCTTCTTGGTTCTTTCAATTTTTCTTTCATATGGGACCGTGCTCCCCTCGTTTCCATCTCCATCGATCCGTCGCGCCGAGCACCTCAGCCTCACAGCCCTGGAAGACCCAGGCGTATTTTCGCCAGAACCCCTCGGACACCTCCCAGCCAGACATCCCACGGCGTGTCCCATACTATGCCTCCACCGTACTTTGCCGCGCCTAGGTCAGTAAACCCGTGGAAGAGCCCTCCAACCGTGTCAGTCCAGAGGGCGTCTTCGTCAAAGCTGCTTGTCTCGGCCTCGCTGCTTGACACTGGGTCGGATGCTGACGTAGGCGATGTCGTGAGCGATGACGATGACGGTGACGACGGTGTCGAACCCGACGCCTTCAACGTCGTGAGCACGATCAAATTATCGCGCAGTGTCGGGTGAGGAAGGATATCGATTCACCCGGCATGCCGGACGGTCGTCTGCAACCGCGTGGGATGTAATGACGGCGGGAGCAATCGATATAAATCCAAGACATCAATCTCGGGGAGGTGAGCCACGGTTGTGGGGGACCATTCTTCACTCTCTGCGTGCGGATGCGAGTGTGCCAGCAAGCGCAAGATATAGTCCCGATTGACCAGACAGGCGCGAAGGACGTTATATTCCAGAAGCACGATCAAATAGTCCGGACAGAGCGGGACGGCGACGGTATCGAGACTGACGGGCCTCGTCTTAGTATACGTCAGTAGTGGATTACGAACGTCTCTCAGCCGGCTTGGGATCTTGGACGTCGGCACCCAAATGACCGACTGGGCTGGCTCGGACCAGCATGGGAGAAGGAGCAGGAGGAGGGCCTCGGGCTCTTTGTCCTTGGTATGTGCGGTGCGTGTGCGTGTACGGGGCTGGCCAGGAGGAGACCGTGCCTTGAGAGACCGTGCTTGAGACCGCGTTTGCTCGTGTGCTCTGCGCCGTCGAAACGCCCGTGAGTTCAGTCTGTTCTGCCGTTTTCTTCGTTCCGTGGCTGAAGTGACGCCTGTCCAGTCGTCATGCGTGTTTGCGGCATCGGCGAGCTGTCGCATGGGTTGGATTGGGATCATGTTCTCCGTTGCAGGACCCGGCCATTGATGGCACATAGTGGTGGCTCCTCGGTACGTCTGGAGCATGAGGTAAGTAATTACAGTAGATCGCGAATGGTGCGTCAAAATGGACTTTGACCATGTACTCTGCTTACCTTGCTGCTTCTTCAGGTCTTGCGTCGAAGGCTGTAGCCTGGCCCTGTCTGGCTACCTATCACCACGTCAGGTTGGAGATACGGCCGAGACGTGAAAGCACATTGGAGGGTATGCTTCTTGGTTCGGAGGAGGAGAGCAAGCGATAGGCTGGATGTGATATCTTCTGCCCCTAGGTTCGTAGTTGATTGGCTTTATGCAGCTGGCTTGCCAGACGGTACGCCTAAGTAGATTCGCTTTCAATCACAACCTTGGCCGCCAGGCATTCACTATTCGTACTCTGTAGGCAGCGACTTTGAGAAGACACCGTGAGAGAGCGTAGCTGAATTGGATTATCGCGGCGGAGGTCTCGCAAAAGAAATAATTACTACCGTAGATCCTTCGTGCTAACCTTCTACTCATCAACCTACAGTGTAGACACAATTTGGCTGATGTTCTAATCCACCAATCCCCCGTACCCTTGAGCCATGACATTCCACCCTGATTCCCTCCCAGACCTCGCGGGCAAGGTGTTCATCGTGACGGGCGCAACCTCCGGCATCGGATACCACACGGCTGCACGCCTCGCGGAACATGGCGCCCACGTGTACATGTGCGCACGCTCTTCAGCCAAAGGATCCGCCGCGAGTGATCGCATCAAGTTGACGTATCCCCACGCCCGCTTGTCGCTGCTGGAAATGGATCACACGTCGCTCTCAACTGTCGTCGCTGCGGCGAAGCACTTTATCTCCCAGGAAACGACGCTCCACGGCCTGATAAACAACGCCGGTATAATGGCAACACCGTTCGAAACAACGCAGGACGGGTACGAGATACAATGGCAGACCAATTATCTGGCGCATTGGGTCTTGACTCGCCACCTCACCCCTCTGCTGCTCAAGACCGCCCAGACCCTTCCGCCGGGAAGCGTGAGGATCGTAAACTTGTCCTCGGGGGGCCACTATTCCGCCCCGAGAGGCGGTATCAACTTTGCAGACTCGTCTCTGAAGGACGCCAGTCCCATTGCTCGGTACGGGCAGTCCAAGCTCGCGAATATCCTCCACGTCAAGACGCTGAATAGACTGTATGGCCCGGAAGGCTCTGGCGCCAAAATCGGAGCCACAGACACTGGCGGAGACGCACAGATCTGGACGGCGGCCGTTCATCCTGGATTGGTGGATACCAACATTGCAGAACACGCTTCGCTGCCCATTCTATTGAAGGTGGTGATTGCGCCGTACAAGGCCATAGGGGGCATGCTTGACGGGGACAAGGGGTCGTGGACGAGCGTTTTCTGTGCGGCGAGCCCGCTGATGAAGCAGGAGCATAGCGGTGCTTACTTTCAGAGAGTCGCAGACCCGAAGGGCTGGCAGAGCGCCATGGCGAAGAACGCGGAGCTTGCTGCGAGGTTGGAAGAGTGGACGGCGCGGGAGATGAAGAAAGGCGGGTGGATTGACTAGTGTCCACTGGATAGCATTCGAGATATCACTTGAGAGGTTTCATAGCCATCGTTACTTTGATATCGCACGAGGTCGCGTATGGAGATCTCAAAGGAAGTTGACGCTCGCCAAAGTTCAAATCCAACTGTCCCGGCGTCTGGAAGCTTCGGGCCTCTATTGAAGAGACTCACTCAGTGACGTCAATCCATTGGAGTTCTAGTTACGAGCTCGTATCGCGTATTGATCCAAAATGCGGTTGACTCAACTTCAACTCCAAGAGTCCACCAGTCCGTCCGTTCAGCAATCATCAGTCCGCTTTCGTTGTCCGTGGTTTTTCTGAATGTTGCCTTGAATTTAGATGATCTTCCCTGCGGCCTTCATACAGTACTGGTCCGAGACGCAACTCAGGCTTGTTGTTACCGCCTGATCGGCTGGACACTCCGTTGAGCCATCTCTCACGTCTGACTGACTAGCCACTTGAGACCTCGTTCATCATGGCGCCGATTCCGGTCACCATCATCACCGGATTTCTCGGAGCCGGCAAGACTACCTTGATCTTGAACCTCATCCCGCAGTTGCCGAAGAATTACAAGCTTGCTTTGCTGAAGAACGAGTTCGGCGATGTCGCGGTGGATTCGCAGCTGGCCGGTTCGGCATCCATCTCAGGGGTTCGCGAGTTGTTGAACGGCTGCATATGCTGTAACCTTGTCGGCCAACTCAGTGACGCTCTGTTCCAGCTCAAGGATTCCGTCGATCCCAGCAGGATAATCATCGAAACGTCAGGCTCGGCTTTCCCAGCGACACTGGCGATGGAAGTCAACCGAGTGTCGAGGGAGAACCCAGGCTCATTCACCCTCGACGGCGTCATCAGCGTGATTGACGTCGAGAACTGGAAGGGTTACGACGACACAAGCTACACGGCCAAGATGCAAGCCAAATTTACCGATCTGATCGTGTTCAACAAGTGGGAGCTTGTTGATGAGAGGAAGTTCGAAGACGCATTGGACCGCGTCGGCGACCTGGACGTACAAGTCGCGTGGGTCAAGAGTCAGAGAGGCTGGGTGGACGTTGAGATCGTCATGGGTATCGATGGAGCAATGGTCAGAGACGAAGGGTTGCGCGAAGCGATCGAGTTCAACGAAGAGAATACTCACGATCACACTGACGGACACGGACACGATTACGGAGACACACACGCACACACCAACCATCAGGACGAAGTAGAGGTCCTAAGTGTGGTGTTGACAAACGAAGATCCGTCGAAACCGGCCCAGGGCGTTGTCCTGGAATCCTTTGAAGATCTGCTCCTTTCCGCACCCAAGGACGAAGTCTACCGCATAAAAGGGCTTGTCCTGTCCTCCAGACCGCCTCCGGACTCAACGGGCGACAGAAAACCCAGCATTGCAGTCGACTCGGAAGGCCAAAGTCTCTATGTCCTGAACTGGGCCTTTGGACGATGGACATACACGCCACTCCCGAGCAGGGCGTTCAAGGCGATGGAGAATGCGAGTGCGCGGTTGACTTTCATCCTCGCCAGAGGAGAAGCTAGTAGATGGATCCGGCGCCTCGAGAAGGGAGACTTTATTGCTCTCGAGGGCCAAGATGGTAAAGAGGAAAAGGGGTCCTTGAAGATTGAGAAAATCGGGTGACGAGTGATGGGGCAAAACGCAAAGATCACGTCCGAAGCAGGTCTTGGACGATTTAGAACTGGTTGGGTTCTAGCGGGTGCAGTGAAACCGACGAGTAGATGGTCGATGCAGCACCCCCAGTGTTGGGGTCACCGATGCTATCACACGGGGGCCACATGGGGGCCTTGGACATGGAATGGAGGGACATGCAGGGTGGCACCGAGGACTATTTGACGGACTGGAGAGATGCTGTTGTTGCACAGTTGCATTGGCAAGACGAAAAGAATCCAGCAAGGCGTTTCCCTCGATCGCTGGAACTGACCCCAACGCCAGCAGGTCTCCGTCTCATTCCATCCATCGATAGATGCGGATCTTGCACCGCACCGTTACCATCACAATAGCGCACGAACCTCACCTTTGCCATCCAGCTCCATGAACCTCACAACCTGTCCGAGATGGTCGAATCCCCAGAAACCCTCGACCTCCCCCTTGGCATTCTCACACTGAAACCACGGCAGACCAAACGCGCCGTCCTTGAAGGACGCATCCGTATTCTGCACGAGCTGCTTCTTGACCTCCGGGCTCCCCAGCCTCTCGACATGTCGCTTGACCACTTCCTCGCCCAATGCCGGCGTCAGCACCGTGGCGAACACCTTCGGGTCTGAAATATCGCCCGCGTCTCCCTTCGTCCAGAGCGTCTCCCAGAGCGTGTCCACCGCTTTGAGAAACACATCCTGGGTGCCTGGCTTCTGGTGACCGTCCAGCCACAAACTGGTCAGGAATCGCTGGACTTGGATCGTCGGCTTCGGAAACCCGTTGGGCTGTGTGTCGGACATGGGGATGTGGAACTGGCGCGCCCAGCGGAGCCGTTCGCGCTCAATCCATTTGTCTTTGTTCCGGATTTCGATGGGCGCGATGTTGCCACAGGTTTTGTGCAGCCCGCCCAGCAGGATGGGCGTGTAAGTTACTTCGATGGACTTGAAGATCGGGGAGTGCTACGTCGAGTCAGTGACGTTGATGTCATGGACACACTGATGATGACTGTCGAGCAGGAACAGAGGTATGAGACTGTGGGATTTGAATGGACTGGTTTCAGAGGCAACGTCGAGGCTCGCACCAGACCACAGGATAAAATCAAAGATGTTCTCCAACACTAGGCAAACATGACATAATATGTCGGCGAGAGGGCGAAGCTGAGCAGAACAGAGGACCTACCCGTAGGAAGTAATATCCCATGTAGCAGAAGGGACTGACAATGTCGATATAAAAGGTGATTTTCCCAGGCATTTTGACCAAGCCGGAGATATAGATGACCTGCTCGTTGCAGATACCCGATCCCTCTCAGCGAGATGGAGGCTCCTCCTACCGTGGTGGATGTCGCGTCTGGCGGCCGCCGTGAAGGGATGCTGAATAGGTATGATCTCTACAATGTCCCGGCGTGAACCTGCCCTGACTTGTGCCGACCACAGTACATTAGGATCGCAGAGACAATTGAGGTTTCACACGGGAGAGACACACCGACTGACCGCAAGCGGAGCAAGAAATCTGGGGTATACGGTATGACGGGCGACGGGAGCCGGGGAAGCTGTGATGAAGCCGAGGTTCGTTCGTCGTCGCCGCCCGCCGAAGTCGTATTTCGCAGACTTGTCCGAATCTCGGGCGTTGAACCTGCGCGCGCATTCTGGGGTACATGGCTTCACTAGGTAAATTACCCCTACAAAGTAGATGTATGTATGTCCTGACTGCGTGAGTCTCTGCGCAACCTTCGAGATCGAATGCTCAGGCCTCAGCGCAACCTCAGCTTCCACTCCCTGCGCTTGGCCCTTTCCTCGAGATTTGTCCTTTACGCCAACGACATTTCGGCGCCTGCTCATGCTTACGATGACTTCTCATATGGTGCACATATCGCCTTCGTCCTAGATGGCACATGTTCGCACGGAAATGTGGAGGGTGTAAGCGAGCTGTCGGGATTATTGTCGCAGCCACGGATATGGAAAAAATACCACAACTTCGGTGCTAGACCATGAGAGTGGCTTGTGCAGGAAACAAAGTGTCCGTCCTAGGCAGGCAGGGGCGCATCTTTCGGCTGTATGCTGCTGTACGTAGTCGGTGTCAACATGGGCAGCGAATCGCCCTAGATTGCCTGCTTCGTCTACTGCCCGTGCTATCATGATTACTCCTGTTGAGGCAATCATGCGACGTTCCTCTACTCCTTATCTCTGCACGATATCTGCTTGTTGCCGACGAGAACCTGGAGGATCTTCGAACCGCCTCCACGGAAGGGAGATAGATCCCATCCCCGCAAAAGCTAGGGACTCGATAAGGCAAATCGGCAAAGCGTCTTGCTTGGACAGGCGGGTTGGGATATGATGCCGAAGCAGGCAAAAATGATGGCATTACTTTTCCTGTTTTGTTTGCAGGCTCTCACGCGGAAGACTGCTATCTGAACTTGTACTCGTATCTGACATGTACGGGGATGGCGTCCTATCAGCCATTCCTGATTAGCGGACTTGTCGTGTGGACTTTCCATGCCTAGACTTCCGGTTTCCAGTGACCTAAGAGCCTGTGTCCATGTGAGGTGCCATCGAAGCGCCATCGAAGCCTCGGCGTTGTGCTTCGCCGGCGCATCGTGGACCATACGAGATACTGTCTGCGTACTGTGTATGCGTTGAAGCATGCTGGCGTTGTACTCGCTTGCAATCGTACTCGTACCGTCCCCATTTAGGCCCTGCTGCAGGCTGAGATCCCACTTTGTGATCACCCAGATCCGGCTATTATTTCCCCTGCGTGCCCTGGCCACGATCAGCAGCGGTGCCCCAGCTCCCCTAGGGCTACCTAGGGCGACACCTGGATCGGAGCGAGCTGCATGAGCGCAGGCGGGTGACAGGCCAATCGTCAACAGGTTAAGCTTGATTTCGGATCGTGGCACAGGGAAGGACTCTGTCAATGTTCGTTGACGCGTTCACAGGGTCCTCCAAGCCCCTCCGGCATTGAAAATTTGGATCGCAGGGACGCCGCCAAGCGCCACACCCGACCGCCAAGGATCGTGGTCCTGAAGCCATTGCCGCGCCAGTGCGCCAGGGAACCCAAGAACCTCCACCGCTCACGTGTGAGCAATGAGGTTGACTAAGATTTGAGTCTGAGCCGCTCGGTGTGCCGGATATGGCCCCGCCCTCTGGCGCCGCTGACCGTAACCTCAGCAGCCGCGCACCAGAAGCGAAGCCCGGCTGGGGGAGGCTCTATGGGGTGAAAGTGGGCGAGTGGGGTGAAGCCGGTCAGGGACGGTGGGAAGGGGATTACTCGTACGTACACACACGGCTGTAGCGAAGAAGAAAGTTTCGCTATCATGGGCTCGAGGAGGAACAAAGTCATCCAGGTTCGCACGCGACATCCCGGTCGACGAAGCCAGTAACAGATTGTCGCCTCGCCATGCCGATCTTGTAGTTTGGTGCCCCGCCCTGACGTTGCGGGCGCAATCTTTGCAACTGGCAGCGGGTCTTCTGAGCGCGTCCTGTCCTCATCGTGACTTCTTCTTCTTCTCCCCTGCTGGATTGTGTCAAGCCAGAGTCACTCATTCCAGCACCCGACAAACGACAAACCATGGATTCGTATCCCGGCAGCAAAGAGAAGAACGGCGGCGTCTCGCAGCGGCCTGGCTCCCACGACGTCCAGGAAGGCCTCATCAGCGACAATGCCGACCACCTGCAACGCCATCTCAACAATCGCCAGATCCAGCTGATCGCCATCGGAGGCTCGATTGGCACCGCATTGTTCGTGAGCATCGGGACCGGCCTGTACAATGGCGGCGCGGGCAACCTGTTCCTGGCCTATGCCATTCAAAGCATGGTCCTGGCCATGGTCAACAACTCGGTGGCAGAGATGAGCACGGCCTACCCGGTCAGCGGCGGCTTCATTCGTCTCGCGGGCAAATGGGTCGACGACGCACTCGGCTTCATGTGCGGTTGGAACTTCTTGTCAGTCTCCGTCGCCATACATGTCTAAACGTACTGACGCTTGTGGCCTCTCGTCCAGCTTCTACGAAGCTCTCCTCATTCCCTTTGAGATCTCAGCTTTCACATTAGTGCTGTCCTTTTGGAGCGACAGGGTCACCGAGCCCGGTCCCATCGCCGGCGTCTGCGCCGGTGTCATCTTAGCCTACGCGTAAGTCATGCGGGCGTCCAGGCACTCGGAGATACACCCCTCCCACTAACGCTGGATTGTCGCGTAGCGCCATCAATATACTTGCTGTCAGAGCGTACGGTGAGGCTGAATTCTGGCTTTCGGGCGGCAAGGTCGTCCTGATCTTCTCCCTGTTCTTCTTCACCTTCATCACCATGGTGGGCGGCAATCCCGAACACGATGCCTACGGGTTCCGGTATTGGACCGACGGACAGGCATTCCGCGAGAAAATCGACACGGGAGATCTCGGTCGGCTGCAAGGGTTCTTGGCCGCCCTCTCGTCCGCCCTCTTCACGGTCGTGGGGCCCGAGTACATCTCGATTGTGGCCGCCGAAGCCGTGCGCCCACGCATCTACATCAAGGCCGCGTTCAAGATGGTCTACCTCCGGTTCGGCATCTTTTTCATCGGCGGAGCCCTGGCCGTGGGCATTGTATGCAGTTCCCGGGACCCGGCCCTAGAGAATGTCGTCCTGGGTGGCAGCAACGGCTCCGCGGGCGCTTCGCCATATGTGATTGCGATGGAGAATCTCGGCATCTCCGTCTTCCCGCACATTGTAAACGCGTAAGTAGTCAAACCCAAGCAAGCAAGAGATGCGGGGGTTTTGGTCCTTGGATTGTCCCATGCTTTTCAGCAGGCACTGACACAAGCGCAACCAGGCTCATGCTGACGTCGATCTTCTCGGCGGGCAATACCTACACGTACGCGGCCGTGCGCACGTTGTACGGCCTGGCACTGGAAGGCCGCGCTCCCCGGTTCCTCACGTACTGCAACCGCTCGGGCGTACCGGTGTACAGCTTCTGCGTTGTCATGATCTTCCCTCTGCTTTCGTTCTTGCAGTGCTCGAGCAGCTCGTCCATCGTCATCACCTGGTTTGTGAATCTCGTGACTGCGGGAGGTACGTTTTGCCCATATATCACCCATAGCAGCACGGATGGGGAACCTCAGGGCTGACTTGACCACACGCGCTATACAGGTCTGATCGACTACATCGTCATGTGCATCACGTACATTTTCTTCCATCGGGCTTGCAAGGCGCAAGGGCTGGACCGCCGGACGTTGCCTTACTACGGGTATTTCCAGCCGTTCTGCGCCTGGTTCGCGCTCATCTGGCTGTTCGTCGTCACCTGCATCTACGGCTACACCGTCTACCTGCCCTGGGACGTGTCCAACTTCTTCTCCAGCTACAGCATGCAACTCTTCATCCCGCCACTCTACATCATCTGGAAGCTGGTCAAGCGGACCAAGGTCGTCCGGCCGCTCGAAGCCGATCTTGTGTGGGAGAAGCCCACCATCGACGCGTACGAAGAGACATTCCTGGACCCCCCTGTGGGTTTCTGGACCGAGATGATGCAGCTTGTCGGATTCCGCCGGGTCAAGGGTGGAAATGACAAGCGGCGGCCCAGCATTGCTGTGCCCGTCGAACAAGCCGACGCTGAAAAGTGACGTGCCACAAACGGGGAGAGCCTATACATAGAATGCAGTAAACCGTGTATTACCTCTTGCACTTTGCCGAAGGTGTGAGGGTCCACTATGTACCTGTGGGAAAAGGCAGGCTCCAGGTTTCACAAACCACGGAGCCGACAATTAGCGCAAAGCCTGGGATGGAGGAGAGCCATCGAGTCGATCACCAGTAATGACAAACAAGTGGAAGACGTGCTTGTCTCCACACTGATACTTGTGTACTTGTGACTATCGTACGGTATTCCTGAAGATGGTGACGCGGTCCAGCTGAGGCGACCAGCAATCCGTATGCATGCAGAGGTTACGCAGTAGAGTCGGGATCGGAGGCCGAAGACACGGCGAGACGGCGCGACGATCCAAGTATGAGTAACAAGCTTCGCGAATACGAAGAAGCCAGCCTTGAAGGGAAGGCACAAGACGCCACGCTCCTTTTGGAATTATCAGGACACAGCCATTGACAGCGTGGTTGATTTCGCGGTGCCTCGGAAATTTCAGGCCTCCAGATCAATTAACCTGGGCGGAGGAGAGCTGCAGATCCTGTGGAATCGACTGTACGGAGCGCTGTGTATGGGAATGATGAGGACGGCCGCTGTGTAAGCTCTAAGAACCCCCAGTTGTGCCTTTATTCGTGGTACTGACGTTAAAAGTTGTGGTAGTACGTCTTAACGTACTCTTTCCCCATCAGATGTATCTGGACGGACCCTAGACAGCAGGACGGTTCGTAGGAGAGGATGCTTGATTACTCCATTGCTCGTCTGCAAGGCGCCGAGCGCCGACTCCCAAGTGAGTGAGTGAGTGAGTGAGGGAATCATTGAGTGAGTGATGGGTGATCAGCGTCGCAGGGTAAATGCACGTAAGATCCGTACGTCTTTGAAATGGCAGCCAAGAAACATGGTCATTCCCATTGACCCAGTGGTGCCAGATCCCCACAGATCTATTGGTCGGACGTATGCTGACTCGTCTTAATACGTCAATACATGTAATGACGAGCTCGGTCCGACTGCCGGGCCACGCGGCTAATCGCTGCCGTTTCACGCCTCGTGCGCTCTGCTTTTTGGACCCCAACGACACGGAGCATCCAGTCCAGAGTCCAATCTAACTAGGGGAACCACGGAACCCATCTCAGACCGCTCTTCCGCGCGAGAGGGGCTTACTCTCCTTCTCATACGAAATGTCGATCGAGGTATCGGGTTAGGGCAGCACCATCCATCACAGCCACCGTTGTGGTCAACAGTGACACGGCAAGGCGAAGGTAAAGAAAAGACTATCTCCAACATGGTCGTGCCGCAGGAAAACACATCCGTCCTGCCGACGACATGGCTCGGACTCATCGGCTACCTCGTCATCTTCAAGCTCGCCTACGACGTCGCCCTGGCGATATACCGGATCACGCTGCACCCGCTGGCTCATTTCCCCGGCAGCAAGCTCGCGGCCGCGACGTACTGGCACGAGACGTACTACGACGTCTTCCGCGGGCATCAGTACGTGTGGAAGATCCAAGAGATGCACCGGCAGTACGGCCCCGTGATCCGCACGAACCCGGACGACGTGCACATCCACGACCCGGACTTCTTCGACCAGCTGTACGGGCTGAAGATGGACAAGTGGGCGTGGTGGACGCGCGGGTTCGCCGTGCCCAAGGCCGGCGGCATGACGGTCGAGCATGAGGTGCACCGCAAGCGGCGGGGCGCGCTGAACCCCTTCTTCAGCAAGGCCAGCATCGTGGCCAACATGCCCGTCATCCAGGAGAAACTGGCCGTCATGTGCGACCGGCTGGACGCCATCAAGGGGAGCCGACAGGTTCTGGACCTCGAGGCCGTGTACCTGGCCTTGACCACCGACGTGCTCACGCAGTGCTCCTACGGCTGGACGTACGACTACATCCACCACCCGGAGTGGGCCATGACGTGGAAGCTGGTCAACACCGGGGGCCGCGCCTCGGCCGCCATCGTGCGCTCCTTCCCGCTGATCGGGGCCGTCGTGCGCTCGATGCCCCTCGCCGTGGCCATCAAGCTCGTCCCGCCCGTCGGGTTCATGAAGTCGTGGATGCAGCGCGTTGGGGTGCAGGTCCAGAAGATCAAATCCGACCGCGAAACAATGCGGCAGATCCAGGTCGAGAAGCGGCGCAAGGACACCATCTTCGCACAGATCCTCTCCAGCGACCTACCGGACGAGGAGCTGAGCGACGAGCGCCTGATCGACGAGGGCGTCTTGATCGCGACCGCCGGCTCCGAGACCACCGCCTGGGCCATCACCATCACGACGTACCACGTCATGAGGAACCCGGACGTGCTCGCCAGGCTGCGCGCCGAGCTGAGGACGGTCGACATCCCGCAGGGCGATGCCGTCGCGCCGTGGACCGCGTTGGAACGGCTCCCCTACTTGACGGCCGTGATCAAGGAAGGCGTGCGCATGGCCGGCGGCATGCTCTCGCGCCTGCCCCGCATCTACGACAAGCCGATCCAGTACAAGCAGTGGACCATCCCGGCGGGGACGCCCGTCGCCATGACGCCGCATCTGATCCTCATCGACGAGAACATCTTCCCGGAGCCACGCCGGTTCAATCCCGACCGATGGGTCGATGAGGATGCCACCGGACCGGACCGGACCACCAGTCGTCTGGACAAGTACATCGTGGCGTTCGGTAAAGGGTCAAGGAACTGCATCGGCATGCATCTGGCCTACGCGCAATTATACATGAGCGTGGCCGCCGTGGTGGCGAGATATAATCTGGAGATGTACGAGACCGACGACAGCGACGCCACGCCGACGAGGGACCTGTTCACCGCGGGTGTGAAGCTAGATAGCAAGGGCATCAGGGTGATTGTGCACGACAAGGATGAGAATGCAGGGTGAAAAGGAGATGCCAGTGCCATGTACATAGCACGATGGCTGGCCGATGATGGTACTTGGGAGCGAGCATCAACCTGAACCTCACTCTCACTCTCAAAGTCAGCCTCACTGCCATATTAGAACTCAGAATCATAAGTTCGTTTCACTTTCCACCCCCTCCAACTGGCGTGCCCTAAACTCCCAAAATTTCCGCCTGATGGGATCCCACTTCCTGGCCAAGGCGTCAAGACACTCCCTACTCCGGTGTACATCACCTTCCATGCGATAAATGTCGGCCAACCAATCAATCGCATGACTACTCCTCACACTGCTCCCCGGCGTGTCACTACTACTCATGAGATCCGCCCCCTTGCCACCCACGAACCCTTCGCAAAACACCCGCATCTCCGTCAGAGGAATGCCCGCCCGGGTGAGCACGCCGCGCAGATAATTCCAGGCCGACGCGTTCTGCGGCGCCCACGCGATGTGGTCCTTGGCATAATTGACCTCGCGGTCCACCACGTCGAGATCGACGACCAAGGTACCACTGGCGAGGACTTCCTTGCGGATCCCCCCGCGCCCACCGCCGCCGCCGCCGCCAGAGGCCTCGACCTCGATGGCGCGCAGTTCGTCGACGCCAAAGACGACAAAATACCGATGATTCCACGCCGAGTTGTTGCGCACGTCGTCCTGGATGAGCGCGTCGACGGCGCGCAGCTCCACGTCCGTGTTGAGCAGCGGGTCCGGGAACCGCCGACACAGCCACTGCCGGTACGTCCAGACGTGGTAGTTCTTGGCGTCGAACGAGAGGATGTGTGCGAGGAACGCCGGTTCCGTGGGCGGCAGAGTCCCGAGCAGCGACATGAGCGTTTGCCGATGATGCCTGGGGAGGTGTCACATAGGTCGTTAGTGAGATCCGCACCGCAACGAGGAGCCATGTGTGGTTAGTGGGATCTGATCCATGGCAGTGTGATCCACGTGCAGTGTGAAAAGCAAGAGAGCGAACCGTGTCTCACCAGATCTGATAATTCTTCAGATTCCGCTCACTGATCCCCTCCAGCCAGTCCAACTCCGTCGTGACCCCATCCTCCACGGTCGTGCCGTCTGTCTGCCACAGCGTCTTCAGGATCTTGGCCCGGTAAAGCCAGACGGTATAGTGCGCCGGGTTCATCCCGATGATGTCCTCGGTCAGGTCGAGTGCGCGGCGGCTGAACTCGTTGACCGCCATCACGGCCCTCAGGTACGACATGGCCTCGCTGTAGCGCGGCGAGTAGGCGATCGTGGCGAGCGCTGGGCCGGCGTCTTTCTGCCCGGGCGGCCCGTCGATGAGGGGTACGGGGACAACATCCTTCCAGAGGGGGGAGACGGCGTAGTATGGCGCTTTGGATTTGGACTTTGATTTGGCTGCTTTGGATGTTGTGGCCTCGGCCATTCTTGGGTGCCTCGTAAATAAAAGATCCCGTGGCAGGCTCGCTCCCAGTGCAGCTGATGGCAACGGCGTCCCAAAGGCGAGTTGGGAGTAATAATTAGTCGCTTTGATCGACTTGGCCTTGCTTTGGGCTTGATCGTCGGAAACGGCCCTTGGAGAGACAGTCGTCAAACTCACCACGTACAGAGCATTCTACTTCAACCGAGTGCAAGAGAGCGAGCCTCGCCTTGTCATTGTGCTTGACTGGAATGAAGAGAACAATACCAAGGTTGCAAGTCGGCTCGGAGGAACCTCAGATTCATCCGGCTGCCTCTTGACGCCTTTACTCGTCCGTACTCGGTCGTGGTATTATTAGCGATGCCAGGTGTGCACATTATTCGCATTTCACAAGATGCAGCCCTCGCCCATCCTAGCCTGTCGTGGGAGGGAATATAGTACAAATGACGCGCCCATTAGACAACCGCTGCTATGCGCCTTCGCTAGTAAAACAAGAACGAACAGGACTATGCGTTGTTCACCTCCAGAACTTCCATTCGGGCCGCCTTTCGGTGAGACCCACGCCGACGAGAGCCTCAATTCCTTCTGTGCCATCTGCATTTAGGAACTTCTGTTGGTCGATCTCTTCACCTCCTGCTTCCTCGGTTCCATTGTGCAAGACAGCAGGGTAAAGCATGCCGACGCCACTGCCTCCCAACGTGGTCGTGTACTCCTCAAACCCGGCATCCTCAAATTTCATCTTCAAGTTCACCACGGCCTTTGGATCGATATCCCGCTTGAGGAGGGTGATCGCACACCCACCGCCGCCCGCGCCGGTGAGTTTCGTCCAGCCGATATCAGCATAGTCCACCAACTCCCGAATGTGTTCTAGCTTCGGATGAGAGACGCCGAGCGAGACCAGCAATCCATGGTTGATGCGGAACAAGTCACCCAAGTGCTCAATGTTCTGTTCTGATGTGGGGTCAAATTCATCTGAGGTGATGAGAGAGTGTGCTGACATTGTAACTTCTTCGATACTGTCCAGCGTGGCCTCGGTCACGGCTGGGTATTTCTTCTTCAACGCCGCCACTTTGGCAACTTCTGCAGCGGTCGATCGGGCCTGTTTCGTGTTGATCAATAGTAGCGGCAGTTCCGGGAAGTCTTTGAGTGGTGTAGCCATTGGCGGTTTGGTGTAGTCAAGTCTCTTGAAAAGTACAGCCCTTCCGTGCGTTGCAACAGTGTTGTCGACTCCGCTGGGGTTTCCGTGGATGCATAGTTCGCCCACGAAAGCCCACTTGTTGATTCTCTCAAATTGTATGTCCACCTCTTCCTCTGGTTGGTCATGATGTGGTCCGGACAGAACGTGGATCTGTTTCAGCAGGGCGGCGCTGATACACACGCAAATGCTGGCACTCGAGCCGAGTCCTGCCCCGATCGGTAGTGTGGATCGTAGAGTGTAAATACAAGCCTGCGCAGCAGGAGTCTGAAGGCAAAGGAATAGGTAGAGGAAAGCGGAAGCAGCATTTTGGTGAATCTTTCGCTTGTTTTCGCTCAAATGAGCTGAGACGGCTTCGACGTGAGGTTTCATGGCGGTGACCAGCTCGGGATCTAGTGACGTGACCATATCGTAGTATCGCGGCTTTCGCACGGTCTTCTGGAATATATGCCAGGGCAAGTCGTCGATCTTCCAGGTGTGATCCAGTCCAACATCAGGGAACACCAGTTGAATTGTTCGTTGCGACTTGGAGAGAGCCGTGACCAGCAGATAAGATCGGAGGGAGATTGCGGCGGCCATCGCGGCCTTTCCATGGACGACGGCATGCTCGCCAAACACGATGACTTTGCCGGGAGCAGATGTCATGAAAGCAGGCGCCATGGGAGACGAGGACTTGCGCGAGTATGGAGGAGGGTGTAACACGCCATCTTTGGAGTGGCCATTGACTCCATTGAGGCCTTTGACGCCGTTGACGCCGTTGACTTTCGGGGTTCCGTTCATGGCTGACTCGACTCTATGGACCATAGCTTGAAGAGCGAGCCGAGAGCCCCAAGAGGTGAGGCGACGTGAGGCGACGTTGAGGTATGGGGCGACGCTGAAAGTTGCGCGGGAGGAGGGACAAAAAGAGGAGAAGCAGGCTCGCAGCCCAATAGGCAATCCAAAATTTCTAAGAGGGAAAGCGCAGCTGCGTTGTCGCGACAGGCGCAGCCAACGTCAACTCAGCGGGCTAGCACCACTAAGCTTATCGCTTGGGGCCGCTAGGGACGCTAGCGCTGCAGGTACAGCCCCGTTAAGGTTGTGGAACACCAGAGCCGGTGGCCTTCCGAGTGGCACCATCGTCATCATAATGAGAACCCAGCAAACTACAACTCGTACGAGTACTGTATACTTAGATCGGTCGGGTGCACCGCGTCAGGTAAACTCGTAGGCACTTTGCTCGTACAGCCACAGACCGCACCATTCTTACTCATCAGGGTCCGAATCGCTTAGCTCCTCAATTCTCCCGGCGTCGTTCGCCACTTCTACTGGATTCTTGACATTGACCACTCCCGTCGCCTTCAGTCTCTCGAACAGTACGAACAGCCGTTCAGCTTCGCGCTCTTTTTCTTCTCGGGTCATATGTGGTAGCTCGATGTCTGGCTCTTTGTCCAGCCTTTGTCCTGTGATAGGGTTAACCGGAACTTGGTTGGAGGACTCTCCATTGCCCTGTGACTTTGCGCTCTCCGGGATCGGGATCTTGTGCGTCATCAGATATCCCGCAGCGTATCCATAACCCACATTCTTCACGTATTCGTTGGCATCTTTACCCGAGAGTTCAAACATCAAGCCGGATATTGCTTCTGAGAGGTTGAGCATTCCGGAAGAAGTTGTCAATCGCAGGAGTTGAGACGCCAGCGATGATGATTTCCCGAGAGGTTGATCCCGTTCTTTGTCGTCAGGCAGAAGTCGTGCCTTCATACTATCCCGCAAATCCGGTGGTGCAGTGTCATTGATCTTCCTCAGGACTGTTAATAGTGGCACTGCTGTCGTGTCGAGTTCCGTTGGTGGATGACCCTCGACGGCCAGTGCGAGTATCGAGATCAGCCTGGCTACTGCCGACTTCGTCTCGGCAGTCTGGGTGTCTTCACCATCAATGTCTAGATTTGCGAGAGCATTGATTAGCAGGTTGACCGGCGGTTGGAGTGGTGGCGACAGGACGTCGGTATACTCGATGATGCGACAGATGGGTGCAACAGCAGGCTTGAATTTGGCAGCTTGGTCTGTTTTGATACTCGTCGCATTGAAAAGCAGCTTGAGAGTCTCCGACATGGCCATATTTCCCTGAGCCGCGAGTCCTGTGCGCTTTGCGTTCTTTGCTTGATCCGCATGACGAGCCAACCTTTGGATAATGCTTTCCGCTAAGCCATGCTCAGATACCAAAGTCACCATGTCGATGCCGGGGTCGTAAGTCAGAAGGAACATTATCCGAGATAGTAAAAACTCCTCGTCCTCATCCGCATCTCGGAAGGCATCAGCTGCTTGCTTGTCGAAGCCGAACTCAAGCGAGTACTTGCGGGTTTCCGGAAGGAACAGAAGCGCATTAGCAGTGCACCTGAGTGCCTCATGCCTTATAGACGGAGGGAAGTCTCCAAAGGCATAGCTTCCCAAAGTTTTTATTCCATCGGCATTGTAAATGGCGGCCACGTTGTTGGCATCTCGCCCGAGTATCTTCAGCTTTGCCAACGCCTCTTCCAGCTGCTTTTGGTCGTTTGTTTTAGACCCCAGGCATTCCGTCAGTAGAGCGAGCAAAGCTCGAGCCTCATTCTGCGGGGTTTGACTTGGCATAGTGCCAGAGCAGAGGCTTTTCTGAGTAGGACAGAGTATCGCACAACTCAGAAGGCCTTTGGGTCTCACATGTCAAGTGATTTGATCAAAAGCGGAGAGCTCCTTGTTGCAGTTGATGTCAGGTGAGGTTGATGTGAAGCAACTTGGATAGCTGCTTCTAGACACGCACGGTCGAGTGGAGCACGCAGTAAACGCTAATCCCAAGAGAGCTAGTCGGGACTTAACACGAACTCAACGGGAGCCGCGTCTCGACGCGTTCGCCAGCGTTGCGAGGCTTGGATGGTCGTGGTGCCGTTCAATTGCATCAACGGCTCTCTCTTTCCCATGGCTTCCTATACCACTGTCTGGAGGTCTTTCCCATCTCCGGAGTGATGGAAGACTGCAGGCAGTCTCAGGAACCTTCGAACCTCACTGTCCACCGAGGACATTGAGAAAGACTACCAACACCTCGCTTTCGCCATGTCGATTCACGCTGCACTTCCGCTTAGCCCTCCGTCAACATCCTCCCGCCGCAAAATAGCTCTTATGAGCTCTTCTGTCCAGGGGACAAGTCCTGCAAGCTCTTCAGCATCGTTTCCGGGCTCCTCCCATACCGGAAGCCGGAAACGCGTCGGGTTTTCGACGGGTGCAGACATCCATAGGCCTGTTTCCACGAGTCAGCCTCCTTCAAGTGGTGCCAGACCACCGTTCACCTCTTCAGACTCTCAGTCGAGCCTAAGATCGATCCTCAAACCAGTTACAATCTTGGAGGAGACTGCACAGACAAGACATGGGTTGCAGGATGGCAACCGTTCAATGGTTGCAATGATGGACAGCTTCATTGAACAGTTGTCCCACGATGACAGATCACTCTCCCTCGACGCATATCAGACGCTTGCCAATGTCATCAGGAACTACGAAGACATCCCGGACGAAGATGTGCTCAAGGCGAAGATCAACACCTTTATGAAATACATCAAACGAGACCTGCTCAGGAAACTCTCCCCAGAAGAACCGCCGATTGCTGACACGAATCTCATCACACAAGCATTGAGACTACTCATCATATTTGTTTGGAACAAGGACTATGCCTCTCTACTATCGGATGATGCCCGTACCTTCGTCCTCGATCGGTCAATCCAAGTGCTTGCGGAGCATACTGCGTCAAAGAATGTCATCGTCCACTACCTTCATCTCCTTGCGGCGCAAAACTTTCGCCAGACCCTAATTACCAGCCACCGCGTTGCGAGACTTCTCGAAGCATTGAGAGCACTTAGCGAGCATTACAAGGGGAATGGAGTCATTTCTGAGAGGCTGCTCGTCTACCAGAAACTCCTTGACCAGGAGCGACCCACGATGAAGGCGAAGGCGAACATCTGGGTGGACGAGCTACTCACTGGCGCGACCAACAGCCTAAAGGACATCAGAATGAAGGCCATCGACCTTGGTGAAAAGGCCTGCTCAGCGTTTCCCGCATCTTCATCAATTTCTTCTGTCATCAGATCTACACTCGCCAGAGAACTTGCATCCGGAAAGACATTCAGCTCCAGCATGTGTCGAAAACTGGAGAAGATGATTGCAGTAAAAGAAGAGGGCGTCCAAGTCCCGCGGATATGGACTATCGTCCTAAGGCTCTGCAATAATGTCGATGACCGTGGCCGCAATGGCTGGGGCCCGCGTTGCGACAAGTGGGCTCAATTCAAAGATTGGTTGAGTGTCATACAAAAATGCTTCAACTGCAGTGAATCGACTATCCAGCAACAGGCGTACCAGGCTTGGAATCGGTTCATACACATTGTCCAACCTCATCTAGCATCCGACAACCTGTTGCAATTGTTGCCAAAGCCTATGACTGCTAAATTAGAGCGGCATGGAGGGGAGGCGGCAACCAAAGGCACTCGCGTGGCGGCGGTGTCAAGTTACTGCACCCTACTTTATCATGCTTTCAGACCAGCGGCAAATCACCATCAGTATACTCGGGTATGGAACGAATATATTGTGAAGGTCATGAAGTCCGCATTTTTTGAAAGAGGCACCGCCAACTCCGACCTTGCAAGTCGTATCGTGATGGCGTTGTTTTGGAATCCTGGACGCGCGAAGATCTGGAACGAGAATCGCGCCCTCGAGAACACCCCGGTCGAGCCAGAAGAGCTGCCTACAATCGATTGCAAGTGGGTACGTTCGAAAGCAAGACCGATCCTCGACATTTTCCTAGTGCTGATGCGCTACAGCTCTTGGGGAGCTTCAGGGCAGTCTGACAAGGCATACATCGCCGTGGCTTGGCTGCATTTCCTCAAAGCTGTGCAAGAAGCGGGTCGAAAAGAGATCAAGCCCTCTGCTGAGACTGTGGAGGCCATGGTTCATGTGAACGCTTTCCTCGGGCGTTTATACCTAGACGTAACCCACCCCAGCGTAGGCGACGGTCGACCAACAGGGCCACATACGCTCCGGATTGGTCAAGTACGCCAGCTGACTGTGACGGCTGTTAGGCTACTGGGCCACGATCTGATAATGGCTGGTCTTGAAGACAAAGGTCATTGCCTGAGTAACGCCTTGGTTATTTATGACTCCCTGCAATTCCATCTTCTGGAGCAACAGCAAAGTGATGAATCAAGCACGACGAGCTTAGAAACATGCCTCAAGTCTCTGGACGCAGCATTGGTCCACGGCTTCAATTCCGAAACGACTTCTGGGACAAATATAAGCATCAGCCAGCTGCAAAAGAGGCTGGAAGGATCATCTGTCAGACAGATTGTCCACACCTTGACTCTGCTCAAGCGGCCCACTGTGTTGATTTTAAAACAAGGTATCTCAAGTTGGCAGGACAAAGATCAACACGAACCCAGTCGGCGGTATCCAGAGATCGTCAAAGCTACGTTGACTCTTCTGGCCAGACTGCCTGTCGAGGCTGTCGGTGAGTTGGAGGAGACCTTTTCGGCTCTGCTCAGTAGCCGTCATAATCTTGTGGTCCAGGACACGGTCGATATGTGGAATCAGCGATTTGGGAAGCTTCCCTCGCTAAGTCTTGGTCCTATATTATCAGAGGCTATAAGCAAGCTACGGGACGCTGGCGTTGAGATCACTGTCCCAAGCAAACCGCACATCCGAAACGACGCAGCTAAGCAACACATGTCGCCACAAGCTGCGCCAGCAGAGGACCTTGACACGACTTCCAGGCATATGTCGACGAGCCCAACAGCGGCAATAAGAGGCGCCGATCGATCCCCAGAATTGGGTAGTCAACATTTTCACAGTGTTGCACGAGAGGAAAGCCCCGTGATGGGCTCAAGTCCTCGCCAACAATCTTTGCGGCCACGCTCGAGGCACGATGATTCTCAGGTTTACTTCGTGCCAATCGAGTCATCCCCTCTTCCACAGGAAGAAACAGAGTCCCAGTCCTTGACTACACACCAAAAGGAAGTCCGCGACCAACAGCGTTCGGAGCCTGCTCTTGTGTTCCCGGACCTGAGATCGAGCCCGAGGCCGCATACTAGATCAATCACCCACACTGACTGCGAATTCGCACGAAAGGCAGCTTCTCAGGCAGAACGCCCCTCAACACCGACCCTGCCAACTAACGAGGAACAAAACGGGACTGAGTTGATGGCCTCTCCCACACCTCGTGCGCGACACTTTACCAATCTAATTCCTGATATTGAGGTACCTTCATCGCCGCCTTCGATGGTGGGCAATGATGATCGGACCGATGTCAATTCTTCTCCGCTTCTTGCCGTCGAAGGTGATGCTGGAGACAGAATTGATCTCGCGATTGAGCAGATTGAGGGGGCAGACGAGCACGGTGCAGTAGAGCTACATCCTTCTGCGGCAATAGAAACTGTTGCGCTCAAAGCTGCAGCCTCCCTCGGACAAGAAGCATTGGTCACCGATATCGCGGATGCTGGCGCCGGAGGGAGCATCGAATTTTTCCAAGACCCCCAGGCAGAAGAGCGCACGGGCTCGATGGGGGCTGGTGAGTCGAAAGGGGAGGCTAGTAACGCAAGGCGCCGAAGAAATCAGCCAAAGAAGCACGCGACTCGTGGAGATGATGTTGCTGCGTTATCCTCTAGTGGGAGAGTGAGGCGTGGAAGATCCCGTCTTCGCCTCTCAAAATCTCCCGCACAACAAATCGGTCGTCGCGCAGTCGGGGTAACCTCCAGTACTGAAGTGCAAAGTTCCAGTCCTCCACCGCACCAGGATTGTGAAGATAGCCATCTTGAAAAGGATGCGGCCCCAGCCTACGCAACGGTATCTCCCTCATTGAGACCAATTACGATCAACTTGGCATCAGACAGCACGACATCGGAGGAAGCAGAGCAAAGGGAAGCAAGCCCGACGAAGCCTGTCGCAACGGACAGCGACGAGATTGATATTCTTAGTGCTTCGCAATTGTCTCATGACCTCGATCTGCATGTCAGCCAGACGGCTGGTGCCGGCTCCTATGGGGAAGAAGGGACGGATGAAGCATCAAGATGGAAAAAGCAGAAATCTCGCAAGCGCAAATCAAGCACATTGAATCTGGCTGCAGCCAAGCGCAGGAAATCATCAAAATCATCCTCCCAGAATTCGTCGACTTCAAGAGACGCAGAAATGGCTGCGGATGAGATTCCCGGAGAGATTCTTGATTGCGTTGAGGTTTCACCCTCACCGGAGGATCAAGCTATTGCCTCAGTACAGCTCAGCGAGTCGGCACTGACACCTAGACGTCGACGAGGCCGGCCACGGAAACGGACTCTGATCGAGGTCATCGTGCCGGAGACGTCGCTAGTCAAGCAGGAGAAGGTGGATATCACCGGAGTTTCTGCTGCTTCATCAGTGCAGGATGAGCAGAAAGAGGTTCTTCACACCCTCGATCAGGAAGCTGAAATCCATGGAGCAACAAGTACAATGGTGACCGACGCTATGGAGTTGACTACGACTGGCGGCGTCGCAGAATCCGCACCGCGAGAACGAAGCTGTCCGTCTGACATCGCGGCTTCACTTCAACACGTCCTGGATCGTCTCAAATCCGCCGACCCGACGGATATCGACTTAAGGCGGGTGGATGACTTGTGCTTCCAGATCCGGTTCCAAGCCCAATTCATCGCCCAACAGCAGATGCTTAACGGAGATTTACCCAGACTCTAGCGGCAGGGGCGCCAGAACGTCGAGACCTGGGATCGCGCCGACTTAGAATGGATGCTTGGAGGAGGTCTTCCACCACAGGGAGCTGGGGTGGACGTGACCATGGGCTTGCATCCAGAGCATAGCCAGATTTTGTACGCTGTAGTTCAGACGACAAATACATTGTCTCGGGGTGGCATGGCCTCCCCGGTAGAAGGTTTTCCCGCACACCCACTGCACGTGACATTAGACGGATATTCCCCTAAAGGCCGGAGTCGTGCTGCTGCGCCCATCCCCCATTTTCTCATCGCAACAGGGCCGACCACCGAACGCAGCTTGTTGAGTCAAACCGGCCTCACTTCGACCTGAACTCACCTAGTCCTCTCCTCCCTTCTATACCCGAACGCCGCTCCATTACCCATCTTCCGATCGGTATCGCTTCTCGGGTCGGTTGCAAGAGCAGAAACCGGGGAAATCAAAGCATAGAGAATAACTGCCGCGACAATGGCCGCGACCATCAAAGCTATCAACGCGCGGATCCGCTCCAATAAAGTTCTGGATTATTTCTGCTCAACACGTACGTCTCGTCGAGATAGGCTATCCCTCTCCTGCGCAGAAAGAACCATATCGGACGAGTGATTCGAACGCGCATGAGCCAGAGGAGGAGCACGAGAGATGACTCAATTCTGCGTGTGCCTCGGGCGAACGTGAGAAGACAAAAACAACTGACTGGAGCTCTGGTGTGCAGATTTCTGGGGTCCAGCTTCGAATTTCGGTATTCCCATCGCGGCGGTGTTGGATACACAAAAAGATCCTGAAATGTACGTTCGCACCCGCCATTGTCCGCTACGACCGATGAGCCCGTCTCCTACCCCCGACCTCATACCTTACACGCAGACAGTGTGGGACAGTGTGTTGTCTACGTGTGGAAGGGCTCCCTCCAGAAGAACCCTGAGCCGCTGACCTGTGGTGAATAGCATCTCGGGCAAATTTACCGCCGCCCTGACCGTTTACTCGGGCACGTTCATGCGCTATGCCCTGGCCGTGACACCCAAGAACTACCTCCTTTTTGCATGCCATTTCGTCAACTTCAACGCCCAACTGACGCAGGGGTACCGGTGGTACGATTACTGGTAGTAAGTATAGACTCTCCCTCCATACCTACACGCGAGGAAGTCCCTGTCCAGGGGTACATTGCATGAGCGAGAAAATCATACATACATGCACCTTCGCCATTTTCTTTTCGCCCGTGAGTCTAATGTTGCTGTGCTCTACAGTGGTTCCGGGAAGGAGAAATGGGCCAAGATCCGCGCCGAGCAGGCCAAGAACGAACTCGAGGGCACGGTCGACAATCTCGCCAGCCAGACCAAGGTGAAGGTCCAGGATGCGGTGCAGGAAGTCAAGAAGACCGTGTCATAGATATGACGATGCGGGTGACAGTTGAAGGAGGTGTCCTGCGCAGGAGTGAGCCAAACACTCGTCGGGTAGGGGGAGGGCATTGGATTTTGGAGGCTCCCGCCATGACTTCGAGACGGGCGGACGCAGATGCCACTGGCATTGGGCGAGGTATCGCCGTCCTTGGCAGTATCGATTGGTGAACAAACTACTCGAGGACACAAAGCCGCTGGAAGGGACGGGGACTCATACGTTAACCTCTGGCCTGGCTTGAGCGGGACTGTCCTACATTCTGTTTCGGTCACAAATACATCCTAGTCGCCACGAGAGTGGGCGTACGCGAATGGTGTCGAGGGATGTATAGGACTCGTTCAGTCTCGTCGTGACTTTGCTTTCCTTTTGCGATGAAACGTTCCCTGTGACCATGGGGGGTCGCTATCGCATTGTTCCCAGATTCTTCTTCTTCTTTTGGATTATTCTTCAAAAGCGGCCAGAGCGTTTGCAAATGATACAGCAATTAGTCAAGGAGGATGAACGTGAAGAACATACCGAAAGCTGCGCGAGTGTCCCTCAGGCCACTTTGACTTGATTTATTAAACATAGATTTCTCTTACGGATGGGTCCTCCCAGTGTCGCCAAGTCAGGACAGTACAGTAATGCTCGAAGCATGCAAATGCAATGAACAGTATTCCTTCGAGCGTCACTGCTCACGCTCCCGGCAGTCAAGCAACCTCGAAAGTCATACGTAGGAATTGAGGGAATTGAGTGAATCCAGATCCCTCCACAACCCGGTGTTGCAGCTTGGTGATCGCGCTCCTACTGTACCCGCACCAGACTTCGCCCTGTCCGCCGTCGTCGTGATTGTGGTACATGTCCATGACCACCCTCATCATCTTGGTACTCTCCACCCCTCGGCGTCTTGGTACCTACGAGGTAGTCATGACCATACTGATTTGTCCCCACAACAATAACAGGTATTGGACTGACTGCTCTTCGCAAGTGTTCATTCCTCGTCTCCGAGTCCGTGTCCGTGTCAGTGTCTCTGTGCATGGCCGTGAATGACGTCCATGTCCATATAGGTCACCGTCGTCATCATCATCATACTCATCATACTCATACTCATCATACTCATACTCATCATACTCATACTCATCATACTCATACTCATCATACTCATACTCATCATACGCAATCATTCCGTTGCTCATCACCGTCCGTTCGTCCCCTGTGATTAGGGCAAGGCCGGGAAGCCTCGAGGCATCGGGCAGTGGGCAGAGGTCAAGTACGACGTACTCTAACCGGGAACCTGGTCCGAGATGAGACAAGTGGTAATGACAGCAGTACAGCACTGTGAGACCATATACCTACGTACCTACCTAGATAGCTTAGGTAGTACTTGTAATTATGTACCTAGATAGGTAGTCCCGGGAGTGATTGTTTTCCCTTCTCGCCGGTATGGTGTCTCGTGTGCATTCTAATCATAGTCCTGGTCATTGTCACTCTCAATGTCATGGTCATGGTGCATGATCCTAGTCCTGGTCGTTGCCGTTCCTTCCAAGGTTCATTTGCATATCGACAATGTCGTATCCCCATGTTGTGTTGCAGACGGGGACTGTTCGACCGCTGGTCCAGCCTAAACGTACGCCCTGGCCCTGGCCCTGGGTCAGTTGAATCATATAATGCATAGTGCTGACTATTAGCCTTGCTTGGTACGTGGAGCTACTTGAGAAGCGAGGGAGGAAAGGAACCAGGGAACCAAGGAAAGGGGTAACTTGATTGTGGCATATAATTTGATGGTGGTATGACCATGAGACAGAAACAATCGACGGCGAACACAAGCAAATCTCACATCACTTTTTTTAGGTCCAACAATAACATTAACATTTTCATTGTTAGGTTATGCAGTTATACCATATGGACCTGGTTTATCTATAAGGAGATTCATGTTTAGGTACCGGCCTTATTAATAGACCTGGTGGTCTATCCTCTACAGTATCAAATCATCTTCCCCTGTATAAGACAGCCCCTAAGTCATCAACGCCGCCCTTTTCCTATCTCTTCTCGCAATGATCAACCACGACGTGAGAACCGACGAGATCGACACAATGAGAAGAGACAAGCAAATGACGTAGGACTTGTGGTACGTCGGCCCATAGATGGTCGAATACACATGCGGGCCGACGATGCCGCTCCATTGCGCACAAGCATTGGTCAAGCCTATGCCGACGCCCGCGGCGACGGTCCCCTCGAGGGCTCGGATCCGCTCTGGCCAGATGACAGGGTATGCCGAGCCGGCGCAAGACACGGCGACAATCAGGGCAATGTATTTGACCACGGGGCTGTGGACGGTGACGAGGATGATGTAGCAGACGATGGTAGTGCTTTCGACTTCACGGACGTCAGTCAAGAAACTGCAGAGAGATTTGCCGGGGGGTAGCCTTACTGGCGACGGCGCAGGTCCAAGGTCGGATCCATCCCCTGTGGATCAGGTTGCCTACCGTGTTGAGGAAAAGGAAGCAACAGACGTAGGGTGGCTGGTTGGGGGGAGGAAGAGTTAGTGGATTCCCACGCTGGAGCATACACGTATTCTTGGATCACATACAATATTCATGAGCTGGGAATGCGCGGTGTCGGAGAACCCAAGCTAGTAGATGACAGTTGGGAGTGCGTATCCGACGCCGAATCCCCCAATGCCATGGGCAATCCAGTAGAGGCCGAAGGTGTAGACCGTGGGGTCGGCAAAAAGGCGCTTGAGGGATGCCCAGTCCCAGTGGCCGTGTCTGCCAGACGGGGCGGTATCGGCCAAGCGCCGCTCAATGAATAAGCGTTCCTTCTCGTTCAGCATCCGGGCTGTTTGTGGATAGTCAGGAAGACCAAAGAGGGCGACAAAAGCGAGGATGATCGCAGGGAGCCCTTCAAGGAGGAACAGCCATCTCCATCCGGGGAGACCAGCGAGACCGTCCATGAACGAGATGGCATATGCGAGCAGACCGCTTAGGGCGCTGGAAAGCTGTCCGACAGAGTAGAACAGGGCAATCCGCCAGGGCATTTCAGTCGGTCGATACCAGAAGTCCATGTGATACAGCACGGCCGGGTAAAAGCCGGCCTCGGCCAGACCGATGGCAAACCGTGCGCACATCATGCCCTGGAAGTTCTGCACAGCGGCGACAGCACATGCGCATATGCCCCAGGCTAGAATTAGGACGAACATCCATCTGCTCGGGCGGAAGGTCTTGAGGAGCACGGTGTTTGTGGGCTCGAAGATCATGTAGCTGTAGGAGAAGATGGAAAGAGTCCACGCCCATTGGGACGGGTCGAGGTGTAGCTGCTTCTTGATGCCGGTGCCATGTTCGAGGTTGATGATGGCCGCGTTGGAGTAGTTGGACGAGTCGATGACTCGGAAGATGTAGACCATGGAGTAGAATCCGACCAGCCAAAAGTCGACTTTGCGCAGGACCTTGCGTTCGAACGCTTTGTCGACCTCCTCTTCAAGCACAATTTCACTCTCGGAAGGAGATGATGGATCGACGACAATGTGGGCGAGCGTTTCACTGATGCTCTTCTTATCGGCCGCCATGATTTGGTCTTCGCCTGCCGGAAGGAAAGTACACAGACCGTAACCTGCTGAGCTTGGTACCAGTGGGTGACATACTGGGCTGCTGGATCTTATGTAGGGATATGACGCCGGCTTTGTATAAAACCGTGTCGACCGTCACAACATGAGGGTGCCGGAAGTCGTCAGCACCTCGCAGATGTCCGTACCACTCCAGCAGTTGTCCATAGCAGATCGGCGTACTTGCATTGCAGCTTTGCAAGGACGATTGGTGCTCCATGCCGCAACGATAAGGACGATGGCGACATACGGCTCAACGTGCTTCGCTTGAGGCCAGAGAAACCGTGAAGAGACGGGCATATCCCGTGTAGCACATCCATTTCCCCACGGCTCGGGCGGACATGTTTCAGCTCTGATGCTGATTGAACGGGCGGTACAGATCAGCGCAACTGGGAGTGTGATGGATCAAAGCACGTTGGCATAGGACGAAAGCACGCCATCAGCCTGCATATATGGTTAGTAATTTCATCGACAAGGCGCTTAAGAACTCGTACCAAGTGCAGCAAAGGAAGCTTGAAACAACTCCGCATGACCAGAGTATCCTCCTTGTGTTATTGTGCTCGGTGCCCGCAGTGGTCTGTTTAACACACGGACAGTGTTGAGGTGAAAGAGTTGAGAGTGAGAGTGGAAGTGAAAGTGAAAGTGAGTTCTAACTCGGGTCTTTCACTCCAGGCAGTCGACCAGCAACTACAGCAGTGTCTGAATCGGGAAACAGTAGGGCCGATGTATTTTGTCTCGCGGCAGATTCGGAGCGATGACTAAAGCCTGAATCATGACTCATGGAAGATGAGGCAAGATGAATGTGAAATACAAATAATTACCGGGAAACGCGCGCCTGACTATCGTACAATCCTTCCAACACCGCATCGGAATGAGAGTGCAAGAAGACTTTTCAACCTCAGCTTCCCTGGAGCCACAGTACAGAATTCACCCTCCCTCCAGCAACCGGCTAGGTGTCAACGCCCACAATTGCTGCTTCTTGCAATTTACCACACCATCATGACCTACTAACACAAACCCAAGACACTCATCCTTTCAACCCAAGACACTCACACTATTCACCAGCTAACTCAGTTCGGCCCCTTGGTGAAATTCTGCCACATGCCGCCCAAGATGCCCGTCCCAGCCTTCTGCTCTGTCCAGCTGGCCTTGCGCTCATCCTGACTCCCTCGCTTCATGGCCGTCAAGCCCGCAAATTTGTCCGAGGCGGAGGACTGGCGCCGCTGCAGCGTCAGCGAAAAAAGCACATACACCGAACGAACCACAGGGAGCGGAATGCTGGCCACGAGTAACAGTAAGAGTAAGAGTAACAGTGAGAGGACCTCACGTACCCGTCTTCGTCCGGCAGCGGCAGCGGCAGCCTTGCCTGCAGCATTGTTGGATTCTGTCGTCTTGGGCTCTTCCTTTGGTGGGCTACCGGATGAGCCGCCCGACCCTTGGGACGACTGGCTGTTGCTGCGGGGCTTGTAGTTGTATTGTTTGAGAAACATGGTTAGAGGGGTGATATTACCGCGGAGATGTGATGGAAAGTATCGAGGTATCGAGGCTGACGGATCACTGTCGATATCACAGGCGATGGATATTTCAACTCCAACTCGTAAAGGTGCAAGATCAAAGTTCTTGTATCGTTGTAGCAGAGTGCTGTGCTGTGCTGCTTGTGCTGGTACCTAACTCAAGCACGGTGGCCGATGCGTGCAAATGGTGACGTAGCTGACACAGGGAGCTCGATCAGCCGGCTCGCTCACACAGGTGATGCCCGAGTATGCAACGATCGATAAGGCTTGCCGGAAGTTTCTCTGCCTATCCGTGAAGTAGCTGTTGACGGACGAACCGTGCTGACGGGGTAGAGAATGGGCGTGATGGTGGACGTCTCTTAGAGCTGGGTGGACGCACACGGGGCTTATGTATGAACGAGTACGAGTCGCTACTACGTATCCTGCATCGAGAGCACCTGATTGATCAATGACCTACCTTCTCCGGCGTCTCGTATTGCTCCTCACAGAGGCAGTTCACGGACGCGAGTGTTTCGAGAGCCCATCAGCATGCTCGGCCGATGAGCTTTGCTGAACCAATCGAGGCGGGGTAGGAAGATGCCGTCCGGTAGCAAGGCTCCTGGCAGGACAGTCGTCGGTCGCGTGCCATCGCCCAATTCTGGTCGTCAGGGATGTGCATGCTAAGGAGGCAATCGAGCTTGTGTTTGACGAATGGCAACGACGGTCGACCCTGGAATACGGCCATGGAGGCCCGCAGAACGAGCTGTACCCCGCGCTTCCCGTCTGCTCTCCTGCACGATGATTGATGGCAGACATTGTAAGCAGCTCTAGCCCTTTGGAGGTCATCATGTTGGCCTATAGGAGCGACGGGAGAAGGAACAATCGGCCTCCGATGCAGACAAATGCCCTGTCGCTCGTTGGTGGAAATGAGGTTTGGCATCCACAGCGAGCCCTGATCTTTTCACATGCGAATTCCACATCATTCGAGTTGCTAGCATCAAAGGTGCATTCGGGGCCATCATGATTCATTCGATGCTGCCCGGGGAATAACAATACCGAACCACGTCTGAGGTTAATAGTCACTTCCTGGTCCTCCATACTGTGCCCTTTTTCCAGTGAACCGCATCCTGCACGCGCGTTCATGCCTTTGCGATCTTGCAAACCAGATCTGAACCAGCAACAGAGTCGCCTTCCTTGACGAAGAGCTCTCCCACCTTTCCGGAGTGTGGAGCGCTGATGACCATTTCCATCTTCATGGCACTCAACACCGCAATCGGATCGCCCTTTTTGATGTCATGCCCTTCCTTTGCCCTGACTTCTACCACCACACCAGCCATAGGTGCACCGACCTGGCTGCTGTCCCCCGGATCGGCCTTGGGGCGCGATGTGTTCTCGACGGCGGCCTTGTTGTCGTCAATCGTGACCTGTCGAACTTCCCCATTGACCTCGTAGAAGACTTCACGTTGACCCGTGGCTTCTGAGAGCGGTCCTACCGCCAGCAGCTTCATGATCAGGACTTTGCCTTTCTCCAGCTCCACGTGGAATTCTTCTCCGATTTCAGGCCTGTTCAAGAAGTACTTGGTCGGCAGCACCGAGAGATCTCCATACTTGTCCAGGAACTTGCGATAGTCCTCGTACACTTTCGTATACTGTAGCACCGTCAGTATGTATCATTGTTGAGTGACCACCTCGTCACCGAGAGGGGGAACCTACCATGACGTATGAGGCAATGTCCGTTTCCGCGGTGGTGTTGTATTTCTCCTTCAGTTCCTGGCGGACTTTCGAAAAGTCGATAGGATCTAGGTAGAGACCTGGCCTCTTTGTCATCTTGCGGCGACCTCGGAGGACATCACTCCGAAGCGGTTCGGGGAATCCGCCGTACGGCTGGCCCATGTAGCCCTCGAAGAACTCCAAGACAGACTCTGGGAAGTCAAGTTCCTTGGCTTTGGCGATGATACCATCGTAGTCCAACTTGTTAGACACCATGAACTGTGCCAGGTCGCCGACAACTTTGGAAGTGGGTGTGACCTTGACGATGTCACCGAGAAGCGCGTTGGCCTGTTCGTACGCCTTCTTGGTTTCAAGCCACTGAGATCCAAGGCCAAGTTGGGATGCTTGGAAGATCAAGTTGGTGAGCTGTCCGCCGGGAATCTCATGTTCGTACCTGTTCATGTTAGCAACAAACGGTTGACGAGAGAATGAGGGAACTCACACTTCTGGGTCGGGACCAGTCAGACCAGCCTCGAATGGTGAGTAGAGGAGCCTCAACTGAGACCAGTACTGATCAAGGGCTCGGACGTTGTGGCCATTCAACCCTGGATCATAATCTGTTCCCTCCAGCGATGCAAGTATAGCCCCAATGCTGGGCTGACTCGTCATCCCAGACATGCTGTCCGTCGCCGCATCAACAGCATCGGCGCCTGCTTCAGCACACGCAACCATACTCGCCACGCCGGTGCCAGCGGAGTCGTGCGTGTGAACATGGATAGGCAGATCTGGGTATTTGGCACGGATGCTGCCGACGAGAATCCGGGCAGCCTTGGGCTTGAGAACCCCAGCCATGTCCTTGATGCCCAGGATGTGAGTCCCAATCTTGCAGATCTTGTCGACCAAGTCCATATAGTATTGAAGGTTATATTTCTTCTTGGGGTTCTGGTCAATGAGTTAGAGTCTAATCAAACACAACAAAACCGACTGGATGAAAGGCAGAACGACATATCCAGCAACGGGGGTCGCTATATCTAAAGCGGGGACTAATATCCCAGAACTTCGACGGAGAGGACGAAAAGAAGGCTGGGAAAAGACAGTATGGAAGAGAAGTGACAGAGACGAGAAAACGGGTGGACATACCAACATGTCACCTGTAAAAGACGAGTTAGTTGTTTGCTGCGACTGGCATAAAGCGGGCATCAAACTCACCTGAATAACAAATCGTTCCCTCGACGACACCACCGGCCTCTTGCACGGCTCGCATACCTACCTCCAATTGTTCGATGTCATTAAGAGCATCAAACACGCGGAAGATATCCATCCCATTCTTCTTGGCTTGCTTGCAGAAGTGATATATGGCGTTGTCAGGAAGCGACTTGTAGGCCACACCGTTGGCACCGCGGAGCAACATCTGGAAAGGAATGTTGGGTACCAGCTTCCTCATCTTACGAAGTCGGTCCCAAGGATCCTCATACAGAAAGCGCATGGCTACATCAAAAGTAGCGCCACCCCAATTCTCCAGGGCCCACGCGTTGGCGAGCGCATGACTTGTATGTTTGGCAATGTTGCACAAATCAACGGTGCGGACTCGAGTGGCCAACAGAGACTGGTGAGCATCGCGCCACGTCGTGTCCATGATAAGACACCCTTTGTTTGCCCGAACGGCTTTGGCAAACCCTTCAGGGCCCTCTTTATCGATAATTGACTTCCATCCTTTGGTGCATGGCTGGTCGACGTCGATTTCTTTGCCATTTTCGTCAAGGAGTGTGGGAAAGATGATGTCGCCCTTGAACTTGGACTCTCCGATCTGGCCCTTGATGCTACTGCCGTTGACTGCGAGGTCGCCCAGGTACTGGAGTAGTTTCTGAGCGCGATTCTGACTGCCAATCAACCTGAACAACTCGGGGGTGTCGTCAATGAAAGTCGTCCAGCAGGTGCCCTCGATGAACGTAGGATGGGTCAGAAGCGAGGCCAAGAAGGGGATATTGGTCTTGACACCACGGATGCGGAATTCGACCAGGGCTCGCAGCATCTTTCTCCGGACTATCTCATAGGTGGAGCCATGGCAGGTACATTTGACCAACATGGAATCGTAATGAGGGGTGATGATAGCCCCGGCAAATCCGTTACCACCATCCAGACGAACGCCGTTGCCGCCTGCAGATCGGTAGACCTCGATCTTACCGGTGTCGGGGGAGAATCCATGCTGTGGATCTTCGGTTGTGATACGGCATTGAATGGCGAAGCCACGAGTGGAGATACGATCTTGGGTCAACCCCAGCTGCTCAAGGGAAGCACCCGCAGCGATCTGGATTTGGGCCGCCACAATATCAATACCTGTGATTTCCTCGGTAATGGTGTGTTCGACTTGAATTCGAGGATTGATTTCAATGAAGTAGTACCGGTTCTGCTGGTCGACGAGGAACTCAGCCGTGCCAGCATTACGATAGTTGACCGATTTGGCGAGCTTGACTGCATCGTTTAGGATGGCATCTCTGGTTTCGGCGGGTAGGTCTTTAGCAGGAGCAAGCTCCACGACCTTCTGGTGTCGTCGCTGAACGCTACAGTCTCGTTCGTAAAGGTGGACCACATTGCCGTGGTTGTCACCCAGCAGTTGGACTTCAATGTGCTTGGGCCTGTCCAAAAAGCGCTCCACGAAGACGGTGCCGTTGCCAAAAGCTGACTTGGCTTCCGAGGTAGCTCGCTCGAAGGCGTCCTTGAGGCTTTCTTGGTCTCTGACGACTCGCATACCACGGCCACCGCCACCAAAAGCAGCTTTGATGATGATGGGGAAGCCATATTCATCCGTGAATGCCTTGACTTCCTCGAACTTAGCCACTGGACCTTCGGTTCCTGGCACGCAGGGTACGTCGCACTTCATGGCCAGTCTTCGAGCAGACACTTTGTCTCCCAGCGACTCGATGACCTGGTAGGAGGGGCCAACGAAGATGATGCCGGCCTCCTCGACCTTGCGGGCGAACTCGGAATTCTCGGACAGAAAACCGTAGCCAGGATGGATCATCTGGACGCCATGTGCTAGAGCGATCTTGATGATCTCCTCCCCAGCCAGATAGGCACCGACGGGAGTATATTGGCCTCGCTTGCCGATCATGTAAGCTTCGTCCGCCTTTTGTCTATGCATGCCCAATCGGTCCTCGTAGCTGTAGACTGCCACGGTCTGTAGCGAGAGCTCGTGGGCCGTCCTGAAGATTCGAATGGGGATCTCGCCTCGGTTGGCGACGAGGATCTTCTTGAGCTGCATAATGGACGAGTTGGCCCTCAGCCGCTGGTGGACCGAGTGCTCGAGGTGGTGGGATCTACCCTCCTCATGGTCTCCATCGTTGCCGTTGGTGGCCATGGTAGATGTTGCAGGTGAAGCCTAGCTGCTGGCAAGGGCAGCTTCAGGCGATGAAGCTCGTCCGAGCAGAGGCAGGCCACAATATAGCTGGCAGGAGAGCGGCAGATGAGGAAACGCGAAGGGGGTGAATGGAAAAGAGCTCGGCTGGTAGATCGAGTACGCAGGAGGAGACTTTTGTGAATGATGCCTCGAGGAGCTTGATGACAGGAGGAACCGCCAGACAACAACACCGGTTACGTCGACGCCAGAGGCAATAGATAATGCCGGAGCACCAAAGCACTATGTCGCCAAATGAGCTCTGGTCTGACGATGATAAGCTCGAGGATTGGTGGGAGGACGGGGTGGGACGCTGCAGACAGGCTTTTGTAGGTGCGAGATACGAATATCCAGCTGGCTGATTGGAGAGCTTCAGAGTCTGTCACCGAACCGCGGATTGAGGGGCAGCAGCAGTGACTCGTCGCGGTGCAGGTTCGGGCTCACCAAGCTTGAGAGGCTTCACCAGCAGCGCCGGTGCGCACGCCTAAACCTTTTCGGCTCCGATCCTAACTAGTTACAGATTGTTGATCGGGAATTTGCGCACGCTGCCTTGGGGGATGTGATTGTCGACAGCGCCGATCGCATTCAGCTCCTCGTCAATGTGGGGTGGCCATTCTCCCGTGAGCCTCAGACACTGCTCCGACAACAACACCATTGCCCCGAAAAATTGCCTTGGCTCACCCCCGGCTCACCAACATCGTCCGCGGCCTCATAAGCGTCGCCGATGGGGAACAACAGGGAACACAACTGAGTGAACTGCGCGGGTGCCGTTGTTGGCGGCAGTCTTCCATCTACTGTGTACTCCATACAATGCGAGACGTCACCGAACCACGTCACTCTGACACCGCGCTGATAAGGCTCGGTAAAGCGCTGTGCGAAGCAGCCTCACGAGTACTCGCTACTCACTCGCTACTCCCCACAACGCATGGCTTGGCCCTGGCGAGATAGAGCAATTACAGCAAATGAATAAGTCATCCCCTCGCTTATCTTTTACCCATCGACTTGAGGGATCGAGTTTTGTTTTCCAGGTATTATCAGTCACCACTTGATGTAGCTCCCCCCCAAAACGGCTGGAGGCTCATTGAACCACACTAGTCCTCTACCTGGCTAGGTACATCATACAACAGGGGAAATGGCGCCTGGAGAGAAATGCATCGATACCTGTTGCCAGCATGCACATCGCATTGTTTAACGCGCTCCTCCCTGTATTTACTCCCACAAAATCCCACTTCCTGATCAACTCGGATCGCTGCGCTTTCGATGGCGCTCATACCCTTCTCACCCGACAATTCCCGAGGCTCGTCACTCCGCACACCGGACACCTAGAATGCCCGAGGGAACCCAGTGGGTTGCGGCGTGATTCCATTAGTGTGTCCATACCCCGTGGGCTGTGGTGCCATGGGTCCCTGAGTCAGCATCAGCCGGCTGCCAATGATTGGCGTGTTGTCCTCGGTCTGTTGCTGACTGGTCTCCTTGGCTTTGCGTTCCTCGTTGTCTTTTCGTAGTTGCTCAATGGTCGCGGCTTGCTGGCTCATGTAGCTAATCATGAATGGCATGGTGAAGTCGTTCAGTCCATGTCGCCACGAGATCTCCATGACTGTAGCTAGCGGAACAAGGTCGTAGCATGCGTACAGCATGCCAACGTAGCACTCGCGGCTGCCGATATCGACGAACTGGTGAAATATCAGCACAGCTTCCCTTCGCGGAAACGGCGGAACTTACATATCTCAACAGCTCTTCTACCACCTCGGTCTTCCCAGACATGGCCGCTGTCTCGATGGCGTCACGGAACAACTTGTCTTGTTTTGACAGTGCAATCGACTTTTCCCATCGCTTGTTCTTTCGATAGATCTGGGCTGCAATTTGCCGGAAGAACACTAGTTCATGTTTCTCGAGACGTTGCGCGAGCTCGACGGCATCGTAATTGTCGTAGTTCTCCACCGAATCCTTGAGGGTCTTGTAGTCTTCTTCCTCGATGAGAAGATTGTGAATCGCATTGTTGACGACGCGCTTGTTCTGGCCCTGCACGTTGAGCAAGAAAGGCTTGATCAGAGGTGTGTTGTCAGACTTCTCAAACATGCGCACGACGCGGTTGACATCGATGCGCGGTGTCAGAGCCTGCAGCAAGTCGGTCAACAAAAGGGGCTGCTCCTGGAGATAGTGGTTGAGAGCTCGGTAGTAGATCTCCAAGTTGGCCGTCTTGACAATCACTTCTTTGAAGGAGTGGTGTTCCCAGGCGTCGGCGGCACGTTCCATCATGGCCAGAGCTGTGGATCTCCGTTAGCCTGTACCATCACCGACAGGACGATTGGAGTAGCCTCGCGTAGGACAAGGGAACTTACCAGCATTGTCCCATTCATCATAATGGCAGTACAGGAAGATGAGCTCGGGCCAGAGATGTGACTCCTCGGTGGCTTTGATCATCTGCCATCATGGTCAGCCCGAACTTTCGGTACAACAACAACCATCACGTTACCTTTGGAATATTTATGCGACTCCAGAACAGCTTGAGATGCTCCATCACACGTTCAGGATGATATTTGGACAAAGCGATCCCCAATTCTGTAAAGACGCCCATGTGAACTCGTTCAAGACCAAGGCCGGCCTCAAGTAATGAGATTAGCTCCTCGAAGTAGCCTTCTCGTTCATACTGCTTGACAACTTCTTGCAGTTCTTCGGCGTGGACGATTAGGTTCAGACCACAGATTTGAGCCAGGCGGAACTCTTTCTTTGCAACACAAGCCTCGTTGACTTGCTTCCACACCTTGACGCTGTTCGCACGTCGAGCGCAATCGACAGCATTCTGGTATTCACCGAGATGTACGAGCGTCGTAGCGAGCTTGGCCCAGTTCGAATTGTTGGTAAAGAAAACTTTAGCAGCTTGATGGTAGCCCTCCTCATATGCTTTGTCGCCGCAAGCCTCAACGTCAGCGACGTTAGCAGAGCGCAAGAAGTCCTCAAGCTCAGGCAATTGATCGAGCCGGGCATAGCTGAAAGCAAGTGCAGTGTCAACGGCGGGTTCGCGTTGCGTCTTTCTCGCCATCTTTAAGAAACGCACAAGATCCTCGTCCTTGCCGGCGTGGGTAGCGGTCTCAATCACTTCGTTGTAGTTCGAAGGATCCTGGGCTCTCAGGTAGGACTCAATGGCGTCAGTAATGCGCAGACCATCGAGTTGAGCTTTGGCGACTTTGCTCCAGACTTCTGGCAAGTCGACTCTTTCGGCGTACTCTTGAGCACGGTCGATGCTGACAATGTGGTCGACGAGGACATTAGCAGCCGAGACGTGATCGTTAACCTTCTCATAGATCGCCAGAGCTTCCTCATAGAGTCCTTGGGATATGGCAACGTTTGCTATTTCCTCAGACGAGAACTCGTTCAAGCGTGAGATGTAGTCCATGAGACGGCCTTTATGGGCTTTGCAGGCTGTCAACAAAAGGAGGTTTTGAAGACTAGCATTGTCGCTGAAGATTGTTGGCTCAAGAATCAACCTTTCGAGGAGCTCAATGAGTTCACCGGGCAGGTCGGCGTCCAAGAAGGCTTTGACAGCCACGGCAACTTTGTCTGGCTCAGTACTTTCCGGGGCAGCAGTGGCAATGACCTGGTCGATGAGGGATCTTCGGTGAGGGTTGTTGTCAGATAGGACGAAACTCCAGACCTCAGGGTCGGCGCGTTCAAGGACATAACGTGCTTGAGCGCGGTGCATACCGTTGTCGTTCGTCAGATTTATGAGTTCAATATCATGCTGTCCCTTCGAATATGCGATGAAGGCGAGATTGGGATCGCGCTTCTCTAGATATTTCCCCACTGTCTCAGTGGAGTAGAAATTGTTCTCCTTCAAGAATGCTTCAGGGTTGTTGTTGGAGTCTGATCATCAAGTAACTTGTTAGCGAAAGATCTTTGAGTAAAGATGCGGCGATAACGACGGATGGTGATTGTAGGTTAGCAGACGCTACTCACCGATAGCAATCTTAGCAAGTGCATTATGCACTGCTGGGGTCTGATCACCAGCGGCTAAAGCCGTCTCGAGGAACGGCAGGAGCAGCTTGAGGCGGTTTTGATTCTCAACCTCGCTGACCAACTCATCCATAGGGACAGCTGCAGGGTCGATCGAGGACAGGAGATTCTTGATGATAGACTCTTCGCAATCAAGAGCGAGCAATGCTCCGACCACGGCTGGCGTCCGCGCAGGGTTTATGCGTTGCACGTATGCCTCGATGCTTTTGTACTGTTGAGAGCGGTACAGATGGATCACAAGGTCCTTAACGAAGTTGTATCGATCGCAGACGATGATCAGGGGAAGCTGTTCAGCTAGACGTGCTTCGATGAGGAAGTTCTTGACTTTTTCAGGGTTCTGCTCGATGTTAGCCTCCAGGACTTTGGCGGGACGACTAAGAACTCGGACTCTGGGCAAGCGAAGACAGATATTAGTGGTGTACTCACGTAGTGGTTGTTCTCACGAACGATGCGTTCCACTTCCTGAAATTGCTGCATGGTGACTGCAGCTTCGAGATATTTGAATACGACGTTCTCGTCCTCGCTGAGATTCACAATGCTTCCAAGGTAGTAGTAGAGACCTTCTGCCGTGCGGTGCTTCTCAAATAGTGCGATTAGACGGCTGGAACCCAGCAGGTCCGAGTACTTGGTGGCAATTTGTACCACAGCCGCCAGGTTTTGACGAATGTTCGATGTCAACATTGCATCCATGCTGTCAAGTGACTGTTCGACTGACATGCGGCCAAAATATTGTTGGAGCCACTCCGGGTTGAGCTTGTCGGTCTGAACAATGATGCGCTTGATTGATGCTGGGTCGTCGGTGTTCTCGAGAGCGCGCTGCAGGAGGCCGGCCTGTTCGCAAAGCTGAGCAATTCTCGCCTTGTCATAATGAGAAAACATCTCGTTGCCGAGAATGGCATCCGCAACCTGCGGTGCGTTGATCAGGTTCATCTCCAGAAGTCGAGTTTGTAGAGGTCCTTGCTCTGGTTGGTTATCCCTGAGAGCATCGAGCAGAAAGGCGGTTGCTTGTTGGACCATGTTTTGGGACATGAAGATATCAACAACTCTGCTGATGTCGACCAAGGGACCACCTGGGTTATTCACAAGCTGGGTTGCAAACTCGGCGCCCTTTTCGGGATTGGCGCGAACGATGTGCTGCAATAGGCCAGTGAAGTCTGGTTGATAACCTGCCTCGCGCGCGTATGGGATGACTTCATCAAAGCGACCAGTTTCTGCCAGCGCTGCGACCACCTTGGGAGGCACATTTGCTTCGCGGTAGATTGTCAAAGCGAGCTCGAGGTCGTGCAACCGAACGATGTCCCCAAGCTCCTCTGAAGACTCCAACTTGCCTTCGCTCATCCATTTATCGAGCAAGTTTTTACGATTTTGTGCTAGAACCGGCTTTATCAGCTCCACACTTTCGTATTTGTTCAGCTTGCCCTTGTCGAGAAGCTTGCCGAAATATTGAAGAATGACAGAGAGTTGTCCAGGTTGTTGAGGTGCACTCTTGAAACGGTTGATTGTTTCTGGGGTCCTCAAGAACCCCCGTGGAGAGTTGGCTGCGACCTCGGCGGCTTCTGAGTACTGGCCTTGCGCAAAGAGTGTCTCAAATTGCTGTTGATAGAGGTTGTCGGCACCTGGCAAGCCAGCTCGCGACGCTAGTTTCACGGCCAGGGAGGAGTTTGCGGGATTCTGGAGTAGGTACGGGATAATGGTGTTCTCATCGACACTGACAGAGAGCACTTGACCCTTTCGATTGATTCCCACGATGCCCGACGACTCGGAATCTGGTGTGGTGATGAAAATAGTCTCGCTCGAAATTCTGTTCATGAAGATGCACGTGGCGGTCTCGAGGTCGTAAAGATGAATGAAGCCGTACTTGGTGATCATGTAAATGATGCTGTACTTCTTCGAAATCTGCATGGCCACGGGGAAGTCGTTGACCGCTTCATCCGGGAAGTAGACATCCACAGCTTTCTTGACGAAGCGGGTATTGTTCTCGCTGGGATCAATCTCGACCACGTGAAGCTTGCCTTGTCCGGCAGCGTTCCGAACCGCGAAGGTGAAGAGTTTGTGGGGATTGGGATTGCCCTCAGCATGAAAGGTCCCAAATGCAGCAGCATGACCTTCGATGTTTTGGGAGATGCCACGATTCTTCGAGTACAGCTGCATGGAGCCCACAACCCGTCCTTCTCTTTGAGAGATGCCGACAATGACCATCCACTGTTCATCATCGTTTACACGGTAGTTGATGATTTGACAGCCACTGAGATTCGCGTTTCGCTCGAAGACCTTGACAGGCGCAGTTTGGGTGGGATCGAAAACATCCCAATGATACACCGAAGTATCAGTGACCAAGCCCAAGCTCCGCTCGCTATACCACTTCCAGAAGACGACATCTTCGTTCATGATTGTGGACTTCAACTTGGCCTTGGCTCCGAGATCGAAGACCTGGATTGTTCTTCCCTGAGCCTTGAGAGCCAGGATCTCGCGGCTGAAGTGCATGATGGCGCTGTCGGCGCTGATGGCACGCTTGATGACTTCATTGTTGTTCTTCAGGTTTATGATTATGACTTGAGGCTTGTCTTGTTCATTAAGTTTCTGCCGTACGCAGACGAAGTGGTCGGATTCTAGTGTCTGCCAGCACGGTCAGCGCAGGGAAAGGGTGAAGCCAGGTCGGCGCACTTACACAGGTGTTGAAGGATATTGAAGCGGGCTGTCAGGGAGAATCAACATCAGCATTGAAATTCGACATTGTGTGAGCAAAGTGTCGCGCGTCTGTAGACAGCTTGTAATGAAATTGCGCCCGGGGCAGACCAGGGAGGACATAACCATACCGCGATGTCGAGACTCGTCAACTATGATTCATATGTCAGTAACAGCCAGAGCTTCGATAGACTGTTCTGGCCTACCTGAACCAGCTCAGTGAACCGAATAGGCAGCGCCATGGTTGCGACCGGCCTGTCGCGGCCTCATGCACTTGTGAGGAAGTTGACGGGTCGCTCCGCAGGACGCCTGGTGGAACTACTGGAATCGAAAAGGGGCGCAAAGGAGTGTGGAACGAAGAGAAGAGACTGCGAAGGAGACACCACGAAAGGCGTGGCGTAGGGAGCAGACTAAAGAGGAGTGCGAGGATGGTGGTTTGAATGTTGATGAGCTCCTGGGAAATCGACACCTGTAAAGAATAAGTGAGCGACCCTAACGGGAACGCTCTGCAGAAGCAGCCAAAAGCAGCAAGGTGCGACGTGCCTGGCCGCTACAGTGGCTCAGTGGCCCAACTGGCGCAGTGATTCGGACTCGCCAAGGAGCTCGAGCTGAAATTCAATTGGGGGCGCATATCACGTGTCGGACACTCAATACCAGGGCCAACCACGCGAGTCTGCCACGATCTGCGTCATCGCAGCCAGTCTGGCACCACGGGGTCTTTTTCCTCTCTTCTGCCGTTGAAGCCACTTGATACATAACTTTGCCCTCCTCCAATATTTCCACAAAAGTGATGAGCATAAGACCACTTATCAGAGCAAATCGCGGACCTCTCCCGTTGTCGCTCGGTCCTAGATCGTCGCTGTCCTTGGTCCGTTACTCCTCCTCATTGCCCACCAGCGCAGCTGTGAAGTCGACCTCGAGCTCAGGGCCAAACTCCACGAGCACGCACCGTCCAGGGGGCCAGAGTGATCGCCTTAGCTTCTTTCCTTTCCTCCTTCTCTTCCTTGCCAGTAGCGGCGGCTATCTTTTCCTCGTGAAAAAGAGAACGGGCCAACAAAACACCGTCTCGAGCGAGAGTCGCCGGAAAGCACACACCGAACGGTAGAAGATGGCCGCTCCACCTGCAATTGATCCCACATCAGGAGCGTCGCCACTGGTCCAGCCAGACGCCCCACTCGCCTCGACGAACGTCTCTCCTGCATTCGACCCTCAAAAAGTCACCGTGGTGTACGTCCTGGGAGGCCCCGGCGCTGGAAAGGGCACGCAATCTGCAAATCTAGTGCGAGACTACGGCTTTGTACACCTCTCAGCAGGCGACCTACTGAGGGAAGAGCAAGACAACGAAGGCAGTGAGTATGGTCAGCTGATCAAGGACTACATCAAGGACGGAAAGATAGTACCCATGGAAATTACGGTAAAGCTGCTGGAGAACGCTATGCGCTCAAACATGGGTAGCGAAGTATCAGGAAAATTCCTGATCGACGGGTTCCCGAGAAAGCTGGACCAGGCCGTCTTCTTCGAGCAGTCCGTCTGTCCATCTCGGTGTACGTTGTTCCTCGACTGTCCTGAAGAAGTCATGCGTGAACGGTTGTTGAACCGAGGAAAGACAAGTGGGCGATCGGATGACAATGAGGAGAGCATAATCAAGCGGTTCAGGACGTTCGTGGAAACGAGTATGCCCGTCGTGGACATGTTTGAGAAGGATGGAAAAGTCGTCAAGGTCTCAGCTGTGGGAGATGTGGGGGAGGTCTATGAGCATGTTGTCGAAGGCCTGGCGTCGATGGGGATATCGCCCTCGAAATGAGAAGCACACTCGAAAAACGGAAGGGTGGAAGTCGACTTCCTAACCTAAATCAACCCTGACAAGTGCATGAACCGTGCCAGCATCCTTGTCGAGCGACGCGGCTTCAGTCACCCGAGCACATCTCTGCGGCCAACAATCGATTGCCCTGGCTCGGGGTTGAATTCTGTTAGAGCTCTCCTGAGACGTCGCTACTTTCACTGTCATCGCTGCCATCGGTATCGTCAAACCCTTTGAAGTCTGCGTCTTCGTTCCCAAGTTCCCCGGATTCCACATCCCCTTTCGCCGGCAACATCACAAACGCCTTCAGGCAAGTGATCCTGTTGCTGGTCTCATACACCCCGACCAACGTCCCCAAATGTGAGCCTAGTTCCTGCTTCTGCTCTAGCCTATCGCAGAGACTGGAGAGTGGCACCTGAATGATACGGATCGTACCGTCACTGCTTGCTGTGATGATGACCATGATGTTCTGCTCATCGGCGGTGGGTTGGACAAAGAGAATCTCAAAGTCCTTGATCCGCGTGTTGGTTCCAGCTGCCCTGCCGCCAACCGTCGCAATCAGGGTAGCATCCGGAACTGATGAGTCTGCTTGATCGTTGCGGATTCCGTTGGTGGCTGAGATCGTCTCGGATAGATAGAAGAGGATCCTCCCGTCCTCGGTTGACACCGCCAGAAGACTTATCTCTCTGTGCCCGTCCCGTGTCAACGAAACATAGCACATCTGGTGCAATTTCGTCAATGGCGTTGGTAAAACCTTACATCTCGGCTTCGAGTCCTCCCCGAACACAACAGCACCTCTTTCAAATGCGACTGCAAACTCACTGCCGTCCGGACTCCACCTGATCCTTCGCCCTTCGCCGCTGCTGTACTTCCCTTCCCGTATACTCTGCAAGATTTCGCGGTTGAAGTTCAAGACACCGGCTTTCTTTCCTGTCACAAGGTTCCACAGTCTCATGCAGCGCTCACCACGACCGACGGTCAGCATGAGTTTTAGACTGGGATGCACCGAGAAGTCGTTGATACCAGCAGGCGTGCCGCCTGGTGGTGCAGTATCACCGCTGGGCTGGCCCTGGACCTTTGGACGCGGTGCCTTGATGGTGGATACCACAGCCAGGTCTTTCAGTCGTGTGATGGCTATGGTGTTGTCTTCAGAGCTGGACAGGAGTTTCGACCTGGTGGGGAAATGTAACGCCGTGATGTGCGATGAATGCTGAAGAAGAGTGCCTAGCTCCCTATTCCTGGGATTCTCGGAAATGGTGTTCTTACCCAGAGAGGGCATGGGTGGAAGTCTCTCATTTTCGGACACGGGAGAGGCGGCGAGATTGAAGACGTTGATTTTCTCATCTGAGCCGCCGGTGGCCAGATACACACCTTGATTTTCCGATGAGTCCTGCTCTGGAAGCGGCGATAAAGCTAGACAGCGTACAGCTCCCGCATGTGCATTGAACAGAAAAGTGTCTGCGAATTGCACCGATGGGGAGGACTCAGATGACGAGAGGTTCAATATGGATGCTGTAATGCCATGCAGAACTCGTTCATAGGAACCTGCCACAATCTGAATCACGGGCACTGTGGTCTTGACATCGACGTGGCCGTTGGTTTTGGCGACTTTAGAAGCACCGTCGTTGCCGTTTGTGCTGTTGCCCGTCCTGCTGGTGCTCGTCGTGGCCGTATCTCGTTTTCTTTTAGCCATCAGGAAATTTTTTGCGGATCCCAAATTTCAAAATTGGAGAAGTCTGCCTTGACAATCAAGTGGCTTGAACAGAATGGGCAGCAGAATTGCAGTTGCAGACGGACATATGAAGTCCAGAGGGGATCCTGCCTGCCGGCAGCGTGGAAGTAGTGCTGAGACTCAGTCAGATACCTACTCAATTGTGGACTGTTGTGAACATTTCGCAGTAAGGAAAGGACAAAAGTCGTCGGAGGTGCGAGGGTGGATGCCTGTAGTTAGATTTGGTGGGTGGACCCTTTGAGGGAAGGTGCGCCTTTAGGCGTCGATTCGGAGCAGGGCAATGAGTTTAGGGGGGTGCAGCCATCCATCACTTACACCCCCGCCTGGCTTTGCCCGCAAAACGTTTGGTCTCTTTGGTCTCTGAACTGCACCCTGTGAGCCTGCGGCATCACCAGAACAGCCAACTCCCACAGGCCACTTACCACAGCGACATTCCGCCTTCGACAGCCACAATCAACAACAACGCGCCCAAACAATTACTTTTGAGACCTCATCCCATCTCGTTCCCGTCGTCTCAGTCTTCTGGCGAATTTTCAGCAATTAATTCGGATGGTTTCTCGTACTTCTCCTCGACGCCGCCGATGCCGATGAAATGCCCGTCGAGCACTTACGCTCGAAGAAGTCTGAAGCACAGTCAGTAATATTCATCAAAACCCACAGGGTTGCTTTCCGAGTATGCCAGCATATACTGATGCGATATCATGAATTACAGACGCCTGGTGCAGTCAAGAAAGCGCAAATTAAATGAACTCTTCTCCATCAGTATACCAGCCCATGACCCGACATACAAGCAGAAACTCCAAGCCTTCCACGATGCAAATGATCTGGAAAAGTATGAATTCCTTGTCGCTGGTACATATGTACCACCATCCCAATTTGCATGAATTTTGTTGCCTGTCTGGTCGCGTTCTCACAGCTCTACAGAGGGTGCCGCTTCGACGAGAACACGCTCCCGCCTCTATCCCATATAGTACTACGATCTCGCAAGTCTGCACCAAAACAACCTCATACAGCCGCCTCGCCACCTCCAGCCACTATACAGCAGCCGAAATTCGCCTCAAAAACCACTGCACCGTCGTCGCCAACACCAAAACCCACGCCCAAACCGATCGCAGCGAGACAGACACCGCCCACCCCGAAGCCGCTTGAAGGGAATGAGCGTGATGAAGTCGCGACATCTGTGACCGGGGAAGACCACGGACTGGGCAACCAAGCGACGGCATCGGCGGGGTTGAATACACAAAATGGCGATTTTGTTGCAAGTCCAGACAGAGGCGACCGTCGGTCGAAGTCTCCTAGGGTGCCGGCCGTCGAGGCAACTGCTATAGATCAAAGTGATGGTACTCTTCTGGAATCTCCTGGCGCAAGAACAGGCACTGCGTCCTCGGCGGTCGCAGAAACACGTCCTTTCCCACCAGTCGACCATCGATCAAGCCGGACCCCTCCTCCTCTTGCACCAATTGCACCACCTGTTGATCCTCAATCTTCCCCAGCCTCGAGCAATGGTCCGGACTCCTCAAATACTCCGGCTCCGGATGCTGGCTCTCCTGGCACGAGTCCTGGAGTCGATGTTGCGTCTGCCACATCTCTTGTCTCCCAAGCTAGCAAGGCTAAGGATACTGGCCAACCTGATTCAGGTCTATCTTCTGCGCATCAAGATAGAGACTACCAGCGCGGCGCCGGCAGGACAGGAACTCCATCTATTGACGTCGAAATGACTGGTGCAAACGGCGTAGGATCTATCAGTTCGAATTGGGCTGATCAAAGCAAGCTCTCCGCAGAACCATCCAAAATTCCGAGCCCTCAACGACCAGCGATGCAAATAGACACGCGAACAGAGAGCGACTCCTACTTCAAAGCACGACCTAGCGGTGGCCTTGTTGAGAGTCCTGCTCAACTGACGGGTATTTCCCCCAGGCGGAACGTCCCAGCAACTCCATCGGTCGAGGAGCCCCCAAAACGTGCGACGCGAATATCTTCTGGTGTCTTGCAGAAGAAGTCTGTCTCTGAGATCCTTGGTGAGACGCCGAGGACGACAACCCCACAGGCAGATTCTCCTCGTGATTCTTTCGGTGCCACAACACCTCAGGGTCGAACAGCCGAACGTGACCGACGGGACAAGGATCGGAGTAGGCTATCGACAGTGGTCTTCGCCAAGCGCGAGAAAGCCGTTGGCGGCGACGAGGACAATCTTGAAATGGTACCATTTGAAGGTGAGGCACAACGCAAAAGTCCTGCGGATCGAGACTATCTCTACACTCTGTTTGAGAACAAAGCGCACTCTATGTCGCGGCAAACGTCGATGTCCTACCTTATCCAGAATGCACACAAGACCTTGTCGACATCAGATCACCTCATCGAGTACGAGCTATCTGCGGAGTGCCGAATACTCAAGCGCCTATATCAGTTACAGGAGAAGCAACGTTGGGCTCTGCGGCAATACAAGCGTGCGGAAGAAGCTCCGAGGCCAACCTCTCACTGGGATTTCTTGTTGGACCACGTGAAGTGGATGCGCACTGATTTCAAAGAGGAACGAAAGTGGAAGATGGCGGCCGCCAGGGGACTTGCAGAAAGTTGTGCCGACTGGGTTGCAAGCTCTGCTGAGCAGCGGCGGCGCCTCCAAGTGCGAGTCCGGCCACCGAAACTACTCTCTAAACCTGCCATCTCTGACGATGTCGCCATGGAAGACGAACCGGTTGCAAGCTTGTCGTCACAACCGACACCTGAATTGGTGCCTTCTAACGAGGATGATTCCATGAGCGACGATGTTGCAGAACTTCGAGATGTGCAGATCTCCCGTGCCCCTGCCGCTTTATTCTCGTTGGGGCCGTCGGACTTCAACTTCGCTGTCGATCAAACACCGGCACTGGACAAGCTATTGAACGAGCTACCGCTGTACGGGCCCTATGGCGAACCCGACACGTCCAAATCTGGTCTGGCGGAACGGCTTGATGCGAAATGGAGGACCGATATCGTACCTGTGTCAAGATGGGCGACCGAGAAATTGCCAGTCAAGGACCATAAACCTCCGGTCAAACAGAGTCGATACGACTATGACCTTGAACCCTCGCCAAAGAAGAAGTCGGACCCCCTCCCACCTGAAGAGACGAACGTTGCGCTGTTCATGCCTGAGAACAAAATCATCAGGGATAGAATACATCCAGGCCATTCATTCCGTCCGCCATCGGAGCATCCAATGCCTACACAGGCCTTCTTCGAGACAAGATCGTCGTCGCAATGGACCGCCGCCGAAGACGACGAACTCAAGCGACTCGTCAAAGACTACTCCTACAACTGGTCACTTATCTCCAGCTGCCTCACGCCCCCGAGCCTGTATACTTCTGGTGCAGATCGTCGGACGCCATGGGAATGTTTCGAACGATGGATTGGATTGGAAGGCTTACCGGCGGATATGTCTAAGACGGCATATTTCAAGACCTACTCCGGCAGAATTGAAGCAGCAGGCCGACACGTGGCTGCTCAGATCGAAGAGGCTCAGCGGAGAGCGGGCGCCAATGTCCAGATCTCCGCACGCCGGCGAACCACCCAACCCGTCAAAGTCGAGCGGAAGAGAACACAGCGGCACCTTGCCATGCTCGATGCCATGCGTAAGCTGGCCAAGAAGAGAGAGACGGCTTTGCAGAAACAACAACACCAAGCAGATCTTGCAGCGATGCGGAAAGTCAACGATGCAAATGTTCCAAAGCCATCTTACAAGACTCCAGCTGAATTCTCGCAGCTCAAGCAGGAGAGGGAACAGAAGCTTGCCGAACGACAAGAGATATACCGGCAGCAACTCATCGCTCACCAGCGTGCTACCGCACAGCAACAACGTACCCAGAACGGTCAACCTAATGGTCTCCCGAACGGCATGCCTGCTGCTGCACCTGGAATGCGGGCGCCTTCGATGGGTAGCATGCCAGGAATGCCGAATGGCAATATGCAGATGCCCAATGGTCATCGTCCCCATCCAGCAATGATAGCCGCAATGCAGGGAAATATGCAGTTGCCGCCAGGCATGATGGCGCCTAAGCTGACGCCGCAAATGCAGGCACAGATGCAAGCCCAATTGGCCGCGCGTGGTGGCATGACTTCACCACAGCAGATGCGGATGCTGCAGGAGGCTACTCGCGTGCAACAAGAACAGCTCATGCGCCAAGCTCAACAAGCTCAGAATGGTCCTCACTCGTCTCCCAACAATCCTCATGTTGCTCTCGCTAATGGTCAGGGCTTGAACAATGCCGCCTACCGTGCTGCGATGGCCGCCGCTGCTAATGGCAACGGATCCCCGTCTGGACCGCTGAACGGCAGCTCGCCTCGCCCCAATACCGCGAATTCCGGTCAAGCTTTGTCGAGCGGGCACGTTCCTGTCCTGACTCAGATCGCAAACAAGATTCGAGAACACCACCCTAATCTCTCGGACGAAGAGGTGCAGCGGCTTGCATCGCAACAGCTCCAGACGTACCAACATCAAGCAACCCAAGCCGCAGCGGGACATACGAGCCAAAAGCGTCCTCAGCACAACCAAGCTGCCCTGAACGCCGCCCTTGGAGCTATGAATGCCGGCAACAATGCCTCAGCAGCTACCGCTACCGCTGCTGCCGCGGCTCAACTCGGACACCCGGGCATGATGACCAACGAGCAGGTCCAACAGTACAACCAACGCATCCGCATGCAGCAGGCTCAACAGCACGCGCAGCGTAACCTACAAGCGATGCAGATGCAGCAGCAGATGGGTGGAGGGATGGCGAATGTCAACGGCTTGGCCGGCTCTCCTGTCATGAATATGGCTCGGCCAGTGAGCCAGCATGCCAACCCCCAGGGACAGATGAGTCGTAGCGCGACGCCGAGGGACCAGCGGAGTGGGAGTCAGAGCGGTATCAACGGCAACGGTCCTGGCAACGGGCAAGGGCAGCAAAGCAGTCCGAGACAGCCGGCTCAGAGTATGCAAACCTAAGGAGCCAGCCGGAAGCCGAGGGCATCCACCGGCGTACTATGTATAAGAGACTAGCGAGTATTGAATTGCAGCTTTGATCAATGATCCTTGATTGCATGAGCACTGACTGTCTCAATCTTTAATTTACGCACCCGTTCAACGCAAGGCTAGAGGCTTCGGCAGGAGTATTCTTGCTTCCCCTGCCCCTCTTTCAGACCGTTGCTCATGCCGTTGCTCATGCTCATATCGAGCTAGCAGCTTCAAGCAAGCCTCGTTCATTCCACATTGGAACTCGTGTCTCCTTGTTTCGTATCTTTTCCTTTCCTTTCCTGGCCCGTGTCGTTTCCTCCAACGGCAGCGTCTTACGGCTCCTTGATGCCATTTCTCTGCAATTTCCGCTCCAGGGCATCGAGAACCAGATCGCCTTCCCAACGGGCGTGCGCGTGGAAAGTAGTATGATGTGCAGACACCTAGTCCCCACCAACCTCAATTTCTCGCTGCTGATTTTGTTGGAGATCACGGTCCCGGTCCCGATCGCGCTCGCGGTCGCCGCCACGTCGGCCCCCCCTTCCTCCTCCGCCTCCTCCGCCGCGACGTTGTTGACGCTCACCCCGGTTGTAGCCTTGGTTGTCTCCGTCGCGATCACCGTATCCGTTGGCACGTCCGGCGTCCTCGCCTCCGTTCACGCCTTCTCGTAGGAACCTCTCCCGCTCGTTTCTCACGACGGTCAAGACGCTCTCTAGGCTGCGTCGCCAGACCATCAGCCGCCCTTGGATCTCGGCCCATTGTTTCTCCCCGAACACTCGGTATGTGGCGCGCTGGACCAGGAACTCCCCTTTCATTTGACTGAGTTTCCCTTCGACCAGTCCCGCGCGGATGGTGTCGATGACCCACATTTCGACGTCCTCGCTGGGGATTTGGAGCGCCTGCGCGATCTGTGCGTAGGGGACGCTGCGCGTGGCGGTTGTGGCGGCGATTGAGGAGAGAGTCAGGAGGCGGATCTTGTTGGCCAGCAGGTCGGCTGCCGAGTCTGGAATGGACAGGGAGGAGAGAGAATTAGTCTCCAGAAAGTCGAGGTACGCGGAGTAGTCGTCACTGGAGAAGATTTCGAGCAAGTCGAAGAGCGCGGCGTCGCTGCGGCGGAGGGCGATGATGGCGTCGTTGTCCGTGAGGGGCGTGAAGTCTGTGATCGAAGGGTTTGTGAGTGCTGTGATGAGGGTGCGGCGGGCTAGGGAGGCCGACTCCTCGGCTGAAGCGTGTTTGGATTCGATTGTTTGCAGCGCTCGCAGAAGGTATGTGTATTCTAGATCGCTGTTACCTTGGGCCGAGGCCACGTCCGCGACGGCGACGAACAAGGTTCGGGCGTCGTCATCGTCAAGGGACCACGACTGCAGCCAGAAAGGGATGTTCGTCTCGAGTTGGGGTATCAACGCCTCAAAGGCCTGCGTGCTAGACGTGGCGCGGATGACTCTCAGGATGGCCAGGAAGACGTGGTAACGACTTTCGCTGGAGGGTGAGAGAACGTTGAAGATCGTAGTCAGGGTCTGCACGGCGAGGCTGCCGCCGTAGACGGGGGAAGATGTGACCGGGCCCTCAGAGAGGTAGGTGCAGAGTCTCGCGAAGATTTGGTCGCTGATGGTGGATTGAGTAGCGAGCGAGATGAGGAGGTTGTATGCTGCCGTAAACTCTGTGGACTTCATGTCAGGTCTCTCACTCTCTGGGAAACGACAGATTGGCTGCTTTCATACCTCTCTCCGGAGCGCCGTTGAGAACCTGTGCCCGAGTGACGATCTTCTTAAGAACTTCATTTTTCTGATTTTGCACAGTGGACTCGTCCACGCCCCCCTCCTGTGACTGCTCCGATTCTCTGATGCCGGCTAACAGCTGTTGGATTTCCGCTTGCGCGCCGTTCCCCTCGGCTTTAGCGAGGTTGTCGACGTACTGGGCGAGTTCTTCAGCAAGTTCGGAGAAGGTTCCCTCGATGAGGAGGGTATTTGTGGGCGCGGGCATGATGGCGGTCTTGCACGGAAGGATGATATCGTCGAGGGCTGGAGAAGAAAACTCTACTCGCAAGTCAGGGGCGCCGAAACGAGGGCACCGTTGGTTGAGTGCATTTCACAACCTGCTCGTCTTGTCGACAAAGTGGAAGTGGCTCTGCGAAATCTTGGCGGCGCAGCCAAAGTGAATCTGCGAGTTTGTCCGTAGTGGGTGCGTCGACCATGCCGCTTTAGGGTCTTGCGAGTATGAATCGTGGGTGCTCGGCACGTGTCCGCCCTAATCGTGGGTGCGGAGATCATGCCGCTTTCAGATCTCGACATCTACTCGCTCCTCACCCTTCGTCTAGCTCTGCTTACTTCGACTTCTCAGTCGGCTCGTGCTTTGTACATAGAAGTCTCCCTTGTCCCATGTATCTGTATGGATGTTTTACCTGGTAATTTCAAGGGCAAAAACATCCAGGTGGATGCGTATGGGTGAAGTAAACATGGCCGTCGGAGAAAGCAGCAAGGATTGGCAGCAAGAGTGGCGTTGCATCTCTAGGGTGCATTGTCAGAATTCTTCTTTCATATTCAAGGTAGACCAACTGGATATGACACAGAAACCCTTGCAATGCCCGCCCTGTACGCTCCGAGGAATATGCTCAGAACACATCATCCACCGCCGTTGTTGCTCCAGTACCTGGGACTGGCACGGCTGTGTTGTTCTTCGCCGCCATCTCATCTTCGATAAAAACTCCAAGTCCAGCAAATGCCCGTAGAAGACATTCATCCATGTACTGTCCAAAGTCGTAGCCCGCCGCAAGCATCGCTTCCGCCGGCTTTCCTTTAGCACGGGCGATGTAGCTGTCCTTGACTTCGTAATAGTCCATCTTGCGTGGCATACCCATGAATGGATCGTAGGGTGCCTCCGCTTCACGAATGACTTTCTTCTTCAATCCCTTGATCAGACCACTTGGGTCTGCGATGGTCGGATCAACGTCCTTCTTCTTGGTAGCCTTCTTGTCCGACTCGGTCGGGGCATCATTCGAATCCACCTTCAGGCCGTTCGCAATGGCATATTCCTTCAGCTTACGGTTCGTGGCTGATACGTCTGTCCGGAGCACCAGATTCATGATCAGCTCTTCCCGCAGCTCCAGAAAATCATCGTAGTCGCGCTTCGTCTCAAACTCTTCCTCTTGACGATCGAGGCTGAATGCGTCGGGTTAACCACAATGTGACAGACGACACAAAGACGGGACTTACATCTTGTTGACCCTCTTCCGGATCTCGACCTCACGTTCGATCTTGAGGTCTTCGAACGTTTGCGTCCGCCATTCTCGTTTCCAGAGGCTGACATGACATCCGGCTACCGGACACTCTGCTTTGCCCGAGGAGAAGTTGCGGTCCACACAGCCCTCACATATTCGGTGATAGCACTTGGTGTTGATCTTGAACCGAAGGCCAGGGTGCGTCCGAGGATCACTTCCGCAAACTGGACACTTGTTGGGAGCTACTCCGTCTAGAGTCAGTACACGTTGTCTGGAGAATCTTCATGCAGGCTCGATCTCACGGTTCAAATCATCGTCATCCATGACAGAGTCTATGCCTTGTCAACGCTTCCGCGTCTCTGATACTCCCCCGAGTTGACGGACTTCACGAATTGCAAGTATGAATATGCTCTCCGGGCTTCATCTTGGGACGAAAGGGATCAATAGCGGGTCTTTTGGACACGGACGTGAGACACAGGTGACAACAATGTGAAGAAAGATGCAGGTGAAACAGCGACGCGGTGGCAGCAACGGCTTATGTAATTTGAAATGACAAATCTTTTACATGTGGCGTTCAAAATTCCATACAATGAATTCTTCAATTTTTGATCTCTTCTAACCGCAATCTAGCCTGTGCGGCTCCATCATTGGTGACCCGCGAAGACACCCGTGTCATTTGGCTCCCCACAAGATTGATGGACCCATCAGCGCTTGCCCGCGTCGAGCGGCAGCGAGCAGAGCTCGAAACCAACATCACCAAACTCCGCAAAGCCCTGCGACACTGGCAGGCTCTGGAGATTGACTATGAAGGGCTTCGGGAAGAATTCTTGGGCCTTCCGAAGGACTCTTCCCCCAAGGAGTGCCTGCAAGCTGCTAAAGACTCCAAACCTGAACTTGTGGACGAAAAAGAGCTACAGGAGCTGCTGGTAGACGCCAGTTCCCGCCCTCGTCGTCCTGTCCAACTGGTTCATTTGCTGTCGAAACGGGTTGACTATGTTACCCGTAACATTGAGGCGATCCGCAAACAATTGTCTGATGCGGAAAAGAAACGGAATGCCCTTCTCCTCGCTGAAGAACCGAGCCATAGGGATGAGGCTGGGCTTCCACTGGCCGAGATCACCGAAGAGCTCGATGAGGAAGGGAATGTCATTTCAAGCAAAGTGCAGACTCCCGGCTCAGATGCCGCCCAATTGATGGATGTGTTGAAGAAGGCGGGAGTAGAAGACCTAGAAGACTTGGGTGGCACCATAACCAAGGCTGCCCCATCGAGCAACCCTGAGGTGGCGGCAACATCTCAGTCTCAGAATACCGTCGACACCAAAAGTCAACACACAAACGTCTCGATAGACGAGCTACCCACGAATTCCTTCGATACACCCGATGAAGCCGAATTACGCCGTGAGATGCTTCAATACTCACGGGGCTTGGATGAAGTAGGAGCTATTGTGGCTGAATTAGAGCTCGAGGAGGAGACATCGGATGTCGTAGAAGATGATGATGACGAGCTTGATCTGGACTTCGACTCCGAGATGGATATCGAGGAGGAAACAGATGAGGATTCAGAAGATGACAGCGGCAAAAGCAACCGTGGGCTGTTCCTGTCGCGAAGATATCAAAAGAGGATGGAAGAGTTGCAGGAGAAACTTGGCTTAAAGAACGTTGGCCCTGAGCTGCAAACAGAGGCAGCAATTGATCAACCACGGAAAGAGCAACGGCCGCCTGCAGCCGAAGCTGCACGAAAGGCGGCGATCTTAAGAGATGAACAATCCAAGAAAAGTAGCTTGAAGCCCGCGAAGAGCGATCCTGCGGAAGCCGGATCAGTCAACAGAAGGTCTGGGAGAAAGAAGGTGGCATTCTCCTCAGAACTAGACATTGCTGCCGAGAACCCTCCTACCACCACTTCCGAACTCGCAAAAATGTCTCCAGTTGCGCCAGAAAAGCTACAGTTGCGACCAATCAACGACTCCATTGTCGAACGGGAGGCAGGTCAGGACGATACAGAGGCTACCGCTCCAGCACCTCCTGCCCCAACAGCCGCCAAACAATCACGCTTCAAGGCCGCACGTCAATCCCAGCCGCAAACGCCGATGTTTGCTGCCCCAATGGAATTTCCCCAGGGGAAGCCTGAGGACAAATCGACACCTCACCCTCCCTCCAAGATGGTCTCTACAACTCTGATCGAGCGTTCTTCGCCAAAAGCAACAACAGCCCCCGATCCCAACGACTTTTCCGATCAGGATCATCAGCGCGAAATAGCAAGGGACTATCAGCAACACCGGATCAAGCGCATACTTGCCCAGGAAGGTGGATTCCTCGGAAGTGCTGAAGAAGGTGAAATAACACCACTCGAGGACGAAGGGACCGGGAGACGCGTGAGCAGATTTAAAGCTGCTCAGATCAAACGGTAATCAGAAAAGGCCATGAATTCCATCCAGTACGCGCCTCTAGAACCGTCAAGTACGATACCCTGACTGAAGTGCCCCACGACGCGCCCTTTTTCACTCATACGCTTCTTCTGCCCTACTTACGATTTAGGGATTGTCAATGTTACACAGGAGTTGTCCATTAGTCCTTCACGGAACGAGAATTTGTAGTTTCCTCAACTACTTGTTCTTACACGACAGACTCCAAGATCGAGCTAGACATGCTGGGCTCTCTGACGCCTAATCCTTGTCGTCGTCTCCCTGAGCGCGGCATTATATCGTGGATATGGCGATTCGTTTCACCCAGTACAATCATTATACCTGTGTTCTTGATGGCCGGGGGATTCAGCTTCATACCCTTTCCATTCCTGCCGAAGATGGCATCATTAAATGTACAGGGTTGGGCGTTACCAGGCTCCACTTCGTTGCCCAAGGGTCGATTCTTATTTGTCTTGCAACATACCAGATTACAAACAGTTTCCTTACTTTCCTTATGCGTTCAGCTTGGCTAGTCCAGCCGCAGAACTGGGGTTTCTGGGCAGTGGGCATGACCAAAGCCCGCCGCCGCCGCGCACCGCCCTTTGACGACAGTCGGAGGCTACCCGGTCCCCGAGGCCCCCGCTACTGCCCTTGGTATTGTACCGCTTCTCCGCCTGTTAAAGCCGAGCCGCCCCAGAATTTTCTGGTTTTCTACCTGGGTGTCTGCCTTCACCCCCTACATCTCTTCTGAGCACATTGTGATATTGGGACAATTCCGTTGCTGACCTGGGTGAAACAGGGACGGAAGCCTTCTTGGAAGACTTCCTCATGGACTCGAAGAAGGCCTTTGAATTTGACCTCATCGGTCCAGCTCAACCACGTCAAAATGCAGCAACCGAGCATGTCCCCGTCGACCCTGTCTCTGAGTTGCCTGATCCAGGTCCGCAGGCTCAGCCTCGAAGCAAGTTTCGCATGGCCATGATATTGATTGCACTGTACATGTCGCTGTTTGTCGCGGCCATGGACGCCACCATTGTCGCCACGGCCACCCCCACAATCACTGCCGACCTTCATTCAGCAGCCGGCTACATCTGGATTGGAGGCGCCTATCTCATTGCAAATGCCGCTGCAGCCCCCATCTGGGTCAAATTTTCGGATATCTGGGGCCGCAAGCCCATCTTCCTGGTCGCCGTGGTCGTGTTCTTTGCCAGCTCTGTGGTTTGCGCCACCGCGGTCAACATGCAGATGCTCATCGCCGGCCGTGCCATTCAAGGAGCTGCTGGCGGCGGTTTGATCTGTATGGTAAACGTGGGGATCTCCGACCTTTTCAGTGTCCGCGAGAGAAGCCTGTGGCTGGGCCTCTGCGAAGGCATCTGGGCTCTGGCCGGCGCTGTTGGACCACTCTTGGGAGGTGCCTTTGCACAGAAAGTTGATTGGCGATGGTGCTTTTGGTTGAACTTGCCCATTGCTGGGACCGCCTTCGCGCTTCTGCTACCTTTCCTCAATGTTCACAATCCGAGAACGCCTGTCCTTGACGGAATCCGGGCGGTCGACTGGTTTGGTTGCGTCTCGATCCTTGGGGTAACTGTGATGTTGCTTTTAGGTCTTGATCTAGGTGGCGCCGTATATCCTTGGAGCTCTGCGAAGGTTATATGTTTGCTCGTGTTCGGCTCATTGATGGTCCTGGTCTTCATTTACAGTGAGAAAAAATTGGCCAAATACCCGGTCATCCCACTTTCGCTGTTTGGCACAAGGAATGCTGCGACATTGATGCTGAGCTTTTGTCATGGAATGGTACGTGTTTCATATTGAATTGGCCGTTGTGTTTGCTAAATCGACCACCAGGTGTTCATCGCTGCCGAATACTACTTGCCTCTGTATTTTCAGAGTGTCAAAGAAGCCTCGCCACTACGGTCCGGCGTGCTCTTAGTACCTCTTATTGTGGCTACCGCCGGTACCGGAGTTATTAATGGCGTGATCATCCACCGAACAGGGCAATACAGACCGTCAATGTGGATCGGAACTGTTCTGATGACCTTGGGCACCGGTCTTTTCGTTTCTATGGATGCCCATACTTCGACCGCGTCGATAATAGGGTTCGAACTCGTCGAGGGCGTTGGAGCTGGTTTATTGTTCGAGCCTCCACTTCTCGCTATCCAACAGGGTGTTCACCAAGACGATGTGGGGACTGCCACCTCGACGCAATCCTTCACTAGGAGCCTGGCGATCTCATTGGGTGTCATTGTGGGTGGCATAGTATTTCAGCAAAGTATGGACCTCCGGCGAAGCGCATTGGCGCAATCGGGACTCTCTAATGCCATTCTGGACGATCTTTCGGGCAAGAACGCCGGAGCCAACGTCAACATTGCACGGAACCTGCCACCCGCTCAAGAACTTGCAGTCAAGCAAGCATTTGCCTGGAGCATCAGAAACATGTTCATCATGTTTACATGTCTTGGTGCGATTGGCATCGTTGCAAGCTTATTCGTGGTCAAGACTAAGCTCTCAAAGGAGCACAGAGAGACCGTCACCGGCCTGAAAAAGGAAGAGGCAATACCGTAGCCTCCTCGTCGAGATTACGCGGTATTGGCGACAGGCCGTCGATCGCTTACTCCGCTGCCCTGTCCGCGACTTCAACAACGCGGCTCTGCAGATTCGCGGATCCCAACTACAATATCGACAGTTTCGGACTAATCTTCAACAGCAGGACCGACGCAAAGTCCTAATCCACCTCGACTTGCCCTTCTCGAACCGGTTGTGCGACATATACCTATCGGGGATGCTCAAGCCTCGTCAAAAACAGCACTCTCTCTCTTATTGGGAAACATAACCCCCTGATATATAGACCGGGGATGCTTCAGCCCCGTTGCCAACAGCAAAACTCTCCTTTGACAGTGCGTTTGGAAGAAAGAACCGAGGTGCCAGACTCTGGCACGACCACACGGTGAGCTTCTCCACCGTCCAAAAAACCAGCAGTCTTGTCAGATAGTCCACGTTAGGCAGGTCCAGCTCGCCAACGCTCTGGTGGAGGGAGCGGACTGGAAGCCCGGTGAGCTACGCACCGTTAACAACAGCAATGCATGCACCTAGATGGGGATGCTCAATTGCATCCTTGGTAGCTACTATCCCGGTGAGCTACGCCTATTTTCAACAGCACTAACTTTTCGATTGCGGAATCGCATATCACGGTCCGCGACTCGAGCGCCACCGTCGTCGAGATCCTGTCGCCTCGAAGACTTCAAGGTTTGTCTTCGGGTTTGTGCATCCAGACACGTCGGCCTTTCGAGGGAGATGTGTGCAAAACCACTGCCCGGCCGAGACAGGTGTTGCGAGTTGGTAAGCCTGTGTTATTCCCACATAGTACCAAGAAGAGCAGACGTGCCTAGGCTGCTGCAAAATGGAGCGATATTCGTTGTTGGCGAGGCGCACCACAACAGAATCGAGCAACCGTATAGAATTGAGCGCCCAACGTGACCAATATTATCGGCAAAAATGGCTGAATCTTGCTACTTCTGCATAGAGTATTTCTATATCTCTCCAGTGACCATTCGCAGCTGGTGCATAGTATACAGATTTTGACATGGCCAAAGTGCTCCTCAATGAGTTGTTCATCAAAAGACCAACACCTGTCTGCACCCACCCCCTTGAATCAGGCCGGCGAAAGGCTTGATAGGAATTAGTGGCCGTCGTAGGCGCATACGGTGGTCCGTCTGGCTTGCTCGCCCTTACGATGCTCACCTGGGCGCCCCTTGCGCTTAAACCCCGTTCGGACATTGCGGGTGCTCGTCCAGTGGCGCAAGTTCCTCTCTAAACACAGCTGACAGATATGCCCGAAGTTTCCGCTCTCACATATACTGAGCCTGGAGCTCTACCACACGAGTTGAATCAAAGTCCCCGACTACTTCCTGGTTCATATCTAATGGCCAATCAAGGGCACAGCGCCACTGAGCCAATAGGTAAGGACCGAACGAAGTCTAGTCAACAAGAGGAACGAAACCTGATGGCTGCAAAGAACAAAGACAACAACCGATCGGGCCTTCCGTGTCGCTTTCGCCGCCAGGCCCAGGGCCACGGCCGTCGAAAGTCACATTGGCAGGCCATGCTGTAACAATAGTACCTTTGGCGGCAGACCATGCCGGCGATCTCTACGACATGGTCAAGGGAGAAGATCATGAACATCTCTTCACGTACCTATTCGACGACCCGTATCCGTCACTCGCGTCGTTCAAGGAAGCCGTCGTCACAAAATCGCAGGCGCAGGACCCGCTGTTCTTCGCCATGGTTGACAACACGACCTCCAAACCCGTCGGTTGGGCTAGCTTGATGCGCATCGACACCACCCATCGCGTCGTCGAGGTCGGGAACATCCTCTTCTCGCCTCAGCTGCAGCGCACCAAAGCCGCCACGGAGGCAATGTACCTGCTGGCCAAGTACGTGTTTGAAGAGCTCGAGTACCGGCGGTACGAGTGGAAGTGCGACAACCTCAACGGGCCGTCGAAGCGAGCGGCGATCAGGTATGGATTCACCTTTGAGGGCGTGTTCCGCAAGCACATGGTCTACAAGGGGCGGAGTCGAGATACGTGCTGGTTCTCCATGGTTGAGGAGGATTGGTCGGAGAGGGGTGTTAAGAAAGGGTTTGAAGCATGGTTGGATGACGGGAATTTCGACGGACAAGGGAGGCAGAAGAGACGGTTGGGAGAAGTTCGAGGGGAGATGCAGGGCCAGAAAGGGCCGGTTGTGCTGGAGTTGTAATATCGCTTCTCACAGGCACTGGTGTAGATGTCGCTTCTGTGAGATTGTAGGCGCTGCTTGCGCCTGCTGGACGTCGAGTACACTGCTTCGATACTGATAAGTTGGGACCTTTATAGACTCTGGAGACAGAAGGGCCGGCCTAGAATCTCGAATGCCGAATGTACAAGAGAAGAAATCGACGTATGTTGCTCTATGTCGCTCAGACTGTAGTAGAGAGCCCTCCTTGTCGACTTCCAGAATCTACACAGCCTCTACTTCGATCTACGCCGGTTCTACCTCGAACGACGGGAGGCAGATGCTGGAGAAGACGTCGGCAGGGGCAATAGATCTCCGTAAGTACTGTAACGGACGCTGCTCCTGTCGACGTCCAGCATCTCCAGATATTCGACCTCGATCTACGCGAGGCAGATGCTGGAAAGACGTCGGCAGGGGCAATGGATCCCCGTAATTCATGTCAGTCTGTCCCCCTTATGCCCGTTTCGGAAGGGACCCGCCGCCTCTGGATCTGCACCTCGTCGATTTTCATGGCGGAATCTCCTTGGCTACGTGGCTACAGTACAATACCTTCTCAGAATCGGGCTGAGGGATCCTATTGTCATCGAATTCACCGCCGCGGTAGCACGATTACGGCATAGTAATCTGCCCTGCCCTGGCCACGACGCGTCCGCCGTTGCCTTCAGTGGTCAAACGGTTTGCTCGTTGACACGCTCCCTTGGCTTCCGCCAGCTCACGTCTTTCTCCGAGAGATCAAGCCTCAACAACGCCAGCGTAGAGGCTTCTAATTGTTTCGCTAACTTTGCGACGTTCGGCTCTTACCGGTCTGATCGTACGCCCAGCATCGCCGTCGATTGTGCCGCACCTGGAGCGATTCTTAGGATTACGCGGACGTTTCGGCCCGCCACAATCCCGTCATCATCCACAATGAGAACCAAGACCATCACAGCCCAGACAGACGATCAGAATGATCAAGCTGGCGATAATGGGGCCCGACGAGCCTCTGGGCGTGTACGCAAACTCACCGCCAAAGCTGTAGCACTCAATGGCAGCAAGTCGTACTCGCCGCCACTCTCCGATACAATTGTCATCGGCGATACGCCACCACGACGTCGGCGATCATCCCACCAAGAACACTCACCAACACCGGGTGTGCCGCGAGAGGCACCCAAGGACGCGCAGATTGAACCCGAAATTCCAGAGACTCCGGCAAAGACCATGGCCAATGGTGCCCATACTCCACCTCCTGCAGCCCTCGTCCAGGATGGAGCACCAGAATCGACAGTGGAGACATCTCCTTCACGAAGACACTCCCGCAGAGAGAAGAAGCCTACTCCAAAAGCGGTATCAGAGTCGCAGACCGCTCAAAAGCGACCCGCCACCGAGGATTCGGAGGAAGCTCCTCTACGCAAATCAGCCAGGCTGTCCTACTCCAGTGCTAGAGTCCCCTCAAAGCTCCGATACTCAGTCTCGTCTGAGACCAGCGAGACTCGTGATACTGCTGAAGCTGAACGGGGTGAGATTGTCGAGGCTCCCGTGGCAAAGAAGTCCAAGGTCATTGTGCTGAAGATGAAGCCACAACTGCGTCGTTCCGATTCACCGACACACGCAAAGAACAAGGCCAGCTCCGCCGCGGTCCAAGAAACGCCCAGAAGGACATCTGAACGACAGAAGTCAGCAGCAAAACAAGTCAGCACAATGTCTGAATCGCGCCCGCGCCCGCACCCCACTGAAACACCCGGATCCTGCGATCTTTCGTGTCTTTCCCCATCCTTCCGACTTCTAGCCTTTGCCCAAATAGCCCTGCAAATGCCAGACGAGGAGGATGAGAATGCAGAGACAGTCCCGGGAAGTGTCTATGACTGGCGGGTGTATACCCAGGCATGGTGCCAGTGTGACCACGGTCAACCATTCAAGACGGCCCGCACCAATTCTGCCGAACTTGCCCGTGCGCTCATGCCGAATACGGTCGCACAGGGCCAGAAGCATGACTATGTCGATCTATCCAAGTCCCAAACACCCGAGAACGACTTGCTCTTGACGCCTGTCAACACTATCCTGCGCGTGTCGGACGCCGAAAGACTCTCACAGCTCTACACCGATCCTGGCGCTCCGACAACCAGCCAGTCACCACTGAGTCGGCCTGCTGCAAACGGCAAAAGTCCCGCAGACGACCTTGCGACATTTTCCGTAGGTCAACCGCTACAGATGCAAGCCTCTATGAGCGATGGCCCTCACCGTGCCTCGCCGCTTCAATCACTACCACCCGCACCACCCCCGCAACCTAGTCGCTCACATTTTACAAGACGGACGTACGAGGATCGCCTCCGGGACGATTATCATGCCCTGGGAGACATTCGCAAGAGAGCCACGGCACGGGGAATCCCATGGACGTACAATCAGACGTTGGAGGACATCCATGCGCTCATTGTGGAAGCCGAGGAACGTGAACAACAGACACAATACCGCCAACAGGTGATCAATCCGCCTACAGTGCTTGCTCGGATGCAGGACTCTGCTACCGAAGCTCGTCCATCGCCTACCGGCTTTGGCGTCCTTCTCCCTCCCAAGGGATCGACGTTCGCCCCACGAGGGAGAAATTCTCCTTTACAAGCAAATGGCGTTGCTGGGTCTAGCAACCAAGGCGGCAGACCGCGTAAGATCACCTTTGTCGAGGGGACCAATCCAGCAAATCCCTCCAAGGCGCGTCAAGCATCATCCCCTAAACGGCCAAAGAGCTCACGCTTCAGAGTCGACCCGCGCGGCCTGCGCGGAGAAGCGCCTGGTCCAGGCACGATTATCAACATGGAGGACCTCAAGCGGCAGGCAGAGGAACTGAAGAGGCTGGGTCAGGCCATGAGAGAATTTGAGGCATACCAGAAAATGGCGGACGCGGAAAACGAGGAGCGCGCCTTGCAACTTATAAAGGCGGAGAAAAAGGCCAGAGAAGCGGCAGAGAGTGCAATGGGACGCCGGCAGATCTGAATGATCGAGTTGGCGTGGGAGTCATGGCCATGGATCCAGCAGACGAGCACATGGACAAGTCTGAGAGAGAGTGAGAGGGTCGTGTGCATGTATTCTTTGGCGGCCGGGAGTGTTGTTTTACAAGGACACGCATCACATAGCATAGCGGAGCATGGAGTTGTGAGTTGTCGTATGTACAACGGGTATCAGATTCACGCCCAGCTGAGCGTTGGCAACACCATACACCACAGAAGGTACCGAGTACTCAGTATGTATGGAACAATTAGCCAGGTTACAGTACTAGGTTATATCGCCTGCTACTAAGATGTCCACAGCGCTCTTTTCAGTCTGACACAGTACATCCTGCTCTGCGCCCTATTGCCTGCTGCTGCACATAGAGTGTCAAAAGACTCCAACAAGAGACAGAAGTCCACACAATAATTAGATACTAATGTACGGAGTACTTCGTAGTTTCGAATACTGTAGCTCCTGAAACGCATGTCCCGGCCCCGCCGTCGAGCCAATTTCACTAGACGGCACATCACGGCACAACGCGACACAACACGACACACGATACAAGACGCGTTATTCACGCGTCTCCTTTCTCGAGTACTCCGTACTGCCTAATTATACCTACCACGTACGGGGTACAGCGCGCATATCTCGTGGTGGCGTTCTTCCAGAATATTGCGTGTCACAATTCGGTACGAAGTCAAGCTCGTCAAAGGCATTGGCCGCCGCCACAATGTCACTCTCCGCAGAAGGTGTCGTCAAGAAAAGAGGCCGGCCTCGGAAGAATGCGGTCGTCCAAGAACTAGATGGACACGTAGATGCAGGTGTGGTGCTCGAGGGTGGAAGTAGTGGGTTTGTATCCTCCAGGCTGATGACGACGGAACCGAAGACGAAGACGAAGATGCGAGGCAAGGGCAAAATAGAGGCCAAGAAATCGGCATCGGCGTCAGCACCAGCATCAACATCAACGTCAACGGCGGCATCATCACCACCTCCACCAATATTGACGTCGACCACACCATCATCAGCCTCTAAGAGAAAACCAAAAAGTCTGGTCGAAGATGCTGGTCTTGCCGATGCAGTCGATGAGCCTCACCTCACAGCAACGACGGCGGTAAAGACCGTAGCTGGCACTAAATCGAGAGGTAAGACCGCATCGAAATCTTCAGACGTCAAGAAGCAAGATACAGTGTCTGTTCGCGATCCAACATCACCACGACGAGGCACGCCGAAAGGTCAAGCTCGGGTGGAATACCCAGCTGTTGTGTCTTCATCTCTGTCCTCATCGTCGCAAGAGGAGGGCACAGCGCCCGTGCTACAGCCAGAAACTTCACATCTCTCACAGACAAGCACACGGGATATCTCGATTTCTAAGATCCTGCAGCAGGCGAAAGCATTCTCTACGCACTCGACGCAGCTGCAGCAGGGTATTCTGGCGTTTGTGGACAAACGGGAGCGGGAGTGCGAAGCGTTGGTATCTCCATCCTTGACACAACCGTTCACCAACGTCGAGATACAAGGACTAGGCTCTCATCTCTCGCCTTCCACAGCGATCGCGGGGTCACTACCGTCCACGGTTCCTGCTATCGATAGCGCCGTCGAATCCTCATCCTCAGCCTCCACCTCGACTCATCTGCCACCGTCACCGTCACAGCCACAGCCGCAACCACCACCACCGCAACCACACCCCCTAGGAACAATGCCTCTACCGCCTCCTCAATTCAAGAGCGCCGCCGCTACCGCCGCCACCACGGGCTCCGCGCCTCAGATCCGAGCCTACTCATCCACATCACCGCTCCCCATGTCCACCACCGTGGCGCTCGCAGCGCGAGGATCCCAATCCCAGAGTCGTACAAACTTACCTCCTCCACCTCCTACACCACATCCCGCTTCAGAGCCGCGCCATCCCCTCCCGTTCTCACCCCCCTCGGCCGTGCCCATCGGCCCACGACCGCCCAAACTGTCGGAAATGCCGCTGGAGCAGCGCAAGAAGGATCCCCGGTACAGGAAGGCCACGGTCAGGTATACGGCTGCGATTGTGGCGTTGCCTTTTGCCATTGTGACGAGTTATCTCTTATGGGAGAAGTGTATGTGTTTGCCCCTTTTCTCTCTCTCTGTTGCTTTGCTGCGGTTGACTCGCTGGTGACGCTGTCTCTGTTGTCCCTTGGATACTATCATTTCCCCTGGTGTCGTCGTGTCTTTTATTGCTGTTCAGGCATTGTTTCACAGTTGTCCTTCTTTTCTTCTTTTCTTCTTTTCTTCTGCTTACCCAATTCACCCGTCCTGGCTTCCACGTCTAACTTCTCGGCCTGTGCGCGCATAGATCAAGAACATCAAATCTACTTGCAGAGAGTTAGGGAGGCGAGAGCGGCGGCGGAGGCGGATGCGACCGTGACCACAACCGCAAATATAACGCGGGCACAGCCAAGTCTAGGTGGGGGTTCAGGTCTAATTGAAGGCCGTGTGCGCCCTGGAAGGCAGGATCGAGAGTAGATGTGCGGTTGTCGTCTCGACGATACTCGTGCGACTGACCTCAACTCGGCTCAGCTCACCTCCACTCGTCACACAACGGAGAGACGGATGGACAGACAGACAGACGAAAGAACCAACGAATGAGTGGGTGATTCGAATGCCCAGACCGTTCAGATCCTCGATACACCGCTCTGACCCGACCCGTCGAACACCCGATTTTACCCTGCCGCCAGCATTACACAGGGACGTACTAGTAGTATATCATGGCCTACGGCGAGGGCATGCCGAGCAGAGTACCGTGGGGATCGGGCTTGAGATAGCGCGAGAGATGAGCATCAGAATCAGGATCAGGAGAACTACGGCCCAGCTGCGCTGTTGGTCCCAAGATACGCGTGGTCGACGGACGCAACGACTTCGCTCCACTCATACAAGCACCAGCACACCAGCACACCCAGCACCAGTACCGCCTGCTCTTCGCGACTCGCATAGGTACCTACGTGACAGGACAAGCGACGCCAAATACTACCACCGTGCAATGGAAGACTCGACTCGGTTCGGACTTGTCTGTTTACGCACGGATGGTATCCACGCACATATGTCCAAAAGTACACAGACTCCACTTACATGTGTTACCCGGTTGCTGGATTCGTTGGGCACGGCGACGGGGGAATTACGGAGTATATACTCCGTACTCACCGATATATTACTTTGTTAAATCAAGGGACTTTCAACTCTCGACTCTCGACTCTGCTGTCCTCTTCTGCTCTGCTCTGCTTTGCCCTTGTCTATCTGGTCCTGGAAAGGAAATCAAATCAAATCAAGTCTATTCTGCTGCTCTGCTTATGCGTGCTATCGTTCGTGTGCTGTCTGTTCTCTTCTCTGTCGCCTCGTTGATGTTTCGTGACTGCGACTGTGACTGTGACTGGTGACTGACGGATGTACCATGCATTGCACTCGCTTTTACGTAACTTCGTTGATCAACTGTTGTGCCCGTTCGCACATTGAGTCTAATGCTAGAGCCTGCCTTCCCCTTCACACGCCTTGCTATCTCCAGGACAAGTGATTGATGCTTCAAGAAGACATGCAGACTCCGCCTGCTGTCATTTCGGCTCCCCCATCCCCCCCCCCGCCCCCCCGCCCCCGGGGGTTCCTCTATTTGATGCTGCTCGCTTACAACTTGCTCTCGTACGTGGCGCCCCCTTCCCACGCATCACCACCCTCAAGCTTCGTCCACGAACTGACACTCCCAGGCTCGATGCACAGGTATCTCTTCCATCCGTCTTTCGGCTCAAAGTCACCCATACCTTTGATCTTGTCTTCCCACCCGTTCCACACTGTCACGTCCGGGAGCGCGTCACGAGTAACCACGAAACTTTCCTTGCCGTCCTCCGTGACCACCAGTGGTACGAGCGGGTTTGCCGCTTTGGGGTCCGTAGGAGGGGTGTATACTCGGTCAGTTTCACCGGAGAAGGAGAGCGAGGAGGATTCTTCCGTAAACGTCTGGGCGGAGCGGACCTTGTCAATGTACGGGGAGGATTTAAGGCCCTGGACCGCGGTTTTGTGAATGTCCTGCATCGCGTTAGGATCGTTGCCTTCTACATGAAACATCTCAGCGCCTTGGAATTTAGCAAAACGTACCTTGACCGCCAGGTAAGTGTGGAACAGAGACTGGAACTCAAACGACTGGTTGCCTTTGTTCTGCACATGCAAAAGACACTCCAGCTTGCCCTTGCCCAGCGTCACGCTGTACACCAGCCCGAAGTCGTAGGGCCACTTCTTGCGCGTAGCCTCGTCCAGGTTGGCCGGACTCAGCCCAAAGTCCAACTTGACGCTATCGTCGGCCTTCTGACCCAGACTCTCGCTACTGCTCTTCCCCAAGAACTCCCAGTACGTGTTCCTCGCAAACCCGTGCTGCGGTAATTGACCCGTTGCGTGGGTTTTCGGCGGCGGGCCAAACACTGGGAACACGAGCGGGATGCCGCCTCGGATGGGTTTTGAACCGTCTAGCGCAGCGGCGCTGGAGAGGAACAGTCGTTCGGCACCGTTGCCGGTTTTCCAGCTCGTGACCGTGGCGCCGTAGAGGTAGACGGTTACGGAGTCGCCAGAGGGAAGGCGGGCCGTGAGAACATTGTCAGAGAGGTCGACTATAGGCTGCGCCATTGAAGGGGAGACAGGTATCGCGGCGGGTTTGTGCTTGCGGTCCATTGCGAGCGAGGGGTGGTGAAAAGACACGGAGGAGCGGCGGGGGAGGGCAGTGGAGGGGCAGTCTCTGCAAGGGTTTCAAGATGGAGGAGTCTTGTGTAGCGGATTTTGCTCGAGTTGATCAAGAGGATACTATGTTGAACACTCTGGCGGAGTAGGAGCTAGCAGTAGAAGAGAGTGTCACCGGTGGTAACTTAGTAAAGAAGATACGACGTGGTCACCATTGAAACATTCTGAGCACCAGTACAGACAACGGGGCATGTTGGAGGGCAAACCGCTCATTGGCCAGTTTCTCCTCAGCCTTGCCAAAGTGGAGACTCCTGAATGTGGATGTCCACGATGTCATGGTCTTTGTCACTTCACCAGCTGCTCACTCTTCTGTGTACTACTCATTCTTTGTTCTGAAAATGGGTAACTCGTCCTCTAAAGTCGCCAGAGCTACTGGCTCTGCAGCTCGTCGGAAATACCCCTCCACCCCTACCATGCTCAACTCGGGCACCGTGCCTTTACCAGAAGACGCTCCCATCAAGCCCACTCCCGCGGCGCCGGTCAGACCCAACGTCAACGCCGCCCCTCCCTCAGATCAGAGAGTCGAGCATGTCGAGCTCGACGCGAGAGATCCGCAATTCGGCTCAGCGTTACGTCAAGTCGGCGCCGCAAGACCCATCACGGAAAGAAAACCCAATGAGGAGTATTTCCCTACCTCAAGCCAGCCTATGCACTCTGGCCCGAATATCTTCCCGTCACAGCCAAACAATCCAGCCGTGTTGCTTGTCCAAGCACGACAGAGGATCCTACGACAGTGGGAGTCGGAGCTGGAGGATCAGGGGCGGCCGAGCTTTGCTGGCAGGACGCTTATGAGCGCACAAGAGATCAGACAGGCTCTGACTTCGAGGGACGACGCGGGAAAATCTCCGGGCGACGTGGAGAGACAAATGAGGCTCAAGCCAGGCGTGTTGGATCAGTTGGTGGCTAAGGGCGTTGTGGCGAATGTCTGAGCAGCACACTTTGAGAAGAGACAGCTTGTGAAGGGCAGTTTCCACAATCCAGTTCATGGTCGCGAGATTGTTGGATTTCTCTAACTAAGAATGGTTGCGAGGGACAATTCTGTGCCAGACACGATTGATCATCGACCAACAGCCAGTTCAGGGTCGGGAAGCATCAGACCCAGGACCATCGTTCCACAGTACCACGGTTCGTTTTGTCATACGACATCCGCTGCCGATAGGTGGTTTGCGGCAGCTCACTTGTAGTGGCCCGCAAGACTAAGATCATCCGCGGCCAGAACGACACTGATACCGTCACCCTTCCAGTATATCTACAGATCTCCACATGCGTCCAGGATGGCGACTCTTCAATCAAATCGACCAGGACATATCTCGCGAGCTCACTGGCGCACCATGATCCAGAGTGGTCTCTTGTTGACCCATGAGGCAAAATTCAATATGGCCACGACTGTAGAGCTTTCTCACAGATTTCATTCACATTCACTACTCGAGGAAAAGAACAAGGTATCTCTCCGCCATGGCCACTTCGACACCCGACCTCAAGGGGCCCATCATATGAATATATATCATTATTACGACATCTCGGCAGATGGGTTTCCCAATCATCTTAAAGGAGAAGCACTCTAAGGCGTCGATGTTCAACCGCCTTCTTTGATGCAGTAGCGAGGAGCGAGGTGGACATGGCTAGCGGGCAGTGCAAGAAGTTGAAGAATGACGTCTCCATGGCTAGACGTCGTTTGGCACGGATGATCTTTGTGCTATTGCTGGAGGAGTAAGACACATGTTGGGTGGAAACCGTTTACCAGAGTGTTTTTGACAGAACAAAGGTCCCGAGGTGCCGCTTCTTGATTGCTTTGTGTTATGCTGTCGCAGAAAGACTCTTTCTTTTGTTACATTCCATTGAATCACGGTCCTCAAAGGGCATTGTTCGGATCAAGGAATCATTGTTCTTCGCTGCCACTACCGGGTCAGTCTCTTTGTGCTTCAAAAATATCATAAGGCGAGGCATTGCAGCTCAGAATCAAGGCAAGCAACAAATATAAATATCTTCCAGCCATACACTGTTTTCAGCAGGCACCAAACAAGAAGAGCAAGTCTTGCCCCCCAAAAAACAAACCATATTAACCACCATGCCAGGCTCAAGCTCGGGAAAGAGAAGACTCCCGTTGACGTTCGGGGTCGAAATCGAATTCCTTTTCGGAATCAGACGAGACCTCGAACGATATCCAGAATATTGGTGGTTACAAGTTCAGAATCTCCGTAACAACAAGCCCTTCAAACTCAACCTGGAAGTCATCAATCAGGAGATTCAGGATTCCGACAGATCAGCTGGTCTCCTTCAAGCCAGGACGATTATAGAGAATCATGGCGGGGAACTTTGGGTCGACAGCAAAACCACGCCTTATGCTGACTGCTTTGACAAATTCAGCTACTGGATGATTGTGCCAGAGGAGGCTGTTCTGGATCCCAGGGACCCTTCCGAGCTCTTCCAGTGGTCTAATGGAGCCCTGATAGTGCAACGAGAGAGTCAAATCTTCGATGAATGGGATTGGACTGGCCTTGAACTCGTCTCCCCGGCCCTCCCCGTCCCCGACTTGGACCAGAATCGACCGAACGGGTTGGTAGAGCTCACCGGCTACCTCAACTTGATGATAGCTGACCAGTCTCCCACAGTACCCTATGTCTTCATGGCTAACCCCAGAAACGCCTCTGTCCACGTGCATATCGGCATGCAGCCGGAACCAGAAGGACAGGTAGACTTCCCTCCGGACTTTATTCGCCATCTTGCCTGGCTTTGCTTAGCATTTGAGGATACCATCACTCTCCTCCACCATCCCGAACGACACTCGTACCCAGAAAGCAAGAGTCGTAGCTATGCCAACTCGAATCGGAAGTACTTGCATGCCGAGGGTGCATCGCACCGCGTCCACTGCTGTCACCTGGGCAAGCCATTCTCTGCCGAAGACACATTCATGAAGATTTTCGACTACGAAAACTGGGATGAGGACGAGGATGATAACATCTTTCCCTTGCTTCGAGCACTATCGTCCAAGAAGCTCACGTTTCGCGAGGGGAACCTTGACATGGCTGACTTCAATCGGTTCCTTTTCGTCAACTTTGAGAATCTAGCAATTGCCATGGTGACCTCGGACCATTCCAAGAAAACAATCGAATTTCGGCAGCATCATGGCACGCTCTCGGCTCGTGAGATCAACGAATGGATCGTCTTTCTTACGGCGCTGGTCCGAGCTGGGGAACGATTCGAGTCGCTAACGCCGGACGGCGATGCGGCCGTGCCTCCGACGCTGATGGCGAAGCTCATGAAGAAGTACAAGGATCCCAAGCAACGGGATCGAGCTCTCGATGAAGCGAAGAAGTACACTCAAATTTGGCAACAGGACCGACGCTCGTTGAAGCAATTGTTTGATATGCTTGAATTACCTGTCCATCGGAGGAACTACTGGTGGCAGAGGGCCAAGCAGGTCAGAGCCGAGCTCCACGAGCACTGGTCAGGTAAGTCTCAGTCCACTTGTGACGACATTGATTGTGCTAACATGCCTATTAGGGATTGCGAAGGCTGGGAGGAAGGTGAATTAGATGAACCCCCTTGGGACGGAGCTGACGACGATGCTGAGTACGAGGAAGACGACATCATCAACGCCGCAAACGAGGTTGACATGGAAGTCGACGAAAGTGTCCCCATGGACATCGACAGTGACGTGCCAGAACCAGAGGACTCGATTCCTCGGCTCGACACATTGATGACATCGAGCCCAGTCAAGGACGATGCCGACGATGTGCCTATGGAGATTGACGATGATATCCCTTCTCCGGTCTAACAACAGCTGCATAGAAACACAGTCTCAGAATGTTATGTCGAAGTCGTCTATCCCCCATCAGTATGCCAGGCTAACGGTGGTAAAGCAAAGAGGATGTTAATGATGAGGACATCAATACGAGGTATGGTAATAATCGAGGTAAATCAACATAAAACATTCGTTCCCATCTCAGAGGTTTTTATCTGCATGTTCAGCTTTCGCCGTGGCTCGTCAAACCTAGCGCATGTCTGATTCTGCGTTCATCTCTCCCCAGTGCTTCATGATTCTTAGCTAGTCGCCTACATGGACACGATCTGAGCTGTAGGATCTTCATCAGTAGCATTCTACCCTACCCCAATCAAGTGCTCAACAGCAACGTACGTCGTAGTTCGTTCTCACTCATCCCGAAATTTTGAAGATGCCCTTCTCCTCACCTCCCTTCCCTTGCCTTGCTGTGCCACCCGCGTCCTTTTCTTTCCTGACCACCGTGCTTTGTTGAGACCCTCAAATCACAATTTCGCCTTCTGACCCTTCCCTTCTGCCTCCAGAATACCCTCAACCTCAATCTCACTCGTACACAGGATCAAGGTATCCTCCAACGCCGGCACACGATATGTCAAATTCACCCCCTGGTAGTCCTCCCCAGCCAACATGTCCGCGAAATGCAACACGGAGGGATAACTCGCCAGCGCAAACTCGTCCCATTTCCCGCCGTTCCCGCCGGTCCCGCCATTCCCACTCGCATCGACGACGATATTGCCCACCAGCTTCGCGACCCCGCCACGTCGCTTGCCGATTGACTCGGCAAACGCGGCGCCGTACTTCAAATACGACGGCTTCATCCCCTCCTTGAAGGCGAGCAGATTGAGCATCGAAAGCGGGGAGCTGCCCGCGCGGGTTTTGCGGAACGAAGTCGCCCATTCGAGGAGACCAGGCGACAGTTCGAGCGTCTGCGAGGTGGTGCCCACGCGCGGTTTGCCCAACGAACCCGTCAAGGCGGGGATGGCCTCCGGCTTGGGATGCAGGAGGTGGTCGTTCGTGCGGGCAAAGTCCGCGGTCAGGCGCGACGGGATCCCCGCCACGGAGGTCCAGTGGTCCAGCACGTCGCTGGTCAGGGACGCGGGGAGGGGATCCGTGCCCAGCAGGATGAGAAGCAGCGTCCACGGAGATTTGGGGTTCAAGAGACGTTGGGCGTCGATGGTCGTGGGGGTAATGATCCAGCGGATGACTTTGGAGGTGATGAGGATTTTGGATCGTGGGACGGAGTTATAGAGAGTGTGAAGATAGGAGGGGAGTGATGTTGAGGGTGACAGGGCGAGGAGGTGGATAGTAGCGAGGGGCATTGTGGCTGATGTAGACGTGGATATAGACGTGGATATAGACGTGGATATAGACGTGGATATAGACGTGGTGGAGGTGGATATGGAAAGATATCGTTACCAGGGATCTTGTAATTGACTCTGGATTACATGCCCATCAAATGATGCTTGAACAGCAGCATCCGAGGCCCCAGACCGAGTGATACAAGAGAGGATGAGATAATAGTAATCCTAAAACTTACCTATCCTTCTAGTGGGCTCGATCGCACGCCCTTGAACGTTGATGGCCATGATGCCTCGGCGAACTCGGCCCGCGAGCAGCTCGGATGTGGAGAAAAAGCGGGCGAGGCTGCACTACAAGGCTGAACAATCTTATCGTATCTTATCTTATCCGAAGAACATCTTTTTTCACAACTCCGCCTTTGCATGAGACAGACATTTATTTACAGCGTTGCAAGGACGCACGCGTACTATGTATACACCAATGGTATCTTCAATTCTAGCGTCAAACCCAGCGGTATACCCAATCTGCCTTGATTTGCGCTAATACCATATTCTTCGCGCCGGACTTCGGACCTTTTCTGGTCCCTCAAAGCTAAGCTCGACTCGACTCGACGGAATTCGACTCGACCCAAGAAACGTCGACACTCCCTTATTTTTAGCCGCGCCACTACGTTACGCTGTACCACCCTTTCTGGACTCTACTTACTCTTGAGCCTGCCGCAACAATGTCGTCCGCCGCCGCCGGTCTAACCCCTCTGCCTCCCTATGTCCACCACTCCACGACCCGTCTCACGCACCGCCAAGCACATACCATGCTCGCCAGCTTCCTCGACCGCGCGGAAAACGACGCCGCATACAGACCCGACTCGACACTCACAGAGCGGGGCCCCCAGGCGCTGTCAAGTTCGAGCACGCCGAATTTGACGCTAAGTCACCTGAAGAGAATCCTCAAGGGGATCGAGGGGGAGCGAGTAGGCGGTGGGTTGTTGAAGGCGCTGGACGAGGACGGCCATGCCACGGCAGATGACAATGGAGAAAGGGACAGGGACGTCTTCCCCGACACGAAAGAAGGCACAAGGGGCGTGAAGCGAAGTCTGGCCTTCGACCAGAATGATACGCTTCCGCAGGACGCGTCTGGGACGCCTATATCTAAGAAACCGAAACAAGAACAGAAGCAAAGGCAGGATGTGATTGCCTTGCCGGACGCCGAACGCACAGACGACCCCACCGATGGCGCGATCCTCGAAACTATGCTCGCCGCCGAAGACGAGAGCGAGTGGCAGGACCCGACGCTCTACGCGTTAGGGCGACACGAAGTGAACCACAATGACGCGGCGAGAGGACAAGGTCAAGTCGAAGATGATACCCGCGACGGCCTTTACGCCGGAGGCGGACAGAACGACGTGGGAAGAGAGGATGAGTTGGATCTCGAGGAGTTTGATGCGCGAAATGAGATCGACGAGGCGCGACATCCTGGCGCGGGTTTGAAGCAGCCGAGTGGGCCCGAAGAGGAGAGTCAACTGGTCAGCATCCAGATCGAGGGGACGGGCGAGGTCGTGGACCCGAGGGAGAAACGTGGGAAGAAAGCGAAGAAGGCTAAGGCGGCAAAGAACGCTGATCTCATCCACGCCGAGACCGAGCATGCTGGTCAATCGAGAAATGAGGAGCGAGATGATAAGAAGAGGAAGAAGAAGAAGGCGAATGACACCGGAAAATCACAAGGACAGGGCGCCAAACGCGGCGGCCACAACGAGGACGAGGATGTCGACGTTGACATGGCGGACAGTACGCCCCGGGAGAGAAGCCAAGTTAGCAAGCACGCTGAAGATAAAGAGGCGACATCCCAAGCACTAAGCAAGGACGAGAAGAAGAAGCTGAAGAAGTTGAGACACAAGGACGCAAAGAGGGACAGGGAGGAGGAAAGGCTGAAAAAGAAGACAAAGTGATGAAAAATAGCAGCGTTAAAAGGTGAATGTCTGAGCACTTGGGCATATCAAGAAGAGCTTGTAACATGGCAGAGTCTTCAACGAGGGAAACCCGAGCTTGCGCCTTTATGTCTATCTCTCCACGACGAGTCAGCCTCTCCATGGCTTGAGCGGGACTCCCACCTTCTGCCTCACTTGAACTTCCGAGTGGCTGTTGGAGGACGGTGTCGTGGGCTCGATCTCTGCTTCCGTCTGGCCCGTCAGATTCATAAACACAAGGCTCGTTTACAGACTTCATTGAGACACCGACCCGTGCCTCTCCATGCCGTCCGTCCCACCGCAAGTCGCGATACACCAATGTGCCTGCTTCTTCCCGCGACATTGCGTATCCTGATACGTATTGGATTCGGTCACGAATCACATTTCACATCATAATATAACACACGATGCAAGCCAGAGAGATGGCCGAAGCTTCACAGCTCTCGCTGACTCGCCTTGACCACATCCGCATCCACAACCTCCTCATCCAACTCGACAATCTTCCCATTGGCAGCCTTACCCTCGCCCTTGCTACTCTTCCAGCCCAACGCCGCCAACCTCTCGGCCAAAATCGGATGACTGTAGTGGTAGCTGGCATACATCCAGTCCGCGTCCATGGTACTCAAATTCTGCACCTGCAACTTGATCAAACTCCTGGCAAGCTCGTTCTGGTAGCCCAGGTCTTTGGCGAATTTATCGGCCTCGAATTCGAATTTCCGCGACAGCACATTCATGCCGAGTTTGACGACGGCGTCCATAGGGGCAAGGGCGTCGGAAAACAATATGAAGCCGATTATGATGGGGTGGGTGTTGTGGAAGCCAAAAGAGGAGTACAGGGAGTGGTTGTCGATGAAGACACTGAAGAGCGCGAAGATGTAGAACATGTGGAACTGGTCTCGGTCAATATCAGGAGGGTCACGTGGAGTGAGATTCGTACCTGCGCAATGGCGAATAGCTTGGTTGTGTGCGCCAGGCTCCAGTGGCCCAGCTCATGGCCTAATACTGCAACCACCTCTTGCGGCTCGCTCTTCTCGATCAAGGTGTCGTAGATGACAATGTGTTTCTTCCATGGCAGACCGAAGAAGTAAGCATTGCTATGTGCACTGCGTTTGCTCCCGTCGATCACAAACAGCGATTTCAGCGGGAACTTGAGTCTCTGCGACAGGGCTTCCACTCCAGACTTGAGTTCTCCGGGCTCGAGTGGCGAGAGCTTGTTGAACAGCGGGAGAATGAAGATTGGATAGATGGTGATTGCAAACAGCTGAACCACAATTCCAAACAGCCACAGGTAGTAGAAAAACCTCGTGCCCGTGACCTGAATGATCTTAAGGAACGCGCTGAGGAGCGGTGTCCCCAGGACGACCATCAACGCCTGGCCTTTCAGCATGTCCGTGATCCATAATTTGACGGTCTGCTTGTTGAATCCGAACTTCTCTTCCAACACAAACGTGCTGTAGTACGACAATGGCAAGGACAGAAGCTGTGAGATAAGGCTGAACGTGAAGAAGAAGAGCACTGAATGCGAAATCTCGCCGGAGAAGCGTTCGGGCAAGTAGCGGGTGAGCCAGAGCCCTGTCAAGGACCAGAGCTTGGGCAAGACATCGTATTGGATGAAGAGGACGTTCTGAATTTGCGAGTAGAGGCCGGAGAAGAAGCCAAACTTTGCTTTTGCCCGGCCGTATGCCTGTGCAAAGAAAGGTCAGCATACGCGGAAATGTGGCATTCATGAGCGCCTGGCGCATACTTGACTCTGGTCAAAGACATCTTGCGAGATCTCATCTTCCAATGTCTTTGGTGGTTTCTTCTTTTGCAAGACCTTGTATTGTCTCAAGGAGAGGAGACCCTCGAGAACATATTGACCAAGAGAGAAGCCTAGGATCAATTTCTTCCACGGAAAGCCAGGTCGATCGAGGAAGACTGCAAGCCGCTGTAGGATGGTCACAGTCAGTGAGGGGCCATCACACGGACTTGAAGGGCAGAACGAACACGTGGAAAGTCGCTCAACAACCCCAGTAGAGAAGCCATCTTCCTCCAACAGGATCACAGAGAAGGGAGGAATGCAGGAAGCATGAGATGCGATTGCAGGGCTGTACGAGCATGTGTCCCAAACGAACGCTGGCCAAGTGGGCGGCGTGCCTGCGCAACGCAGCCGAATGCGGCGACGTAGTCCGGCAAGGCTGAGTGGTGTTGCAATTGTAACTCGACTTGTCCTTGCTCGATCATATCGTCTCTTCAAGAGTCCCGTCTAGCAACAAGATAACCGTGCCGGAATCACCGCCACCATGTGTCGAATCTGCGGCCGCGTGGTCAGATGCATTTTTGATAGCATGCCTTCGCGTGTGAAGGTTCACCATGTCCCTAGTCGAAGGTGAGCTAATTCAACCTTGGTATTTCGTCTACTCTACCGAGAACTAACAATTGCCATCCTAGAGCTTTCACCACCGTCAGACGAGTCGCAGCACCACTGTCCAAATCGGCAACTCCAATATTCCACTACTCGTCGGCGCCGACTACCTCCTTAAACCGCGCATTCAGCAACCTCACCCTCTGTTCATATACAACTCAGTCTTCCCTCCCAACAACACTCCTCAGACCGGCCATATCCTCCTCACGCCAACCGTCACGAATAGGCCCTTTGTCGCTACTTGCAGCAAGGTCCTTCTCCACGACTGCGGCTCTACTCGGATATCGGAGAAGAAGCGACACATTCAACCCCTCGCGGCGGGTTCAGAAACGGCGGCATGGATACTTGGCAAGACTGAGATCAAAAGGTGGGAGGGAAGTGCTGAAGCGACGGAAGCTGAAGGGGCGGACTGTGTTGAGCTGGTAGAGCCTCCTGGTCCTTACTCAACTCCACCACTGTGGGCTATGCGTCAATTGTGCCGCACAGTTCTGGCTGTAGAGGGTTCAGTGGACCAGAATTCCGACCTATTTGCAGGGTTATATCATCCCTCTCGGGTCTATATCCGGTTCTATGTCTATCTTTTATGCTTCGACCCCTTTCTCAGCACCATTGGCCTTCTCTTTGAAGTGAGCAAAGCTACTCGATTCAAACTTCGGCTCTTCTGGAACTTCCACAAGTTTACTCGCCTCGGTCTGCATTGGTGTAAGCCCCCACCGTTCAAACATATCCTTGTCCTGCTCCCAGCCGTTGCAATCAGTAGTCAACATTTTCTCGCCGGTGAAGATCGCGTTGGCACCGGCCATGAAACACAGCATTTGCTCCGACTCTGGCATACTGACTCTGCCAGCTGCAATGCGGATGATTGTCTTGGGCATGACCAAGCGAGCAGTAGCGATGCAGCGCACCATGTCTTCCAGCTTTACAGCATCCTGACCGAACATAGGTGTTCCCTTGATCGGCACGAGCTTGTTTACGGGGAATGACTCAGGGTGTTCTGGTAGAGTGGCGAGCGTGTAGATGAGTCCGACGTGGTCGGTCGCCGGTGTCTCTCCTAGACCGAGAATCCCACCACTGCAGACGTGGATGCCTGCTTCTCGCACATTCTCGAGCGTTTGCAAGCGCTCATCGTAGCTTCGTGTGGTGATGACATTGGGGTAGTGTTCTCTTGAGGTGTCAACGTTGTGGTTATATGCTGTTAATCCGGCTTCCTTCAATTCTCGGGCTTGTTGCTTGTCCAGCATGCCTAGGGTCACGCAGGCTTCCATGCCTAGAGCACGGACCCCTTTGACCATTTCAACAATGTTCTTCATTCCCCGCGTTCGGCCGCGCATGTCTCGCCAGGCGGCACCCATGCAGAATCTATTGGAACCATTGGCTTTGGCAACCTTTGCGGCCTCGATGACGGAGTCGACCGTGGACAATTTGGTCGCCTGCAGGTTTGTCTTGTATCGGGAAGACTGGGCACAATAAGAGCAATCTTCTGTGCACCCGCCGGTCTTGATGTTCATAAGTGTACATAATTGCACCGCTGAGGGTTTGTGGAACCGGCGATGGACAGTGCCCTGTGATGCTCGTTAGTAGAAGTCCCGTCCAAGTTCATGTGGACATACCGCAGCGAAAGCCAATTCCATCAGAGGCTTCCGGTGTATTTCAGTAATCTCCTCCTTTGTCCAGTTGTTCCTGGGGTTGCTGGCATTGACTGCCTGGTCGAACACCGACCGACCCTGTGTCGGCGCGGGAGGAGGATTTTGTGAGAGACTGGCAGCGACTCGAGGTACATCGTGCACAATGCTGTAATGGCGCACAGCAGACGCCTTCGAAGAGGCTTTGCGGGCCACGCACCTGCTCATCATTGCCAGCTCCATGGTCACGGGTGGTGAGGACCAGTCGTCCTCGTTTTGGTGGGATGTTGAGTAAAGTCAATAGCTCGCCGAGCAGGAACAATTCAGGAAGTGTTGATTGGTGGGGGCGACTGCTGAGGGGCACGAATCGGCGGAACGGCCTCGAGACCCACTTCAGCCTCGCCCACTTCGAACTCGCTCACTTCGGTTTCATTCCTCGACCTCGGTGCCATATTAGCTAGGCTCTGGATTTGGCTTAATACAATTGTCTGCGCTGATTTTTCGTGGTGAAGGAGTGATGCTGGAGTTGTCTCCAAGTTCTTAATCAAAGCCTCGGATACCACTCGCCGGTGCTGGGCGAGGACATTGTAAGTCTTGAGCACTCAACTGAGGGGAAGGCTTTGGACCGCTTGGCCGAGCGAAATCGCGCCGACAGCCTGGTTTGCAAGATGAACCCGGAGTTGCCAAGCTGGTCTCCTTTGATGGCGTCGGTTTCGAAGGGGAGCAAGAAATCGTCGAACTCGAAGCACTGTCCTACTCATGGGGTCGTCCTGCGTTGTTACGATCCAGAGCTAGGTAGGGATCATGTACGACATATTTCGCAGCTTCAGCGTTTCTCGCGTGGCTAGGCTTCTGCTTCCCCCGGAAGACGTGCTGCTGCTAAATCTTTGGTTGCATGTCCTAGCGATCCCAGGCCTTCGCCGGCCTCGAGAATCCTCGCCACTCAATCGACAGCA